CCCCCCACGCGGCACGGACGGCCCCCCCACAAGGGCGCGGACGGCCCCCACGCGGGCACGGACGGCCCCCCCACAAGGGCGCGGACGGCCCCCCCACAAGGGCGCGGACGGCCCCCCCACAAGGGCGCGGACGGCCCCCCCACGCGGGCACGGACGGCCCCCCCACGCGGGCACGGACGGCCCCCCCACGCGGGCACGGACGGCCCCCCACAAGGGCGCGGACGGCCCCCCCACAAGGGCGCGGACGGGCCCCCCACAAGGGCGCGGACGGCCCCCCCACAAGGGCGCGGACGGCCCCCCCACGCGGCGCGGACGGCGAAGCCGGCGCTCTCCGCAACGTCTCCGTTTTCCAGAAGAGACCGTATTCAGCGCTGACTTGTCGTCAAAACGAATAAAAATTGTGCCTTAATTTAGCACAAGCCGCGTCTCCCTCGTCTATCGCGCGCGCTTGGGGAGCGGCCGGGGCCCCGCGGTGGGCGCGCCCCGCCCGCCCGGCGCTGTCCGCGCCCCGGTGCTGCCCGCGCGGCCGCCGGGACCCGGAGGCGGGCGGCGGGGCCGGGGGCGGGCGGGGCCGAGACTCTGGGCCTCGCAGCCCGCCGCGGGGACCCCGCCCGGGCCGCGAGGGGGGCTGGAGGCTGGGGGGCCGCCGCCTCCGTTGGCTGTCGGGCCCCGGGCCCCGCCCCGCCCGCCCCCCGCGGGGAGCAGGCCGGACAAAGGCGGCGGCGGCGGGCGGGGGCCGCGGGCTCGGGCCCTGGCGCCCGGCTGCTCCCCGGCGCCCCCCAGCGCCGCCGCCGCCCCGCAGCGCTCTCGGCCCCGGGCGGGGGGCGGCCCGCACCCCCGCCGTCTGGGGGGGTCATGCGCAGACACACGGGCGCCCGTCCGGCACCCGGTGGCCACAGCCCGCGGCCGCTCGGAAGGGGCGCGGCCCGGCCAAGGTCCCCGCGCCCCAGCCACGCCCACCTCCCCGCGGACACCAGCCTCCAGAGGGTCCCTAGGCAGGAAGGGGTCCTGCTGCTGGGGACGGGCAGGAGAAGCCTCCCCCAGCTCCAGGACGATTTCCCGCAGGGGGCGGGTGCCTGGACCCCTTTCTTCCTGCAGGGAGGCCCGGGGGCGGCTCCGGTGCTCCCACTGGCCATTCCAAAGGGCCGCGGTGGGGATCTCCTGCCCCCAACATTGCCCTCTGCTGCGTGCATTGCTTAAAGTGGTCAGATATTAATTTCAAAAGGAAACAAAAACTAAGAAAACCAACCCAAAAGGAATAAAATGTCACGAGCAAGCCCAGAGCTGAGCGGGGAGAACCTCCCAGGCCCCTGCCAGCCCACCCGCCGGCCTGGGCTGTGGCCCCGAGGCAGGCACAGGGGCCGCCCTGGCCACAGAAGGGCACAGCGGGGCCGCCACCCCAGGCCGGGCGGGACGCGGGCCGGGACCGAGGAGGGAACAGCAGATGCGCAGGGCAGGCCCCGGCCCTGCGGCCACGCCGGCCGGCCCCGGCCCCGGCCCCGGCCCCGCCCCTCCCTCCGGGCCCGGACAGCTGCCAGTCGCTGCCCCAAGGGCCCGGACTTGATCTGAGGCGCGGGCGCGGGCGAGCCGGGGCACAGCTGCCTCCGGCGATTAGGGCGTCTCCCCCCTCGCCCCCAGGAGCTGAACTTGCAATTTACATGTCAACCACGTGGCCGCCCCAGCCCCGCAGCAATTAGCTTTTTGTTCTCGCCTGGTTTCCATGGCAACAGCCTCCGGAGGCCGCCCCGCCGCCGCCCCTTCCCCTCCAGGGCCCGGCTCCTCCGCCCCGCCCCGCGGGCGCCGCCCGGCCCGGCCCGGCCCTGGCCGTGGTGCTGACAAAGCCGCCGGCCCGGCGTCCCGGGGCGCCCGGGGGCCGCAGGCGGAGCCGCCGCGACCTTGGCCGGGCGGCCGCTCCGCGCTCGGGGCTCGGGGAGGGGTCAGCGCTCGGCTCGGCGGGGTCCCGCCTCCTGCCCGCCGGCCCAGCCCTGCCCCGCGGCGCGCGGACAATGGGCGCAGGCCGCGCGGGTGCCGCCCCAGCGCCGGAGCCCCGCTTTGTTCCCGCGCCCAGCCCGCGCCTGGGGCGCCGGGCGCGCGTCCCGCCGTGAGTTAGCCCGGGGTCGGCGGGGAGGGAGTCGAGTCCTGGCCCAAGGTCACCCCGAGTCCGAGTCCAACCCCGCCTCCAACAAAGAAGCAGGGCGGGGCCGGGAGCCGGGCTGGCAGGGCAGGCGGCCGCGGGCGCTCGGGCGGGGCATCGTCGGGCATCGTCGGGGCATCGTCGGGGCATCGTCCTGGCTCCGAGCGGCGGCCGCACCCGAACCCGCCCGCCCGCCCGCCTCCCCGGCGCCGGCGGAGACCCCCGGGGCGGCCACGCCCAGGAGCGCCCCAGCCGCCCCTGCCGACCTGCGCGGCGCGGGCCGACCGGGGACGCCCCGCGGGGCCGGGCGGGCGGGGCGGGGCGGGGTCCCCAGGGCCCGCACTCGGCGCGGGACCCGCTCGCCCTTTGTTCTCGGCGGCGCGGGGCGAGCGCGGCCGCGGGGCGCACGGCGCCCCCGGCTCCCCTGCCCGCGCGGGCGGCGCGGGGCGCCTCACCTTGGCCCCGATCTGGTTGCCGCACTGGCCGGCCTGGATGTGCACGATCTCCCTCATCCTCGCTGCGGGCGGGCGCGGGCGGGACGGAGCGGCGGCCGGTGTCTGGGAGGCTCGGCCGCCCCCGCCGCCCGCTCTTATAGGCGCGGCCCCGCCCGCCGCGCGCCCGCGTCACCGCGCGCGGCCAATCCCGGGCGCCGCCCGGACTGCGGCACCGGCCCTGCAGCCCCGCACCCGCCCGCCGCGCGCCCCGCCCCGCCCCGCCCCCCGCCCTGCAGCCCCGCGCCGGCCCGCAGCCCCGCACCCGCCCGCCCGCCGCGCCCCGCCCCGCCCCCGCCCTGCAGCCCCGCACCCGCCCGCCGCCGCGCCCCGCACCCCGCCCTGCAGCCCCGCACCCGCCCGCCCGCCGCGCCCCGCCCCACACCCCGCCCTGCAGCCCCGCACCCGGCCCGCAGCCCGCGCCCCGCCCGCAGCCCCGCACCCCGCCCGCCCGCCGCGCCCCCGCCCCGCCCCGCCCCCCGCCCTGCAGCCCCGCACCCCGCCTGCAGCCCCGCGCCCCGCCCGCAGCCCCGCGCCCCGCCCGCAGCCCCGCGCCCGCCCCGCAGCCCCCGGCGCCCCGCCCGCAGCCCCGCCCCCCGCCCTGCAGCCCCGCGCCCCGCAGCCCTCCTCGCCCAGCCCCCCGCCCTGCCGCCCGCCCCGCCCCGCCCCGCAGCCCCGCGCCCCGCCCCGCAGCTCCCCACGCCCTACAACCCGCCGCGCCCCGCCGGCCCGCCCCGCAGCCCGCCGGGCCCCGCCCGCCCTCCGGGGTCCCGCGCGGGGTCCGCCGGGCCGCGGAGGACAGTGGGGGCCGCGGGCCCTCGAACCCCTCCCGCCGCCCCCTCGAGCCCGGGCGCCCTGCGAGGAGGGTCTCTCCGCGCACCCGCCAGAGGCCCGCGGGAAGGGGCGGCGCGGGAGCCGCGAGCTGCGCCCCGAGCCCGGGCCGGGAGGCGGAGGAGGCCGGCGGGGGACGGGCCGAGCGCTCCCGCCGCCCCTCCCCGCGCTCCGGGCCGCGCAGGTGCCGCGAGCCGCTGCCCGGGCTGCCGGGGGCGGGACGTTCTGCCTCTCACCCCCAGGAGACCTGCACCCGACCCTTGGGCCACGGGAGGCCAGCTGGGGGGGCAGTGGGGGGGCGGTGGGCCGGGGAGGAGCTTGGACTCGGGCACAGAGCTGAGGGCCCCTCGCGGCGCCCGGCCCGTGGAGGCCCCCGCGGACGCCCCTCGGGCAGGGCCTCGCGCTGGCAGGGGGTCTGGCGCGCAGGGCGCATGTGGGCGCCCGGCGGCCGCCCGCGCCCCTCTCCCTTCTCGAAGCCCGGGTTTCGGCGAGGCGGAGCTGGTCTTTTGTTCTCCAGAGACGCCCCTCCCCCACACTGCGCGCTGTCGGTGCTCGGCTGGGCCCCGCCCCCTGGGGCTCCCCAGCAGGCTGCGCTGCCCCCCTTGCTGGCTGCGCCGCCCCCCCATGACCCCCTCCTGGCCAGCCAGCTGACTCACGCGGGCCTCCCTGCACAGGCTGGCCGTCCAGGACTCACCGCGGGAGGCCAGAGGGCTGCAGCCGCCAGCCAGGGCGGGGCCTGGCGGGGCTGACCAAGGGGGCGCAGGTGGGCTCCCCCAGGAGGGTTGGCTGCGGGAGGCCCGCTAGGGGAAGGCGTCCCGTCTCTGTGCCAGAGGACCAGGGGCTCCCAGCAGAGAAGCCCGGGTCCAGACTGGGGTTTAGGCTCACCCCACGCCCAGCACCCACACCCAGGGCCCTGCAGTCCGCCACCCGTGCCCTACCCGGTGCTGGGAGGCCAGCCCAGGAGGACAGTACGGGGAGTGGGCTGGAGGGAGAGCAGGGGGCCTGTCCTGGCTGAGGCTACCAGGTCACACCTGCAGCTCAGGGCCGGACAGTGCCTGCGTCGCACCCATAGGCCCCGGGGTTGCACGGCAGAGGCTTCCTGGGCCCTGGGGGAAGTCGCCCCCCAGGCCTGGAGTCCTAGGCGGGCCTGGAGTCCTAGGCGGGCACTGGTGCAGGCGCCTCCCTCGGCAGCCACCCTCCTCCGCCCTGGGGTTTCTCCCCCATCACTCGCGCTCCTGCCCCCAGCCAGTCCCGAAGAGCTGCGGTGACTGCAAGGCCAGGCCAAGCACCTTTATTACGCGCGGTTGTGTGAGGCCACAGAAAATGTACACTAGCTCATTCTTTTATTTTTTACGGTTTCGGGTGGTCTGCCTCCCGCCAGTCCAGCCCAGCCCTGCCCGTGGCGACGGCCTCTGCTTGGGGGAGCAGGCCTTGCTGCCGGCCCGTCCACGGGCATGCGGTGCCGACGTGAGCCCTAGTCCTCCGTCACCAGCGAGCCGCTCTGCCAGGAGACTCCATCCCTCACCGTCGCGGCCCACAGCCCATCAGCACCCCGTCTCGGTCCGGGCAGTGGCCTCAGCTGCCGGGCAGGGGCGGGGCAGCACGGCCCACAGGGCCCTGCGGAGCTCTGGGCTGCGGAAGGCGTAGATGAGGGGGTCCACGGCGGCACTGCAGACCCCGAGGGCGAGGAAGAGGTCGAAGTTCTTGAGGACGCAGCCACAAGCGGGGTGCTGGGGGCAGAGCACCGCCAGGGAGAGGTGCAGGAAGAAGGGGCCGCGGCAGAGGAGGAAGACGCCCAGCAGGAGGGCGAGGGTGGTGGCGCCCTTGAGGCCACAGCCCTGGCGGGCGGGGCGCGGGGCCTGCGGAGCCGGGCAAGGCCGCGGGCGTGCTGGCAGGCCCGCACCAGCATGTGCGCGTACAGCACGGCCATGAGCGCCAGCATGGCCACGAAGAGGCTCGCCAGGCCGAGTAGGACGGCCGTGTGTGGTCGGAGCAGGCCGCGGAGAGGGCGCCGGAGAGCACGCTGGCGGCCCAGATGGTGGCGACAGCCCCGCCAGCGCGGGGCGGTGTCACGATGCTGTGGTAGCGCAGGGCGTAGAAGATGGAGACGTAGCGGTCCACCGCAATGGCGCCTAGCGAGCAGAGGCTGGACACCAGGGAGCCGCAGGCCAGCGCATCCACGGCATCGTCCAGCCGCTGCACAGCTGAGGCCCGGGGGGCCAGCGCGCCCGTGCCCAGCAGCAGTGCGGCGGCAGCCTCCAGCACGGGGCCAGCGCTCAGGAGGAGGTCGGCCGCCGCCAGGCAGCAGATGAACAGGTGCATGGGCGAGCGCAGCTTGCGGGCCCTGGCCACGGCAGCCAACACCAGCGCGTTCCCCAGCAGGCTCAGCAGCCCCAGGCCAAGGAAGAGCCCGTCCGGGATGGGCACAGCCCAGCACCAGAGCCCCGTCCAGTTGGTGTCCGGTCCCCAGTGGGGGAGCCCCGCCGGCGTGGCGTTGGGGGCGTGTGGCACGGCCATGGTCCACGGGGCCCTTCAGCGCACGGTGCGGGCAGCCAGTAGCCCCCACTCACCGTGCCGCGCTCCTCAAGCTTGGGCAGTCGGCGGCCCCAGTCCTCCCGAGTCCACTCCTCCCAGCCAGGACCACAGCTCTGAGGCGCAGACCTGCCACTCTCTGGGCTCCCGCGTCCCTCCTGGTCCTCTGTCCACCCCCGGCCCCCAGAGGAGCAGACGCTCAGGCCGGACATCCCTGCGTCCCCTGCACTCCTGCCTCCTGGGAGGGCTGTGGTGGCTACCGCGAAGAATGGGCCCTTTCTGTGGCCTTCAAAGCCCCTGCTGGCCCCGCCCAGGGGCAGCACATGACTGGACTTTCGGTTCTCAGACTCAGCACCCACACCACCCGTCGGCCACCAGGTGGCGCCCAGGGGCCCGCCCAGGTCCCGAGGGCTCACCAGGTGACTCCCAGCCAGGCCTGCACAGGCGTGGGGGTGGTCACTGCCATCCGCCCGGGTCCCCTGTTGAGGGCAGCTGTGGGGAGCATGGGGGCTGTGCTCACCGTGGCCGAGGCTCCCGCGCATCTAGGAGGGCGTTTTCCTGGGGGCAGGCAGGGCCCGAGGCCGGCCCACTTCAAAGGCAGCTTGTCCGCCACGTGGTGCCCGGCACAGGGCGGCCACCCCAGCTCACGGGGCTTCCAGGCGCCACAAAGTCAAAGGCGGGGGGCGGGGGCCTGAACAGGGCAGTGGACGGCGATGGGGGAAGGGTCAGGGCAGAGCCAGGGGAGGCATGTCCCCAGCCAGGCCCTGCACCCACACCACCCGCATGGCCAAGGGTGTGCTCCCCCGCGCCCCAAAGGCAGCACGACTGCTGAGCGAGGCGGCCGCCTCCGTCTCGGGGATGAGGTTCAGGCGGCAGGGCCTGCTTGTCTGCCAGGAGTCCCAGGAGCAGCCAATGTGGTCAGTAGTCTGTCCGCCTGCTGTGCCAGCACCTTACCCCCCCTCTCCAGGGAGAGGCAGGCAGTGTCCCCAAGCTCCACAGGAGCCAGAGAGGATGGGGTCCCTGTCTTGCAGCTCCCCCCCACCCAGGAGGGGCCGTGGTCTTTGTCCGCCCTGAGCCTGCCCTGGCACTATGAGCGAGGCCTCTGGGAGCCAGAGCCCAGCCTTCCTGCAGCCCCACCTACACTGGACCGGCAGCTGCTCCCCACCAGGCGCCTGCGTGGGCGCAGACAGCGAGCGCACAGAGCACCAGGAGAGACCAGCTCCCTCCCTAGCGCCAGTCATGGAGAAAGCTCTGGGTGAAATCAGGGCCATCTGGGGCCGCAGCAGCCCCTGTGTGGGTGAGAGGGTGGGGCCAGGCAGGCACTGACCACCTGGAAGGAGGCTCCGGCGCCCGCGCCCGGGAGCTGTGAGGGCACAGCCTGGAGCCTGGTGGGCTGGGCAGCTGGCCTGGCGGGGTCTGCGCTTTCATTTGGGCCTGGGGGAGGGCGGCTCATGTGCAGCCCTGCAGGGCCACTGCTGACGGCCGGCCGGCTGGGCCTGGGGGCAACACACTCAGCTGGCTCTACCACCATGGGCAGGGCCACGGGGGAGCTGGCCCGGGACAGCAGGTGCCACAGCCCTGGCTGCCGTGTCCCCGCTGGCATGAGGGGGACACACAAGCTCAGGAGCAGGTCGCTGGGACAGGGTTGCTGTCCTGTCAGAGCTGCTTGTCCCACGGGGCCTGCAGGCCGCTGGCTCCTCACTCAGCTGGGACACGCGCCTGGGGCCAGTTGCAGCAGCCAGCACGCTGGCCGGGAGTCGGGGAGGGCAGCGGAGACCCGCCCCCTGCTGTTGCTCACAGCCCTGTGGGCGCTGCTGGGCCACAGGCGACCCCTGGCCATCCCAGCAGGCCGCCAGGGGCCTCGTGGGGGTGGACGTGACAGCACTTTCCACGAGGCTGGGGGGATTTCTGCCCCAGGTGTGCTGCTGCCCCTGAAGCAGGTGAGGGCTGGGGGCACCTGTGGACAGTCCCCGCCCGCCCATCTCGTGTCTCGGGTCCTCCCAGAACCAGCGGGCTCCACAGAGGGTCTCAACCGTCCTCCGGCGTGGGCCGCCCAGCTAGTGAGCCGCCCCCACGCCCCGTCGCCCCGGAGCCAGAGGCTTGATCTTGTCCCAGGACACCACTCAAGCTGCCAGGGGGTGTCCTGCGGGGGCCCAGCAAGGCCACATCTGCGGGCACCTGGCCCGCCTGCCGCCGCGCGAGGACAGATGAGGCGCAACAGCACATTCAGCGATTCTACTTCAGAGGCAGCCAGCGGGCCCGGACGGCGGCCGGAACACGATTGCGAGCGCAGGGCCCTCAGTCCCACTCCCCATCCCCCTCGGGCTGGTCCTCGCGGGGCGCCTCAGGGTCCTGGAAGTGGAAGTTGGCCATCATGTCCCGCACGGCCAGCATCAGCCTGTTCAGGCCCTGGTTGTGGTTGGGGCCCCCGGCCCCGCCGTCCTCCGGCCGCTCCCCCTGCAGCAAGGAGACCCTGAGCAGGAGCTGTCCACCGGCCCAGTGCCACCCCATGCCCCACCGGACCAGTGCAGGCTGGGGCGCCCCGATGCAAAGCTGGTCTCGGTGGGCTCGCCGGCGGCCCCTGCATGGCTGGAGTGTCGCCTGGACGTTTGCACAGGAGCAGATGTGCTGGACGCAGTGCAAGGCCCACGTACCTCCACAGTGTAGTTGGGCAGCAGTGACCGGAAGAAGAGGGCAATCGTGTTCCCATGGCTGACGGGGCTGAGCCTGAGGGGAGCAGACAGTCAAAAGGGCCCTGATGGGTCCTGCCCAGGACCCGGGGAGAAGCTGGCCACAGTGGCCCAAGGGGTGGACTGGGGGCTGGGGACACAGCTGGGGCCTGGCAGGAGGAGGCCAACGTGGGTCCTGGCCCTGGACGCCACGGCCACTTGCTGGTGAGGGAAACTGCAGCAGCTGAGCCTTCTGTGGCCAGGGTGGAGGGTGGCCAGGGCCAGCGCGAGCCTGGGGGCTGCGGGGGCCGCCTGACTGCACCGTGTCCACCTTCACCTCCTGGAGCCCTAGGATGTTCTCCTGTGAACAGGCGCTCTGAGCTCAGTGCACACTTGGTAAGCACGGGGGCTCGTCCCAGGGCGCGGCCTTGCCAGGCCAAAAGGCAGGCAGCCCCCAGGGGGGACATCCGGCCCCACGGGCGGGCGGGGGCACCAGGGAGACAGCCCTGCCGTGAAGGCCAGAGAGAAGAGCCTCCCCACAGCCCGCGAGGCCTGTGGCCGCGGGCGGCCCATCCATCTCCAGCTACACCCTTGGCCCCACTGCGGTCCTGACTGTCTCTCTGCTGCTGGTCCCCTCGCTGCCTCCACCTGCCCGGCCACAGGGGCCAAGGGCGCAGGGCCCCGGCCTCTTCCCACCGCGCCCTGAGCCCATGTAAGGTGCTCCCACGGCTGGGGCCTGCACTCGCCAGCGCCCACCACACTCCTGGGGCCTCGCTCTGGTGGGCGGGAGGCCCAGCACTGACCTCAGGGCCGTCAAGCAAAGGAGCAGGCGGGCGCGGGGAGATACCTCTCTGGCCTGACGTAGGAGTAGATGGTGTCCAGAGGGGGCAGAGGGTCAAAACCCATCACAGACTGCGTGGCCACGTCCTTCAGAAAGGGACAGAATGCAGACGCAGCCTTTCAGCCAGTCGACTGGACGGGCCCGACCTGCGGGAGTCGCCAGCGTCGGGCAGGGCAGCCCTCGCGTGCTAAAGCGGCTCCCACCCAGTGGCCTGCCCGGGGTCCCGCCCTGTGGCCTTCAGCAGAGGCCAGACTGCACCAGGCTGCAGGGCCCCACCGCCCGTGGAGGCCAGCCCCAGCCCATACGAGCCGCTGCCCCGGAGCCCTGGCTGCGAGGGGCCCCCCGGCCTGCCCCGCAGAGTGCCCCCTTCCGCCATTCTTACTGGGGGCAGGGCGGCCACCGCCTCCTTGACTTCGGACAGCAGCACGTGGCGGTGGATGTTCCTGGGCGCCCGCTGATACAGCAGCTTCCGCCTGCGGAGAGGGCCGGGGGGCGGGCTCTGAGGTGGAGGGCAGCGGTCCACTGACAGCACTGCCCGCAGCCAGCTCCCTTCTCCCCCCACTGACTCTGGCCTCCCCCATCCGGCCCCACCCCATTCTGGCCCACCCTGCCCCACTCCGGCCCGCACCTGCTCTCGCAGGCTTCCACGGCAGGGTCCCCGGCGTCCACTGCCCGCAGGACCTCGTGGACATTCTCCTCCAGCCAGCCCATGGTGGCGGGCTCCTTCCAGAGGGAGTGCGAGCGCCCCAGGTACAGGCTTACCAGCTGGCTCAGCGCAGGGGCTGGCTGCGGGAGGGGCCGTCAGCAGGTCCGTGGGCCCCCGAGGGCACGTGTGGGCCTGCCAGCCGCCAGGCCGCTGTCCCAGGGTGGCCCATGCCATGCGCTCACCCAGGGGCAGATTGTCAGGAGGAAGGTGGGGTGAGGGCAGGGCCAGGGCCAGGGGCTGAGCCAGGGCTGCGGCAGCTCCCACGCGCGTGCTGCATCTGATGGGGTTTTTGCAAGTGGTGGCTGCCCAGCGGGCAGGCCCAGCTCTGGCCAGGAGGCCCCCGCTCCAGGCTGCAGAAGCCCAGGGGCCCTGAGAGACTCATCAGGAAGGTGGCCGGCCTGGCCTCAGGGCATGTGGCCCCTACCTGATCTCAGCGTCGGGCCCAAAGAAGCGGTGGTGGGCGACGGCGGGGTCGGGGCGCACGCTGCAACACTCGAGCAGGGGTGTGAGCACTACGGGGAGAAGTCATCACTGCGCTGCCAGCACTCGGATCTCCCCCAGAGCCCCACGGGGCCTCTGCCACCTTGGGGGATGTCAGTCCTAACTCTTGGGGCCCCACATGCATCTGAGGGCTGTGCCCGACTCCTGCCTGGCTGGCAGGCAAGCGAGGGCAGGCTACCCTCCCCCCCACACCAGCAGCAGGCCAGCCCCAGCCAGGACCCCACAAGGGCACCATAGAGGGACAGGGCGCCTGGCCATGGGCAGCAGGGTTCTGCTGCAGGGCCGCTCCAGGCCCCAGGACCCTTGGACTAAGGGAGCAGCGGCAGACACCCTGATGGGCCCCCTGTGGCCTGCGCAGCTCCGAGGGTCAGCTCTGTGCAGAGCCCACCGCAGTGCCAGCAGCCGTGGGGTCAGTGATGTGCTGTCCGGGGGCCTGAGCACCTGGGCCTCAGCCTCCCTGTGCCCTCGGCTCTGCCCCAGGAGCCTAGCACCACTGCCACCCACAGGAGGCCCAGGGTGTGGCAGCAGAGAGAGGCAAGGCTGCTGTGCAGCTGGGCTGGAGGGCCCTGGCAGGGCAGCGGCTCCTTCTCAGGTCACAGAGGCCCTGAGAACAGCTGGAGGCCACCTGCCATGGCCAGGAGCCCAGAAGCATGGAAACGCGAGCTCTGGAGAGCAGTCGGCCCTGACGTGGCGCCACAGACACCCACCTCCGGGGAACATGGTGAGGGCCCGCCGGATCAGCAGGGAGGCCTGCTCGCGTGCTGCGCTCTGCTCCTGCTCGGGGAGGCCCGCCTGCTGGCTCAGCAGGAAGTAGGCCAGCGGCACAGAGAAGGCAAAGTTGGGGAGCTGGGACAGGTTCCGGGGAGCCTGCAGGGGGGGATCAGGTGGGGCTCTATGGGCCAGGGCCACAGTCTGGGGAAGCAGGAGACCCAGGTCTCGGGTCTCTGACCCAGATGTGGGGTGCCGGGCAGTAGTGGGGAGACTCCAGGGTGCCAAGGGGGGTGGGTCCCCCCGCAGGAGGGTGGCCAGCCCTCCCCAGTATGGTCACAAAGAGGGTCCCCCCCTTCTCCACCTACATAATGGCCCGACCGCTGACGTTTTCTCCCGAGTTGGGACCAGGGGCCTGGTAGTTGGGCCCATCCTCCCCAGGAGCCCCCTCCCACCGCCCCCGGGCCCCGCCTGCCAGCGAGTCATGGGCCAGGAGGCACAGGTTCCAGTATCTGCATGGGGCACCCGGGCCAGGCTTTCATGGCCCACATCCCCGAGTTGCGCACGGTGCTGGGGTGGGCGGGTGCCGGGTGGGCCGCTCGCACCTCCCACTCCTGGAAGAGGTGGATCAGGTACTCGTAGTCGCGTGCCCGCAGCGCCAAGTGATCCACCAGCAGCAGCATGCACAGAGGGTCCTCGTCCGGCTCCAGGCTTCCGGCGGCAGGAGACAAATCCCAGTGGGTGGCCTGCAGCCAGCCCGGGGGGAGGGGGCGGGGTGGGGAAACCAGGGAGGGGTGTGGGGTGGGGGGCTCTGAGGGGGGCAGGGCGGGGAGGGGGGCCCACCTCAGGATGAGCTTGCAGTACTCGAGCGCCGTGCGTGGGCAGCCCCGCTTCTCCAGGAAGCTCATCTGCTTGTAGAGGGCCAGGTAGAAGCTCCTGGGCCCAGACGGCACTTTGAGTGGCCGGCAGGTCCAGGGGCTTCCATCCTCCTCGCTGACCCCTCCCCACCTGCCCTCGTCCTCACTGACAAGAGGCTACAGAAAATCAGGCTCCTCTCTCATCTGAAACCTGCAGCTCTTGCTCTCAGGGTGGAGTGCACCACTTAGGAGGCTGGGCCGGGCAGCCCAGGCCAGGGACAACTGGGGTGCTGCCAGTCCCGGGGAGAGGGGCCGGCTCACCTGTTCTCAGGCCTGCGGTAGTCCAGCCGGCAGGCCCCGCTGGTGAGGCTGAACAGTGGGTGGAAGGCGCATTCCATGCTGTACAGAGCCCGCTCTGCAGCCACACACAGGCTGGTTAGGGCCCGCCCGCCTGCGCGCCTATGGCTCAGCACATGGCCAGCTCTGGGAGGAGGTGGGGGGGGTGGCCAGCCATGCCCGGGCTCGGTCAGCACAGCCTCCCAGAGGCAGGCCTGGCGGAGGCCACCGCTGAGAGGAGCCACGTGGACCCTGAGATGAGACAGTCAGCGGGAGAAGCCACGCAGCCAGCCACAAGGCCAGGCCAGGGCGGGAGGAGGCTGGCATTTCCCTGGGGGGCCGGGAAGAACGAGGATTGTGTGACCCGGTGGGGCGGGGGCCAGTGGGGATGCCGGGGCCCTACCCACAAGGTCTCGCGCCATCTCCTGGTCCTCCTGGAAGCGGCAGGCATCGCTGAGCTGCAGGAGGGAGTCCACGTGGTAGGGGCTGGTCTGCAGCAGAACCTGCGGGGGTACAGGGCTCGAGCCGGGCCTCCCTGGGTGCTGGACCCACAGAAGCTCATGCCTGGGGGCGCCGCCTCCCCACAGTCTCCAGAGTCGATCCTCCCCACTGTCCCACCCCGGGAAGTGGGTGGGTCCCCACACAGGGGCAGTGCCCTCACACACAGGCTTCTGCGGTAACCCGGGGGCACCGGGCACACGGCCCCACGGTGACGCACCACGATGTTGTTGGGCTCCATGGACTCCACAGCGGCCAGGAAGCGGTGCTGAGCCTGCTGGTACTCCTCGCTGTGCTCGAAGGCAAAGGATGAGAGGCCCTTCCTGGCCTCCAGCAGCCGCATGGTCAGGCCTGTGGAGACGCACGCACTCCATGCGGGCCCGACTGCTGCTCCTGCCCCTCGATGCCCCTCGGGAGCTCGGACGGAGCACTAGGGCCCAGGGACACATGGCCCCGCCATGTACCCGCTGGACCTAAAAGCTGTTCACTCAGAGCTAAGTCCCTGGAGGTGCCTGAGCCTGGAACCCCTCAACGCTCCCGCCGCCCCCCTGGGTCCTGCCAGACTCCAGGACGGGGCCCAGCTGGGTGACCTGGGGGAAGACCCCAGCTCTCACCAACACCTTCGCAGCTGCAGGTCACCCGAGCACACAACCCAGCAACAGGCCCCGCGTCCCCGCCTGTCTGTGTGCAAAGGCCTCTGCTAGGAAGACGGGGTGCAGGAGACGCCCTCCAGGGAGTAATATACTGGCCCAAGTGTCGCTCACTGCACATGGACCCGCAAAGCCCCAGACAGTGAGGCGAGGGCTCCCTTCACGGGGAACCCCTGCCCCCACACAGTGTAACTGAGCGCCCCACAGCACCCCATTTATCGAGCCCTGTCCCGCCGCCTCTGCCCATGGCACAGGAACTGACAATTTGCAGCAAGACACAGGCCTGGACAGGCCCGGCCCTGGCCGGGATCAGCTGTGGGGAAGCCCCGTGGGCCCCTCAGTAGCCCCTCACCTGGTTTGGTGTAGCGGGGCCAGGTGGTCTTGGGGGTCGTCAGCCAAGTACACTTGGGGTACACACGCTGTCTCTGCCTCGGCCTAGGGAGGAGATGTTGTGTAAATGAGGGCTGAAGCCAGAGACCGTGGCAGGTAGCAACCCCTGGAGCGGCGCTGGTGGGGAAGGCGCCCCAGGGAAAGTGCGCAGTGTTGGGGGGAGACTGATGAGCAATACAAGGGCCTGCAGGAGCAGCCCCCCCGGGTTCAGTGTTCGGGATTCAGCATTTTCGGATCTTCAGCGATTCGGGGTCAGCGATTTCGGCCCCAACACACGGATCTCCCCGAGGCTGGCGTGGCCTGGGAAGGACGGGGCGGGGCCTCCACAGCCAGCCCCAGAGAGGGAAAGTTTCGGGCTTTGCAAGCAGCCGAGCAGCAGAAGCTTCTCCCCGTCTTGCTGCCGTCACAGCCGAGGGGAGGCGGAGGCCGGAGCGGGCTGGCCGAGCCGTGTGTGGGGCCGTGTCGGGCCCTTCGGCCGCTGCAGCTGCTGCTTTGAGCGTCGCGTGTCCAGCGCTGCGGGGGCATCTCGGGCCGCGTCGCGAGGGGCATCTGGCCCGAATTCTGGCCGCCGCCGCCCCAGGCCTCAGTGGCGGGAAGACACCGTCTTGGGAGCATTCGTGTCCGGGACTGTAAACGCTGGACGCGGCCTGGGGTGGGGGGAAACGGCCATCTGTGGCCTCGGTGACTCTGTGTTCCCCAGATTGTTAAATAAATCTCACTGCTGTTGCTCTCGGCCCGAGTGGTCCCGCAGTTGTGCGCGCGAGGAGCTCTAGGCGGTGACCCGTCAACTCTCCGGGCCGAGTCCTTGGCCAGTGGCAGTCCCACTGCTGCCCCGGATCAGAGGCACCGCCTGGCCTCGCTGCCTGACCAAGAGCCAAGCCATGGTGGGGAAGGAAGGCAGGTGGTGGGGCTCCCGCGGACAGAGGGGACAGACGCTGATGCCACAGATGGCAGGCGAGGCAGCGGCCACAGCAGAGAAGCTGACTTGGCGGGGCAGAGGGAGACCAAGGCCACAGGCATCCTGACACATGCCCAGCTCCCCTGGGGGCCAGGCGAGGAGCCCATCTCCTCCCTCCTCAGACCCCAAGGCTCGGGGTAAAAGGAAGACAGGTCACGATGAAGAAGCGCGAGCGCGGCACGGACGCCACCAGGCTGGGTGGGGAGAGGGGCAAGCAGGCCCTTTCCTCTGACAGGCTCAGGCCCTGGTCCGTCCTGGTGCGAGCCGGCGGCTGGCGGGAAGTGCCGGGGACACGGCTGTCCGCGCCTCTGGGAGAGCCTCCGGTCAGACCCGCCTCAGGACACTGGCAGGACACCGGCAACCGCGCCAAGCGGGGAGGTCCAGCCAGGAGGCACAGTCTCGGAGAGCGCACCCTTCCCGAGGCTCACGACGCCGCCGCTGCAGCCCATGTCCTCAGTAACTTCACACGCACCACACGGCCGCGGTCAACAGGAAAGGAGGCAGGGGATCGCCCACCACGCCCGCATCAGTGCGGAGACAGAGCCCAGGCAGGGGGCGGGGCCTGGAGGCCGGGCAGCTGCTCGGGGCCAGAGGACAGGGCCATGGGCCCTTCCCAGCCACAGATCCAGAGGTCAGAGGACGCAGGCCAAGGGTCAGACACCCGGGCCAGGCCAGGATGGCCCAGGCCAGGGTGTGGGAGACTACAGGCCACTGGAAAGACCACAAAGACACCCGCAGTGGTAACTGGGGGGGGGGGGTTAGAGGGGACCCCGATGGCAGAGGGTGTCAGGAGAGGCCCATTTATCCCCACAGCTAGAAAATGCCTGCAATTTAAAAGACCAGGCCCCTCCCGCCGGCACACACACACACACCAGTCAGTGCTGGACACGGGGAGCAGGGCCCCCAGGAGCAGGCCCATCTCAGAAGCTGGACCTGATGCCAGGCTCGCAGCTGGGCGGGAAGCAGGCGTGCGCCTGGCTCAGGCCCGGGGTAGAAGCACGACGGTGCTCGAGGGCTTCAGGTCTGGGTGAGGACAGCCCAAGAGGGAGCCCTTGGGGCCCCGGTCCTGCAGGGGAGACGCCAGGGACATGTGCGGGACCCAGCACCAGGGTCTTACCTCTGCTCCCCCAGGACAGCTCGAGCACCGAAGTACCTTTTCAGCTCCGTGTCTGGGTTCAAGTGTCTGGAGTATTGAGAATTTTACAAATAAAGAGGAAAACAGTTCTCTCGCAAAGACTCGGGGAGCCCTCAAGCCACGATAAAAGTGGTGGGCAGGCGGCTCTGGCTTCCCCAGAGCCCCACAAGGCCGGCTGGGAACGCACCTGTGTTCCACGTACAGCACGTGCTTCCTGGTGCTCAGGACCGGTGGACCAGGGTGTGGGAGCCCAGCACCGTCCTCCAGCAGCTCCAAGATGCGGTCGACGTCTTCCAGGCCGTTCTCCTAAGAGCCAGAACCAAGCACTGACCCGCCCTGGTTCAGCTCAAGTGCTGCCACGGCAGCTGTGCCTCGATGCACAGGGAGCCCTGGCACCGTGTCCACTGCCTTAGCACATCCAGCGCCGGCACAATAGCCTGTATGCCACGGTGACAGCCTTCGCTCAACCACACGAGCCAGGAGGGCCTGTGAGCAGCAGAGCCACAGCCTCAAACCAGGACAAACCGGATGCCCTGAGGGATAGGCTGGGAGGGACCGGCCCAGCTGCCCTTCAGGTGAGCCCTTCCGGTAGGGACAGCCGGGCGCTGTGGACAGGAAGGCGCTGCAACCAGCAGCCCGCCCTGGCCTCCAAATACATGACCCCGCTGCCGGGAGGAACCAGGACCAACCAAACGCAGCCGCCGCCCGCACCCGGGCATGCCCAGTGCCCGCCGTGCATACCAGGCCTTCTCCCGTGGGGCTCTTCCTGCTTTTTTGTTTCTTCTTCTTCTTCCGGAGCTTGCCACTTGCGTTGGGCTGGCAGAAGAAGCACATTTTCAATCAGTGGAAAAAACCAACAAAATCCTCAGCGCCAAGAGGCGTAGCAGCAAGCTGCCTGGAGACCTGGGGTACAGGGTCCCCCCCACCCCAGCATCCATGAGCTCAAGAGGTGTCCAGGGCAGAGCCATCGGCCGCTGGCTAACCATCCTACCCCAGGGAAGCCCCCACCCCCACCCGGGGGCCAGGCCCCCAGACAGCACTTGGCATCCCTGGCCCGCGGGCACCAGCAGCGTGAGGTCAGCCTCGCTGAGCACGTGGAGAGCAGTCTCCAGTGACGCAGCCCCTCGCCCAACCAGAGCTGCTGCACGTCTTCGAGGCGGCGCACCCAGGCCATGGCTGCCCACGTGAAAGCCACCAGACGACCGTGGGGGCAGCCGACCCACCCAGGGCTCCAGGCCTGCGGGCCCAGTGTGCCGTGCACCCAGTGTTCCCTGTCTGGAGGGTTCGCATGAACCCGCGGACTCCTGAGGAAACTCGAGGGTGACAAAACAGCCAACCACATGGGGTTCCGAGAGCCAGAGGGGCTGAGGTCACCTGCTCTTGGGGTGCCGCCTTGCCAGAGACGCTCCCGTCCCTCCGGGGCTCGGAGCTTCCACTCTGGGCCCTCCTCTTGTTTCCCGACACCATGGCATCTGGGAACTGAGCATCCGGCCGCTCCCCATTGACCACAGGTCCCTCCTCCAGGTCCTCGACGTTTATCTGGAAAACAGATGGAGAGGACTGGTCAGGTGCCCCCATCACTTGACCAGCACCTGAGAAAGGTGTCAGCGCTGTAAGCAGAGCAGCTGGCGAGGAGTGTGCGCAGACAAGGTGACCTACAACCTGAGGACCATGGACCCCCAGACCCAGGACGAGGACAGACACCAAGGGGAAGCACCGGGCCCTCTGCCGGCTCCAGGAAGAGTGCAGGCCCTGGGCACCCGTCCTCTGCTGTTTCCAGCCATCACACAAAGCCCCCTCCGAAGTGCTGATGGCCGCCCCATGTTAACTCCTGAGGCCTGGAGACACCCCAGGAAGTAATGAGACCATCTCACAAACGTGGAACGATGCAAACACTCACAACCACGGGGGAGGGGCCGAGCCCACGCTGCATCTCAGCTCCAGAAAGGAGCGCGCCCCCACCAGAGACAGCAGCTACTGCCTGGCAAAGCAAGCGCCGGCTCAGGCAGGGCTTCCACGCAGATCCCCTCAGAGCCAGGCGCTGCTCTGGGGAGCCCACGTCGGGAACGCAAGCTGTTTCACACACACACCCAGGTCACTCATGCGGGCACTCTGTGACACCCAGGGACAGGAACAGCAGCAGAGGTGGTGGCATGCAGGGAGCCTGGGCCTGCAAGCCAGCTGGATGCGGAGGCCTGAGCCCAGGCTGTGTGGAAGAGCGCCAGGCAATGGGAGTCCAGGGAGGGCCAGCTGCGCCAAGGACAGAGCCATCGGCCGCCAGTCCTCACTCTACTCTCCATCCCAGTCCCGACCCCTGCTCCCTCGCTGGCTAACCATCCTACCCCAGGGAAGCCCCCACCCCCACCCCGGGGCCACTGGCTATTGTCCCCAGACAGGCAGCAGGACAGACTAGAGAGTGGGCAGGCCCAGGCAGAGGCGGTGGTCCCGTGCCGTCTGCAGGCGGTGTGCGAGAAGGAAGACCAGGGAGCCTTGCAGTGGGAAGAAAGGGGGTGCCCGCAGCAAACAGGGAAGCGGACGGAGGCAGAGGGCAGGCAGCGCTCAGCCATGTTGGAGGAGACAGGAGCTGAGTGGATGCGGGTGCCCAGAGCTCAGGTCAGGGCTGAACTGACCCACGTCACTGGGACGCTGGCACGAACATCCCTCTCTCCGTTCACATGAGTCCCTGGCTTCTCTTAAGATGCCTCACACACCTGTCTGTCCACGTGCCCCCATTCAGCAGGAGACCAGCCTCGTTCCAGACACCAGCACCACAGCCCGGGCTCTGGGCGTTGCCTCCAACATCACCCTCACCACACTGTGCAGGGTGCAAGCAGGCCGTCTCTCCCCAGGGCCTGGGGTGTGGCTGTGTGACAAGAGCCTTGCAGGGTGGGGGGGGGGGTGGTGGCAGGAGAAGCCCCAGCTGTGCCAGGCCTGAGCACACGCGTGATGGCACAGACCCCGGCTGCTGACCTCGCAGAGAGGTGAGGGGGGCTTTGATCAAAGTCAGAAAAAGCTGTGACACAGACGTCGGACAGACAGGAGGAGCACGGGGGCTGGGGGCTATTCTCCCCAGGGAGAAAACCCTGAGGCCACAGGGTGGGGCCCCGCCTTCCAGGCCAAACTGCATGGCAGCCCCAGCGCAGGAGCTACGGGAAGACCAAGGGTGGCTGGGTCCCCAAGACCCGGCCCTCACTCCACCCTCTAGTGAACCACCAGGAGCCCCAACAGCCTGCGCTGGGGCAGGCTCTGGGGTGCACGCCCTCGTGTGCCCGGGGGACGGCTGGCCCAAGGCCAGGGGGCTGGGCCAGCAGCGGGAGGCGGCCGGCATCTGCCCTGTGACGGCACTTGCTGTGCCGGACACCTGCCGCGGGGCTGCGGGGTCCTGGGCTGCGAGGACAACGAAACTGTGCAAAAGCCCCGCTGGAGCTCGTCTGGCCGCACTCGTCTGGCAATCCAGGGAACCGCCCCAGGTGCTGCGGGCCCGCCCCGCGGTCCCGTCTCTCCCCGCAGCGGCCTCACTCGCCGGCCCGCCCCCGCGGCGAGGCCACGCCCAGGCAGCCCGGGCCCCGCCGGCCCCGCCCTCGAACGGGCCCCGCCCCCAAGGCCTCGCCCCCGGCGTCGTGACCCCGCCCCACCGCGCCCCTCCAGTGACGTCACGGCCTGCCTCCGCGGACCCCTCGCGCCCTCCGTGACGTCACGGCCCGCCCCGGACCCGCCTCGCCGCCCCCCCCCGGCCGCCCCGCCACCCACCAGCTCGAACCGGTTGTTGACTCGGACGCCCTCCTTCTCTGCGCTCTGGGGGCGCCGGCCGGCTGGCTCCGGCCTCGGGGCTTCTTCTTCCGCGTCCTCGTCATCGCGGAGGACGAACTGCAGGGCGCCGGGCTCGAGGGGCTCCTGGCCGCGCTGTTCCCCCTCAGCCTGCGGAGGGCCCGGCGCGACATAGGGCCCAACGGCCACTGACGCCCGGAGACGGAGAAGGAAGAGCAGGGGGACCGCGGCCGGCGCGCCTGCGCACTGGCGCGGGGCTGGCGTGTTGCGTCTGCGCGCTGCGGCCCTCCGGAACTTCCTTTCCGTCCTCGCTGCGTCAAAGAAGGTGCGGCACGTCGGGCGAGTTCTCGCGCGACTCGGCGCTCCGCGTGGGGCCGCCGGGGGCGGACCGGGGGCGGGCGTGGCGGGGGCCGGGCGAGGGGCGGGGCGGGGGCCGGAGGGGGCGGGGCGAAGGGAGCGGGGGCGGGCGGGGCCGGGCGGGGGGGTCGGGCGGGGCCGGGCGAGGGTCAGGGGTGGGGGGGGCGGGGCCGGGGGGGCGTGGCGGGGGGGGCGGGCGTGGCGGGGGCCGGGCGAGGGCCGGGCGGGGGCCGGGCGAGGGTCGGGGGGGGGGGCGGGCGAGGGGCGGGCGGGGCGGGGGCCGGGCGGGGGGGGGCGGGCGGGGGCCGGGCGAGGGTCAGGGGGGCGAGGGGGCGGGGGCCGGGCGGGGGCGGGGCGGGGGGGGGCAGGCGTGGCGGGGGCCGGGCGAGGGGCGGGCGTGGCGGGGGCCGGGCGGGGGGGGGGGGGGCGGGCGGGGGCCGGGCGAGGGTCAGGGGGGCGAGGGGCGGGGGCCGGGCGGGGGGGACGGGGGGGGGGGGGCAGGCGTGGCGGGGGCCGGGCGAGGGGCGGGCGTGGCGGGGGCCGGCGGGGGGGGGGGGGGCGGGCGGGGGCCGGGCGAGGGTCAGGGGGGCGAGGGGGCGGGGCCGGGCGGGGGCGGGGCGGGGGGGGGGCGGGCGTGGCGGGGGCCGGGCGAGGGGCGGGCGGGGCCGGGCATGGCGGGGGCTGGGCGGGGGCCGGGCGGGGGCCGGGCGAGGGGCGGGCGGGCCGGGCTTGGCGGGGGGGCGGGCGAGGGGCGGGCGGGGCGGGGGCCGGGCGGGGGCGGGCGAGGGTCAGGGGGGCGGGGGCGGGCGAGGGGCGGGCGGGGCGGGCATGGCGGGGGGGGGGGGGGGGGGCTTGGCGGGGGGCGGGCGAGGGGCAGGCGTGGCGGGGGCCGGGCGAGGGGCGGGCGGGGGGCGGGCGGGGGCCGGGCATGGCGGGGGGGGGGGGCTTGGCGGGGGCGGGCGAGGGAGAGGGGGTGCGGGGGCCGGGCGGGGGGCGGGCGTGGCGGGGGCCGGGCGCCCAGCGCGGGGGCCGCGCGGCTGGGGAGCGCCTGGCAGCGAGGGAAGTGGCCGAGGGCGCGTGGGACAGCTCTCCGGGCAGCCGAGACGTGCAGACAGGAGGGGAGCGCCGGCCGCCCTGCCCCGCGCCGAGGCCAGGGTCGCGGGCCGCCGTCCAGGGCCCCGGGCAGGAGGGGCAGGTGGCCGTGGCCTCCGGGACTCAGCCCCGCGCCCTCCCGCCCCCTCTCGACCGGGCGCCCCCCGCCAGGGTGGGCGCGGTCTGGAGAGCGAGCAGGGCGCCAGCCCCTGGACTTGGAGTACTGGACGCCGGCTGGCGCGCTGCTGCTGCCGCAGGCCCCCACCCATCCACTCGCCCCAGCCGCCCACCCCTGAGGTACCCCCATGCCCGCTGCTAAAGGGCCGGCTGGCCCAGGCAGGGCTCAGGCTGCTCCTGGGCCGTCAGGCACTCCGGCCACCCTGGCCAGGCGCCAGCAGTTCACTCCGCTTCAGGCCTGTGCTGGTCTGTGTGGGCAACCGGGAGGCTCAGGCTGGCTCTCAGGTCTGGGCCGGGCAGCAGCCGTAGGGCACCCAGAAGAGCAGCTTCAGACCCCTATCGTGGGGCCCCCAGACGGTAGTTGCCCTGCATGCCCAGGGACCCTCAAAACAGATGTGCCAAGCCGGCTGCTTTGTTGTGTGAGTCCTGGACTCCGGCCTCCTCCTGCCGCGCCCACATGCAGGCCTCCCCAGGCCCCGGCCGAGGGGTCCTGGCCAGCTCTGTATCGTTGGCCAAACCCCTTCTGCTCTGTGCACCTTTTCCCCACAGGTGACTTCACCGCCTGGGTGCAGGTGGTCCTCTGGCCATTCTGAAGAGCAGGTGGGGCTGTCCCTACCCTGCAAACCCTGAGGGGACCACCCATCTGGAGAAGAGGAATAGGGATGAGGGATGCGGCCAGGGGTCTTCCAGGCCAGTGGGGACTGGACTGCCCCCACGCTGCCCAGCACACGGACCCACACACAGCCCTGCTGGCCGCGGGACCAGTGGGTTTAGAGGACAGGGGCGGGTCTGGTGGGGGTATCCTGACCGTGGACCCTTCAGGGCCTGGCGCTGGTGCTCACCCACCACGTGGCTGGATGGCCTTCCACCCACCACGCAGATGGAAGCCTGTAGCCACCTTTATTAGGCTGAGGGCGGCCATGTACAGACACACAGAACCCCCCACCTGCCAGGGCCCCCCGCCTGCCAGGGCTCCTGCCTTTAAGAATGTGAGGACAGCAGTACCAGTGGCACAGCTGGCAGCCGGGGGTCCCAGCAAGCTTGGCCTCAAAGCCTCTGTGTGCTGGTGGGAGGCCTGGGGTGCTGCCGGCTGCCTCTAAAGCCATGAGGCCACTGAGCGCCTGTGGGCTGAGCGGGTGCTCCACCCCCCGGGGTCTGAGGCAGCCCGTCCTGCCTGGATGTCCTCCTGGGCGCGGGGAGCGGCCAGGTTCTCATCCCAGGTGGAGACGAGTGTCAACACAAGCAGGGGTTTCTCCAGAAGGGCTCCACTGCCTAGAATCCTCTGTCCTCCTTCCCACTCCACCCCTGCCCGACACAAGGCAAGCGGAGAAGAACCTCCTCCTGGGGGGGCCTAGCAAGCGACTCCAACTGCACCCCGTGGGGGTGGCAGGAGACGCGTGACAAACGCACAGGCTCCACACGGGCATAAATGCATCGATCTGTATATATGTACATGCACGCTGGGGTCTCCCTGGCCCAGGACCAGCCCGGCTCCGCTCGGAGGCCCGGCCACCGTGCAGGCCCCGGCCGGGTCACTGCAAGTCCAGCGTCCAGGTGTGCGGGACATAGAGCGACTGGGTCTGGCGCGCGCGGCGCGGCGAGGCGTTGAGGGCGTGCACGCTCTGGCGGCTGGAGCGCACCACGTCGGCCACGAAGCGGGTGCAGTCGGCGCACACGTCCTTGAGGACGCAGCCGTGCGCATACATGTGCGGGAACTCCTCCTCCACTCGAGGCGCAGGCGAGGACCTGCGGGAGAGGCCGTCAGGGTGCCCCCCGCGCCCCCCGCTGAGTCTGGGCCTGAAGGCCAACGACGCGCCCCCAGGCAAGACTCCACCGCACCGCAGCCCCCCAGCACCCACTTGCCCCTGCTCCCCAGCTCTTGGTCTCACAGCTGCCACGCATTTGCGCCTCCTTCAGGCACCCCAGCTAGCTGACCGCCCCACAGGCCTGACCCCGCAGATGCGTCAGCGCCCGGCACCTACTGGGAGGCGTCCCTCCTCTGCGCGGGCGTGGCCTTGGCTGGGGGCGGCGCCCTGGGGGGGCTCTCGAAGCCCAGCGCGTAGACGGGGATGTGCGCCAGCTTCTTAGAGGGCATCTTCATCTGCAACACAGCAGCGGGCGGGGCCGCAGAGACTCCTCAGGCCGACCTCAGCGCCCAGGGCAGCCGGGGAGTCTCTGCCACCGCCTCGCCCGCGCCAGCCAGGCCTGCAGCTCCTCACCTCTGGCACCGGCCGCCCCTGGCCCTGTGGCCAAAAGCTTTAGGGCAGCACCCACAGGCGCCCTGGGCCCCAGCACTAACCCTCAAGTAAGGGTTTGAAACTTGGTCAAGTTCCTGCCTGGGCAGATTGTGGCTTCCGGGCCAGGGTCCTGAGTGATGCCCACTCAGTGTCCTGCCCTGCGCCGGGGCAGCTGTAGGTGCAGCTGCAGCACCCAGCCCCTGTGCCCAGAGGCCATCCTGTGGACAGGCGGGGCTCGCAGCAGGGCGAGGGCATCAGGCACCAGCCCACTATCACGGCAGCGAGAGAGTGAGCAGGCCCCCACACGGGCCTCAGAATGTGCAGGAAGGGCTCTGCCCGCAGGAGAAACGGCAGCATGGACTGGCCAGCTGGTGTTGTGTGCAGGGGTCAGGGGCCCCGTCCACCCGCCCACCTCCTGGGCAGGCCCGCACAGGCCGCTCGCATCTCCGGCCCCAGGCGGCCCTCACCTTCACGCTGCAGGAGCTGCACACGGCCCTGAAGGGGAAAGGGGGGGAGTCAGCCGGGAGTGGCCTCCAGGAAGCGCCCTGCCCGCGGCTGCTGCTCCTGCTGTCCTCCCCGCCAGAGACATGCACCTCCAGCGACCACGCAGCTGTCTCCTCCACGTGGTGCCCTGGGAGCCCAAGGCCAGGCGCTCAGTTTGAAACCACAGTTAAGTCTCTAAATCCCCGCCCTGACGTTGGAAACACACACTTCGCTGTTGCAGACCTGGATGGCAGGATGGGATGGCCGGTCTCCCTGAGCCGCCCTGCCAGCCCGGGTTTCCACCTCCAGCTCGCAGCCCCCCACAAGCACGCATTCCAGATAAAGAGGAGCGACGTGGACCTCCCTGGCGGCACAGAGGTCGAGTCTCAGCGCCATCAAGCTATCGGCAGTGTGACCCCCAACCAGGGAGGTGACCCGCAGGTCGCAGCAGACCTCTCCTGCCTCCCTGCTGCCCCCCACTCTGTCTCTGGTGAATCCTCTCACACACACACACATCTCTGGCCTGCACCCCAGTTCTTGTAGCATAAATAAATAAATCTTTTTTAAAAATTGAATGTAAACACCCTGGGTGTGGAAAGTGAGCAGCGAGTGGAGGCGGGGCACGGCCAGGACACTCCCTCCCGCCTCCAGCCCTTCCTGCAGGCGGCAGGTGCCGAGCACTGGGGGCTGCTGCAGGTCGTGAGGCCCCCACAGCATCCCTCCACCCCCTGGTCCAGCCACCCGGTCTGGTCTCCGGGCCTCAGTGCCCCGTGGGGCGAGTGCATGGGGCTCCCTGACTGCCAGGCTCCGGAGGCCGCCGCTGCCTGCTCTGCGGGGTTCTGGCTTTTCGTTTGCTTCTTCCCGGTGGAAGGGGTCTGGGGTCCCACCCAGGCTGAGAGCCGCCGTCCTTCAGGGTTACAGTTAGTCTCGACTGACGCCCGGAACTCGGGCTGCCGCCCCTCGCCATCTGCATGGCGTCCCGCACAGGAGCCTGGGCAGCACTGCTCCCCCCGGCCCTCGGCCGCAGGCTCACCTCTTGCAGAAGAGACAGCTGGACGGCCAGGAGAAGAGCGGGAACCTGGCCCGGCAGCAGCAGCAAATCTGGGGAAAGGGCCGTCTGAGCCACCGCTATGCAGGACGTCGCAGGGGCCTCCCCACCCGCCGCCCGCCCTCACCTTCCCCTTCTTCAGGCTGCTGAGGAGCTCCTTGTGCTGCAGGAACTTCTCCATCTCCGCCTTCACCAGCACTCGGCGCACATCCATCACCTCCTCCACCGTCAGTGCCAGGCTCTCCGCCGGGTGGCTGAACTCCTGGTGGGGCGGGGGCTGCTGTGCCTGCTCACCCAAGGGTGCCCCGCTGCGGGCGTCTCCCAGCCTCACCCACCACGCAGGCCGCACTGCCCAGAAGTCCCAGCAGGGGGCGGCAGACAGCAGGCCAGGTCTGACAGTCTCGGCCCCAACAAGTCACCCACAGATCCACCCCAGAAACGCAGGCTGCGGCTTGGCCCCCTCGTGGCCCCCAGGGTAGTGCCCATCACTCACCAGCCAGGGGTGACTGTCAGGGGCTGTCGAGTCCTCTGTCCTGGCCTCCCCGGCACTGCGGTGGCTGCGGGGTGGGGAGCGAGGGTCAGGGGAGTCCTGGATGTCCACGGCGGGGAAGCCTGGAGGAGGACACAGGGCATGAGGGGTCCTGGCAGGGGTCATGTTCTGCGGGCCAGTGCTGCTGCCATGGGGTCCTTAAGTCTCAGGGGGCAGCTTGGGGGCCCCCCTGAGTGGGTTGTGAATACCCAGCGTGACCATGCCAGGGCGGTGAGGAGGTGCCTCAAGGGCGGGGCGGGGCCTGGGCACTCCAACCTTGGTCATCGGCCATCACCCGCCCGCCAGCCGCCTCCCCTAGGCCAACGCCTCAGCAATAATCGCTGCGTGCTCGGAGTTGTGGGGAGTTAAAAGCCTAAGTTTTACAATGACCGCGGAGTCCTAACACTAAAATTCTCAGGCTAAAAAAAGCGGGGGACGTTGGCGTGAGGGGAGTCGGGCCTGAATTTCAGATCCCTTGCGGGCTGCCTGCTGGTGGCACCAGCCCAGGCGGGAGGGGACAGACTTGCCCTGCTCTTGGGCACCGGGTCTCCAGGCAAGTGCACTGCCCACGCGGGGCCGGGCCGGCTCTGCTCCTGCTGGGGGCTCAGGGGCTGGCTGGAGGCCAGCGGCCATTTCGCTCCGGAGCTGGGCCAGGTCGTGCTCCGAGAAGGAGCGGTCACGTTTCAGGGCCACCTCCCCGCACGGGGACTCCTCCTCCTGCGGACACAACAGACCCAGCCCTGCCCTGACTGCCCGTCCTCTGCACAAAATTGAGGCCTCAGGAGAAGGCCAGTGTGAGGACAGGGAGCCTGCGGAGAGCCCTGCCAGCTTCCCTGGGCCTGAGGCCAGCAAGGTGGACCCCACCCAGTGTCCCTGCCCCAGAGGCACCAGCCCCCAGCTCAGGCCCGTGCCCAGCCTCCGGCCCCACTAGCCATGCCGCCCGCTGCGGTCAGCCCCGCCCCCACCCGCAGGACGCTGGGCCGACCTCAGAGGCGCTCATCTCCTCCATCTCCGCCAGGGTGGGCGCCTTGAGGAGGACCCGGGGCCGAGGCCGCTGGGCGCTGCCCCTGGCATCCGCCACGGCCAGGTTGATGCAGGAGGTGGACTTGAGGTCCCCAGAGCAGGCGTCGAGGATGCAGGGCAGGGAGCCAAACCCTGGGTGTGAGGGTGGAGGGAGGATGTGGAGGGGTCAGGGAAAGGCCTGGGGAAGGGATGAGGGGCTGGGGAGGGGGGCTTGGGGGCTGGGGAGGGGCTGCTCACTCACCCCGGCCACCCCAGCGCTCGGCCCCCACTGGCCGCAGCCTCCGCTCCTGCTTGATCTCTTCCAGGATCTTCTCATGCAGGCTGCGCTGCTTCTGGGGCAAGGGGCGCAGCGTCCTCTCGGAGACCTGTGAGGCGGCCGCTGGGTGGGCAGGGCGCGGGTGGGGGAGGGCGCGGGCAGGGGAGGGGCCTCCCTGGGGAGCGACCCCACCTGCCCGGGGGGCCTGGCACCTGCTTCAGCGGAGGCCGGGAGCGGATGAAGTCCAGGATGAGCTCGTGCGCGTCTCTCTTCACCCTGGGAGGGATGTCCCCGTCCACCTGCGGGAGGCAGCTGAGCCTCAGGGCTGCCCGTGGTCTGGGCGGGGCAGGCCCGAGCAGGCCTGTCCTCACGGCTGTGGCCTCGAGGCTTCCCGTGGACCGGACAGGTGAGAGCTGTGCTCCCGGGCAGGGCCTGAGCGTCCAGGCGCAGCTCGGGTCTGCCTCTCCAGCGCACCCTGGGCCTGTGACTGTGCCCCGGCAGGCGCCCGCACACACAGCGGGGACTCCAGGCCGGGGGCGGGGGCGCCTCTGTGACAAGCATCCCCGACCATGGGGACCCCGCAGCCCCCGGCCCCACGGTCTGCTCACCATGACCTTGCGCAGCTTGTAGTTGCGGGCGCGGATGTCCTGCATGAGCATCTCGAAGGGCGTGAGCTGGAACTCGGTGGGCAGGGGGTTGAACTCCTGCTCCTGCACCTTCTTGAGCTTCACCCCGTGCCGCAGCTCGCGCATCAGCTGCACCCAGAGTCGGGTCTGGGCGGGAGAGGGCGGGAGCGGCCCTCAGCGGCTCCAGAGGCCGCCGCGGGCTCCCCGCGCCGGGGAGGGCGGGCTTACCCAGTCGGCTTACCCAGTCCGTGTGCCCCAGGTGGTTCAGCTCGGCCAGCGGCTCCTCCCCCGGAGGCTCCTCTTCCCGCAGCTTCAGTAGCATCTGCGGGCCAGGCAGGGGCAGGGGTGGGAGGGGCCCGCTGGCCTGGGGGCCCAGCCCGGGCCTCCCGCAGGCCGCTGGGGCACCGGAGCGTCATCGGGGGCCACGGCCCAGCCCAGCCACGGGCGGGCCGTCTCGCCTCCCCTCCTGGGGCCAAGACCCCTCCCGCCCGAGCCGCGGCCATCGGCCTCGGGGTTCATCGGCGGAGCCGGAGCCGCGCAGCGGACAGGGAACCCTTGCCCTTGAAACGCGGTGCCCGCGCGGGTGCCGACCAGGAGGATCTGACCTGCTTTGGACCAAGTCACCAGCCTCGCCGGGGGAGGGGAGCGGCGCCCGCCCACCGCACCCCTCGAGGCCGGGCCGCGCCTCCCTCCCGCGCGGCCGCCCCCACCCCAGCCTCCCGGCTCCGCGCCGGCCACAAGCACCCCCTCTCGAGCGGCCACGCCTCCCCCTCGCGTCTGCGCCCGCGCGCGGCTGCTGGGGCCGCACCGGAGCGGCCGGCGCGGGGTGCCTCGCTCTGGAGCCCGGCTGGGGGGGGGGGCGCGCGCGGACGGACGGGACCCCGCTGGCTGACGGACAATGATGGGGTGCGGGGCTGGGGGGCTGGGGGGCTGGGGCCGGTACTCGGGACGTCCTGGGGCGGCCACCGCGCGCGCTCGCGGGGCGGGGCGGCTCCGCTCCGGGAGGGGCGTCCGGTGGGGCCGGCGACCCCTCGAGCCGCGCCGGGCCGCGCCCTCCCTCGCCCAGCCGGGACGCCAGCAGCGGCCGGTCTGCGGCCCGACGCCCGCCCGCCAGGGGCCCCGACGCCCGCGCCCGCCCGCGGCTGGGACTTCAGGTTTCCGCGGAGGAAACGTCTGCGCTGGGCGAGGCGCGTCTCAGGCCGGAGCGGAGCCGCCCGGGGCGCGGGCGCAGGGGGCGGGGCGGGGACGGCCGGGGACTCTGCGGGAGGATGGGGGGCGGGGGCTGCTGCGCGGCTCTGCGGCCTGGGGGAGCCTCTAGACCACCGGCTCTGCGCACCCTGCGGGGCGGGGCACCCTCGGGCGGGGCTGGGGGGCAGGTGCTCCGCGCCCACGCCCTCCCCCGCGAGGCTCCCGTGTGGGTCCCGACCTCGGCGCCTGCGCCCAGAGGGAAGCACCCCGGGAGCAGCGCCCCGGGCAGGGAGGAGGGGGGGAGACGGACTCCAGGCGGGGCGGGCGCCCAGGGGGGCGGGCAGGCAGGGGTGCGTCTGGGCCGGCCCCCCCCGCGGTCCGGGCGCCCCCGCTCACCTGCTTGGCCTCGCGCACGCGGGCGAGGAAGGCCTGCAGCTCCAGCGTCTCCACGAAGAGCGCGCGGCACACGGCCTGGTAGTGCGCGGCGGCGCCCCCGGGGTCGGGCAGGCGCGCGGCGCAGAGGCGCATGGCCCGCGCGAAGGTGCGCACGGCGCGCGCGCCCTCGGCCTCCTCCTCCTCCTCGGGGCCGCCGTAGCCCTCGTCGGCCGCGCCGCCCTCCTCGCCGGCCGCGTCGTTGTTGGCCATGAGGTCGATGAGCCGCTCCAGCTGCGGGCTGAGCTCGCGCTCCTCGCTCTCCGCCAGCCCCCAGTCCAGCGCGCGGTACACGGCGAAGCCCAGCGACTGCACCACCTGCGGGCGAGCGCGTGAGGGCCGCCCCGACGGAGCCCGGCCAGCAGCCCGGCCGGGAGCCCGGGGACGCGGGGGCGGGGGCGGGGGGCGCGGGGGGCGCGGGGCGGGGCGGGGGAGCCGCGCCCCTGGCGCTGCCGTCGGTCAGGCCGGCGAGGGGCCTGGGGCTCGCCGCGGAGCCGGCGCGGCGTCCGGGCTGTTCCGAAGCAGAGGGCCCGGCGCCCTCAGTAAACGCCAGGAGGACGCCCAGGGGCAGGCGACAAGCCCCGTAGCTGACCTTGTAGGAAACATTTTAAGCTGCGCGTGAACCTCGCTGTGTGTCCGTTTGGCTGGGGGAAACCCTAAAACCGAGCCAGGCTGCGCCCCCGCTGGAGTATTAAATACGCTCAGAGCCCCCCGACCCACAGAGCCCCGCGCACTGGCACTCGCGCCTCGTGCAGAGACCCCGTTACTGGGGAGACCGCGGGGTTCACTTGCGGCCGGCCTTGTGCACGGGCTTTGCCACAGGCCCTGCTCTGTGCGGGCGGCGGGCGGGCAGACAGACGCCTGGCCTGCCGTGCCTTCGCCATGCCCCCCACAGTCCCCAGATGAGCCCTCGCTGCTGGGGGGACATAGAGTCCACTGCGGCTGGTGGCCTGCCCAGCTGGACTTGGGACTCACTGTTGGAAGCCATAGCTCCCAGCTAGCAGGAGTGACCCCGCTTCTGGTCCAGGAACCACACCCTCCCCAGGCACCGCCCATCCCGGCCGACAGGCCTCCAGGGCCCTGGGCCTCTCATTTCCCAGCACAGGGAGCCCAGGGGGCTGGCCTGAGCAGGGCTGAAGGCGAGTAGGCCTTGGGAAGCATCAGGGCTGTGGGTCAGCCTGCACTGGGAGGTGGGGGGGGGGGCATGGGAACCAGATCCCGCCTGAGCCAGGAGTCCCTGGCCACCCGGAGGGGTCGGCCTCCCGGCAGGGAGGTGACCCAGTCACAGTCAACGTCGTGACTCCAGGTGAGGCTGAGGCCTAAGGCCGCTGGCGCCCAACAGGGACTGGGTGCGCTGGCGAGGCGGGTGCAGCCCTGTGGTGGGGTTCGGTGGTGGGGCTGGCCACAGTCCACACAAATTCAACTTTATCCCAGCCCAAAGCTGGGGGCTGCCCTTCTGGTTCTGAGCCGTCGCCAGCAGAGGCCCCCGTGTCCCCAGGAAAGGGCAGACCCCACCACATGGCTCCCCCACCCTGGCCTGAGCAAGCAGCCCATTATGGGAAGGGCTGACTCCAGCGCCAGCCTCTCATCTGACCGCTGGTGCCCAGAGCTTCTCTGTGCTCTGCCCAGACCCCGGACATGCTCCCTGGAAGGCAAACAGCTCTTGCTTTCCGGGGGTAAAAATCCGGGCAGCTGACCAGTCTCATGAACGCCAGTCCTGCCTGCCCACAGCAACCTGCCTGCAGCGCTGGCCAGCCAGGGCCGGCCCCATCTCGGGGAGGACACAGCCCCTGGCGGGGCCTCGGGCAGCCCACCCGGCCACAGCCTTGCAAATATTCCAGTGGGTTCCCTTGGGGTGGTGGGGGCAGAGCTGTCCAGCAGGACACTGGGCAGACGCCCTGGAGGGCTGCCTGGGGTGGAGCCTCAGATGCAGGCGCACCGGAAGGTCAGAGGGTGAGGGCGCTGACAGCACGCAGACAGCACAGGCAGCTCTCAGGGACACACCCTGGTTCCCGTCCATCGGGACTCGGCCCGGGGCCGCACAGACCCGCAGCAGCAGAGTGGGGCAGGGAGCAGCAGGGCAGGGGAGGCCGGGCCCATCACTCCCTGCTGACAGCCCCCTGCGTGTGGCCCTAAGCAAAGGCAGGAGAGCTTTGGGGTGCTGTTCCTGCTGCGTCCTCCAGGAGACCCACAGCCCCTCTGGCCGGGCCCCCCCATGAGTTAGATCTCTGGCCTGCACCCCAGCTCTTGCATGCATAAGTAAATAAATCTTAAAAAAAACAAAAGACACAGCGACACTGGGCCAAGCGACACCAGGCTCGCTGCAGCTGTACCTGGGCTTCTGAGCTGGCTGGCGACACCACCATTGTTGTGGGCTCTGCAACAGGAGAGGAGAGCAGTTAGGCATGTCCGGCACCTGCCTCCCCTCAAAAGCACTGGGCACCCCCAGGGTTTCCATCTGAACCCCGAGAGACACAGCAGTTGGAGCCACCGGGCACTTGCTTGGACACCCGCACGCGCTGGCGAGCCAGACCCCAGGTGCCGTCTGATGGCCGCACTGCCCTACATTGCGCTCACCACCCCAGGGGAAGGTTGGGGGGCAGCCAACAGAGACACCAACCAGCCCCTGGAGGCCCCGCCCCTGTGGTTGGAGACAAGAGGCGCAGGACCGGGGGTAAGGGGAAGCAGGACCCGGGAGTCACCGAAGAGACCTGCGAAAGGCAGGTCTCAAAGGAAGCGGCAGGCTTTGTTCTGGGGGCCCAGCCCTTGGCTGCCCCCTCTGGACTTGGGGGCCCCCCAACTATCCATCTGTCGGAGAATCAATCCCCGACTAAAGGCAGGAGCTAAGCCGAGCTCCAGCTGTCTGTGCTGTCACACATGGCCACCCAGCCGGGGCAGGTGGCCGGTCCCCACTTCACAGCTGAGGACAGGGAGGTGTGAGGGTGCGTGGTGTGCCCCACACCCTGCTCAGATCCAGAGGATCCGATTGCCATGCCCAGCACAGCCCGCAGGCCAGCAGCAGGCCGAGAGCTGACCTTCAGCTGCCTTAAAGCTTTTCTGGAATGAGATGGGGTTAAAAAAAAAAACATAAACCATGAAATTGTCTGTTAAGCAAACCTGCTAACTCTGCAAATGTTTTCAAGATGCCATCAGGAGCAGGAAGATCGCCAAGGATCAGGGGTTTGCATTGGGCTGGCCCATTAAAATAAGGGGGGATGGTCCACCTGGGCTTGTCAGCACCACCGCGACAGCGCTGGTCAGTTGGTGACAGTGTGTCCTGCGCTGGATGGGGCAGCGGGAGTGAGAAGGCAGGACCGCGCTCTGCGTGGGGCAGCCCCAAGTGAGGGGCGGAGCCGCCAGCTGGCCATACCCGCAGCCCCCCCCCCATACAGGCACCCCAGCAATACGTGGTCAGTGTCCAGGTGCAGGGCTGCAGGGCTTCTGCTGCAGGGCTCCCAGGGGATCCCTGGGGACCCCAAGGAGACTATTGGGGCAAAGACCCCAGGCCACCACATGGAGCCAGCCGGGGCACCCTCCACAGGAGAGGAAGCTACCTGGCCATGTAGCCGACCCGCCAGGCCCCGCCCATGCTGAGGGCTGAGGGTGCGCGGGCTTCTCCCGTCACACCTGTCCTCTGCGCAGTGGCTCCCATGGCCCCTCCTGCACACCGGCAGGGCGGGGCTGCAGGGGCGCAGGGTCCTGTGGGCAGCAGCGTGGGGAGGCCTGGGGCTCTGCGCTGGCCTGTGGGGGACGCCCCCACATACAGGGAGCTCAGGACAGGAGAAGACTCTGGAATCAGACAGCCGGCCCCTCCGGGCCCCTCTGGCTCCCATTCTGCCCCCATGGCCCCGCGTGGAGCCCAGCGCAGGTGCTGCCCCATGAGGAGGCTGGGGCCCACCTGGAAATGCGCCCGTCAAGGCTTGTTCCGGCATCAAAAATAAGCCCCAGCTCGGCCTGTCTCCGGCCAGCCGCAGAGCAGGGTGTGGGGCCGGGGCAGGCACTTGGGTGTGTCTGCAAACAGCACAGGGTCAAAGACATCCACCCCTCCCTGCAGTGCGGCCCGGCAACCAGTGGCCAGCGGGTGAGGGTGGCTTCTCCGCCAGTGCCGCTCCCCAGAGCGACCTCTGCGGGCATCGGGTGCCACGGTCAGGCCACCCCGGCCCACAGAGTCCTGCCTGGCAGCAGTGGGTGGGGCCAGCCAGGCCCTCGGGGTCCTGGGTGGCACAGCCCAGCTGCCCGGTGTCTGCCCCAGGCGCCGTCTCGCCCAAGCCTTGCTGGCACCAGGACGCGGCGCAGCTGCCAGTCACTGCGCTGAGGCTGAGCTCCATGGTGGGTGCAGGGCCCACCCTGGACCTGTCCCTTCTGACTGCCCGGGGTACTTATTGGCCCTGGAGCGCCCTCAGGGCTGGTGCACTGCCAAGAGGCCTGGCTGGAAATGCAGGTTCCTGGGCCCGCCCGAGCCCGGGCTGGACCAGTCTCTGGGCCCGTGCTGCCTGCGCACGTCTCGCGCCGCCGCGGGGCTGGGTATGAGCGCAAAGCAAAGAAATGGGGCCCTGGCGGCAGGCACGGCTCCCCTGGCCCCTGGGCAGGCGGGGACCCCAGCCTGTGCCAACACCCCAGCCCTGCAGGCTGCCTGCCCCGCAGCCGGACGCGGTGTCTAGAAGGGGCTGAGTCCGTGTGGTGCAGCCAGACCGATGGGGCACTGGTGAGCTCCCACCCCCCCGCAAACACGCACCGTCCAGCCTTGGGGAGCTGCTGCGAGGCAGAGCCCTGGCATGGGATCCCGACACTGCACGGGGCAGGGGGCTGCCCGGCACAGGCCCCTCCCCACCCGCAGCGCGACTCCTAGCCACCAGAAGTCACCCCCAGGGCCCCTAACCCGGCCGTCCCTGAGGCCACGCTTCCACGGAGGAACCCCGCAGGGCCAGCGTCCCCCTGCACCCCTGCTCGGGCGGCTACAGCCCGGGACCAGCCACCGGCCATGCCCACGGCACCCACAGCTCAGCCCCCTGGGGCAGGACGGGAAAGTGAGCGGTTCTGTCTCGGCACAGACAACCCAGAACGAGCCCCAGGAGGACCAGGGCCCGGGGGCAGAGGGACAGGAGCCCCCCCCCAGCCCCTCAGGGAGACCCTCCCGCTGGGCCGACTGGCTTCCACAGGCAGCACTGACACCCCAAGCTGCCATGGGCAGCATCCAGGCGGCCTGTGGCGAGCGACATGGAGGACTGCTGCAGCCAGGAGGGTCCCGGCTTCCGGGGGCTTCAGGGAACAGGTGTCGCTGCCCCGAGCAGGCCACCCCCACACAGCAGCCAAGGCTGCCCATGGCAGAAGCCCCGGAGAAACTTAAGACCAGCCCAGGAGACGCTGCCCACAGGAGGGGGCCGCCAGCAAGGCCCAGAGCCCCCCTCATGCTGGACCTGGGAAGGACAGCCCCCGAGCCCCAGAGCCCACTGCAGCCCTGGCGGCCACGCCCCGCTCACACAGACGGGGGATGCGCCTCGCTGCGGCCCTGCGGGCCTGGGGCAGGTGGGGACGGGGCTGCCCCTCAACAGCCACATGAGCAAAGCAGAGGAAGTTGCTCCAGGCGGCACCAGGCCCAGAGGGACAGGCCACTCACAGGCCAGGGTGTCTGGGACAGCTGGCCCAGAGGGCAGGTGTGACTGGCAGCAGCCCCCCTGCCAAGTGAGGCATCCAGGTGTGAAGACTGGGGCCTGTAGAAGGTTTCACAACAAAGTGACAAGAAAAGCAAGCAGTGAGGCAGGCGGAGTGAGCTGGCAGGGCAGATGGAGGGCGGAGCGGAGGCGGGGCCTGGCCATGCCCCGGGGGCCTGGGGCCCAGGCGGGTGTCCTGGAGCTGGAGCCCAGCACTGCCCCACCGGGCACTCTCTGGAGGGCCTGCAGACATTCCAAGGCCACCTGAAGGCTGACCGCCTCGTGGGGTCAGCCCGAGGCCACTGGGTCTCCTGATCAATTAAAAAGACCCTTTCCCCATCCGAGGCGCTAATGACGGCCCTAGCCCGCCTCACAGCTGCTTAAAAATAACCTCCCGCGTTAACACGGCTTCCCGCTTTTGAAAAGGGGCTTCCACGGGAAGCCAAGCTGCCATCGCAACAACTGCGTGGGAAGTCACCCTCGCGCGGCATTTACCTCCGGCTGGTGTCCCCTGGGCAGACACAGGGGTCACGTCCACGGAAGCAAAACAGAACAAAACAGAGTGGCAGGGTGGGGGGCGGGGCCTCCCTGGCCACGCAGGGGTTAAGCCCAGCACTGTGAAGCTGTCCGCAGCCTCTGCAGCACGAGTTTGATCCCCAGCCAGGGAGCAACCCACATGGCACAGCAGACCTCCCCATCTACCTGCTGCTCCCCTCAGCAGTGCCTTTCAGTCAGTCTGCCTGTTCTGCTCCCCGCTCTGTCTCTGGTGAACCCTCTCACCCCCGCGCCTCTGGCCTGTACCCCAGCTCTTGCATGCATAAATAAATCTAAAAAAAAACCACACACACAACAGAGCGGGGGTCTCCGAGCTCCTAGGAGAAGGCCTCCCTGCGGGCTCAGAGCTCATGCGGGCAGCCCCCACCCAGCTCGGACCCGAGACTAGCCACCTGTGTGCCAAGGTCAGCCCCCTAGTACAGTTTTGTTGGTTGATTTTTAAAGTTATTTTAAACATCCAGGAATTAAATTCCTTAGTCCTGAGGCTGAGCAGCGCCGGTGAGTCCCTGCAGGGAGCCATGAGCCCCCTGCCGTCCCTGCAGCCCGGAGCACGGCTGGCCAGCAGCCCGGAGGCACCGGAGCTGTCTTCCGCAGCCGACTCATGGAAGTTGAACAAGGACAGACGAGACAGCTCAGGGCAGCTACTTTTCTTAATCTTTAAAGAGGCCGCAGCCCTCACCCATCTCTATAAGACGCATTTATGAAGAAGAGACAAGATCACCCCAAGTTGAAAACGAAACGGCGCTGAGGTCCCGGGCGCTGCCCCCTGGGAAGGGGACAGGGCAGGAAGGCTGTGGCTGAGCTTGGCGCGTGCCCGGCCAGATTCCCGGGCAGCTGTGAGCAGCGAAGCCAGAGGTGCCGCTGGGTCTGCAGGGGCCAGGAGAAGGAGCCCTCGCCAGGGAATGGACAGGTGGAGGAGGCAGGACGACCCCAGGATGGCCTCCCGGTGTGCTTTGAGAGCCCCAATAAAGAAATCCACTGCCGCCTCTTCCCCCTGCCCCTGCAGAGAGCAGGCAGCCCTGAGCACCGCTCGGCCTTGGCTGGCCCATGCCGCTGTCCCCATCTTCAAGTCAGAGGGTCAGCCAGGTGGATGCCTTACAGTGCCATCCCCTTGCGGGGCTTGGGGTTACAAGGATGACCCCCAGGGGTGGAGGGGGCACCTGGGTGGTCTTTTGAGGAGGAAAATACCACCTCAGGAGAAGGCCCCATGTGACTGTGCATCCCGAGGGCCCTCGCCGAGCCCCCCGCACCTGACACTGTGAGACACCCAGAGCCGCGAGTGCGGACCCAGACCGGCCACTGGCCGTGGCTGTGGCACACCAGGGCCTCAGCCCACTCGGCACCACAGTCAGTGATCAGCTCCTACTGTGTCCGCCTGCCAAACTGCCTGTGCTTTCTGTGCGAAATAGCGACTCACAGGCTCAGGGGAGGTGTGGCTGGAGGGGGGCTGGCCATGGGACAGGATCGGGCACGTGGAGGGCAGTCCCTGGCAGGGCCCAGAACCCTCCCTGTCACCAAGGAGGCCCTGGCTGGTGTCGCCTGCCCGCCCCCCAGCCCCCGTGCGGCCTGCCCATGGGCATCTCTGCAAGTCCGAGCTCTCAGGCTGGACGGTGCCCAGCGCCCAGCCCTCCTCCGCACACTCAGCTGGCCCTGGTGCTTCCTAGCAGAACAGCAGCTGGGGCGGGGGGCACGAAGGGCTCCATCCCAGCGCTCCAGGGAAGAAAATGAGGGTTTTTTTTTTTCCAAAGAAAGACTAAATCGTCTCCTAAAACCGGCCAACTAGAACAGATTCCAGGTGCCTTTCAATGGCTGAGCACCGGTTCTCGAGACTCTGAGCAGAGCCACCCGGAGGCCGGGAATGTCACCGAGTCCCTTTCTCGGTCACACCCGGGACTCGCGGCGCAGCGCTCGGGGCACCGGCCTCTCCCGCCCCGCGGCCCCGAGGGGCGCGTCCTTCCCGCCGAGGACGCGGCCTGCGCCCCCAGGGGCCTGGCCCGCAGGGCTGGGCTGGTGCCGAGGGCCGGGCGCCGCCGAAGGAGGCAGGGCAGGCGGGGACCGCAGAGGGGAGCCCGGCGCCGGCGCCCCGCGCCCTCGCCCCAGAGGGGAGCCCGGCGCGGGGGCCGGCGCGGGAGGAGCTCCGGCTCGGGGCGGGAGGCGCGGCCCCCAGGCCGCCGGGCCGGGAGGGGCGGGGTCCAGGTCGGGGCGCGCCGGGGCTCGCGCGCCCGCCCCCCCCGCGCCCCCCGCCCCGCCCCCCCCGCGCTCCCCGCGCTCCCCCCCCGCGCGCTCCCCCGCGCGCCCCCCCGCGCGCCCCCCGCCCCGCGCTCCCCCCGCGCGCTCCCCCCGCGCGCTCCCCCCGCCCCGCTCGCCCCGCGCGCTCACCCTGGGCGCCGGGCGCGGGGCGCGCGCCGACCGAGCCGTCCCTGCGCAGCAGCAGGTCCGCCGGGTCCCGGATGCGCCGCCCGCCGGCCGGCGCGCCCCGCAGCCCGCGGCAGCCCTGGAAGCACACGGCCCAGGCCTGCTCCTCGTTGAGCGGCTGCTCGTAGGCCGCCAGCACCGCCTGCAGGGACAGCTCCCCCGGCTCGGGCCGGCCCGCGCGCCCCGCGCCCGCCGCGCCCGCCGCGCCGCCGCCGCCCGGGCCATGGCGCCCATCCCCGCCGCGCGGCCGGTCTCCAGGGCGGGCGCCGAGCGCGGGCGGGGCCGGCGGCCGCCGCTGTGTCATCCGGCCCGCCCCGGGCGCAGGTGAGGGCGGGCGGGGCGGGGGCGCGGAGTGGGCGGGGCGAGTGGCGCGGGGCGGGCCTCGGAGTGGGCGGGGCGGGGCCGGGGGCGGGGCGGGGGCGCGGGGGCGGGCCCAGCGGGCGTAGGGCCGGGTGGGGGTGGGAGCGGGGCGGGTCTGGGGGCGCGGGCCCTGCGGGGGGCGGGGGCGGGGCAGGGCAGGGGGCGCGGGCCGGGGCTGGAGGGGGGTGAGGCGGGCGGGTGCGGAGCCCACGAGGGGCGCTGCCCACGGCGGCGCGCGGGAGGGGGGGCCGCCCCGGCCTCCTCCGGGCAACCAAGCACCAGGCCGCCCTCCAGCCCAGGCGGCGCCGCGGGACTCGGTGCCCGTGGCCAGCAGGCCGAGAGGGAGGGGCCTGTGAACCGCCGGCGGGAACTGGCTTCTCTCCGGGGGTGGGGGACTCACAGATCACCTTCTCCACCAGAGCGCCCAGGCTGCATCGGGGCGCCAGTGTCCCCTGAAATCCTGCAGCTCGCCAGGGTGCCCGCATTCCCCCTGAGTCCAGGAGGGGCCGTCGGCCCACAGGTCACCTCGTCGCCTGGCCAGGGAGTCTTCGGCCCTAGCTGTAGCTGCGGAGATCAGATGCGGCTGGAGCGGCTGCGGCTCCGGGTGCTGGCCGGGCCTGGGGTGCACCCCATGCAGGTAGTGGGCTCAGGACTGGGGCGCCGGACGGCGTGAGGGGCTCAGGCCTGGAGTCCTGGTGGTTCTGAACAGCTGAGTATGGAGAGGCCAGGTCCCCGCCCCCCCAAGGAGTTGGTCACTTGGGACCAACTGTCAGGTAATCCCTTGAGGATCTTTAATCTTCAAACAGAAAGGAGCCTGAGGGGCCTCCCTGGGGGCCCAGGGTTTAGTCTCAGGCTATCAAGCCGTAGCCAGTTCGACCCCAGGACAGACCTCTGGCCTGCACCCCACTTCTCGTATGCATAAATAAAGGAAAATAAATCTTTAAAATGAAAGAAAGGAGTTTGATACAAATGAATTGCTCCACAAGTTTTACATTTGAGACTGGGCAGGTCCCCAAGTGTGCACGGCAGGTCCCCAAGTGTGCAGGGCCGAGGGTAAAGCAACATGAGTGTTGGTGCCTCCCGGGAGGAAAACCAAGGCAGGTGTTGACTCCCGAGCAAACAGAGCCTGGACGGGGCTCAGGGACCAGGGACTCAGCGGCTCTCCCTGCCGACCCCGCTTCTGGTGGTGCCCTGGAAAAAGGCTCTCCTCGATGGCTAGGGCTTGGTCAGGGCTCAGCCCAGCTGGCCTGTGGCCGTGAGGGCACCCTGTAAGAGCACAGGCCCTCCTGGGTCCAGCACTAACCAGTGCCCAGGGACCCCCGTTTGGTCATACGCCCGTGGCCAGCAAGGGCCCAACGCTGGGGTGTCACTGGGGACATGGAGAGCCTCTCCTTGCTTCCCGCCTGGAGTCTGCAGGGGGACCCTGGCCGGAGGGGGTGGGGGTAGGTGGCGGGGAAGGGGTCAGAGGCTCCGAAAGCTCTATGGATGCTCCTAGAAACCGTATCTTTTCTCCTCCAGCTGTGCCCCAGAGATGCTAGGTGACACCTACGCGTGGGCCACAGGGCCAGGCAAGGGCAGCCAGGCCAGAGCAGGTCTGGGAAGTGAGTCCCCGCCTGTCCAGGGGAGAAGCTGGCCAGTGACTGTGGTTCCCACAACTAACAGGGGTCAGGGTCCAGTATCAGGCCCCGCAGTCCTCCCTGAGGTCAAAGCTAAGACGGTTGTGATGCCGGTGTGTGTAACAACTGCTGCCGCTTTACCACGAGTTCTTGTCTCGCGAAACCGTAGAAAGGAATTCACAGACTTTTGGAGTAAGTAAGCAGAGAGAGACAAATCTTGTCTCTGAAAGAAAAGTTTATTTAGGAAGAAAAGAGACAAAGAAGAAAGACTCCCAGGTATAAAGTACCTGGGAGGGGCCAAGATGAGCCGGTATGGGATATTAGGTTGGCAATATATACTTTCTCTCCCTCATTATGTTTAATTTTTACTCTTTCTCTCCCTGATTGGCTAACTCCCAGAGGGTACTAAGCAAGGACTTTCACATTCCTTAACAGTATTTTCTTTCCCCATCTGTTATGCTTATCGCTTTACCTTTATGGTCCAGCCCTCCCGGTGAGCATCTTTACACTTCATCTTACCATCTGAAGAAAACCAGGACCATCCTTAACAAGGTTACCTGTGGTGCTAGGATGTTTGTTTTCCCCTAGTGTTTAACAATGGTGTTTGTTTTTCCCAGTGGAATTGGTTGCATTTCCTTGGTTATCCTTATCTCTGAAGCCTTCCTGATTTCTTCAGAGGTCCCCTCCTGCACTATCCCTAAAACTGCCTAATAACCCTAGCTTGCCCTGTCTCAGTTGCTCCTTCCCAGGGTGGTGCAGCTGGCACCTCTGCCAATCCCAGGTCAGACGGAGGCCACGCTCCAGGCGGGGCAAACGCCACTGGTCCTGCCCAAGCAGGGCAAACAGAGGCCAGGGCGGGAGCAGGTGCCCAGCCAACTGCACAAAGGTCGCGTTGCGCTGCCGTGCGCGGAGCACAGCACGTTCGTCCTTCCTTGATCTAATCTTGCCTCTTGGAGTTTAGAACTAAGACAGGGGCCCCCACCTGGAGTCAGGTGGGGCTGGGGAGGCCTGTGGCCAAGCCCACCTCGAGCTCGGGGCCAGGCCACTCCTGCCACTTGCTCCTGAGGCATGTCTTCTGTGTTCACGCCCGTGGAGCCACGGGAAGGGTGGGAGCAGGGCTGGCCACATGTTGCTGGGGGCCGCCAGGCGGGGCCTCCCCGCTGTTTGGGGACAGGATAGGAGCAGCCAGTGTGATGACACATCACCTGAAACTGGAGAATCACAGCAGCACAGACGCCCCCAAGTTCGGGCCTCATGGTGGGCGCTGCTAGTCCGCAGCCGCTGAGTGCTATGTTGGGACTCGTGCTGGGGCCAGACCTGGTGCTCTCCTATGTGCAGGCGAGGCGGGCACAGGTGAGACGGGCACAGGTGAGATGGGCAGCTGGCCGAGGGAGCCTGCACCGCGTGTCTGATCCTGGGGTGATGTTGTTATAGGGCAGGGAGAGGGGCAGCCCAAACCCCGCAAACCTGCCTATTCTACATGGGTTCTGCCATCCGCCGCATCCACACAAAACATAGGAGACTTTAACGGGAAGGAACTTTAATAAAACTAGGAAACAATACAGGGAAGGCCAAGAGTCTAGTTTCTAAATGAAGCATCCAGAGTTCCCCGTCCCCTCGTGGGTAAAAGTCCATCCATATGGGATTGGCCCAGAACAAGGCCCCAAAGCCTGCCACAAGTCTAAAGCATCTTCCAGTGGGGACCCACAGAAAAGGGTCACAAACAACCGGACAAGCCCGGAAGGAAAAGAGCAAAATCAACATCAAGATAAAAGCTGCCATGGTCACCTCCCCACGGGTCTCACCCAGATGGGAGGACAGACTTGACCGTCAGCTGCCTCTGACTATGAAGAACCTAGTGCAGGAGAAGATCTTCTCTGAAGAAGCCCAGAGGTGAGAGAAACTCCCCTGTTTACTGTTTATATGGACAAGCCTCGGGTGACCCTAAAAATGGCAGACATAAAAATCACCTTTTTTGTAAATAAGGGGCCACTTACTCTGCCTTACTCCAATTCTTTGGACTGACCTACTGGTCAATTGTCCCCTCACTAGTACAAATGGCCAGCCTGAGCCAGGATACTTTACAACACTGCTACCTTGCTGGCTACAAGGCTACTTGTTTATACATTTTTAATTTTGTTTTCCTAACTATTAAGATGGAGAAAATTGTAACTAAAATCCAAACTAGCAGCCTCCACAGCCACTATTGGCTCTCCTAGCTGCTGCTACTAAATATAAAATGGTACTGAAGTCCTAGGTCTCACTAATTCTGTCATTTTGGCTACAACACCTCCAGATATTTGGGGCACTAGCCCAACATTACTCCTTAAAATCCCTAGTCTTAGTGGTAATATAAAATCGCAGAACCCTAGACCTGCCGATGGCAAAAGTTAAAGGAGTTTGTGCCCTCTTAAATGAAACATGTTGCTTTTAAATAAATACTTCTCATGAGGTAGAAGAAAATTTAAAAATACTGAAGAAAAATATACAAATTGTGAATGATCTCAAAAGACAGGCAGGGCAAGGGCTTAGCTGGACACAGACAGTCTATCTTTGATTCTATAAAAGGACAACTTCTGTCCTGGCTACTGCCTTTTCTCGTTCCCTTACTAATTCTCTTTATTGTTCTTTTGTTTGGGCCTTGCATCCTTAATATTCTCCTTGGAATCATCTCCGCTCGCCTGGAGGCCATCAAGCTCCAAATGGTCCTTCAAATGAAACCCAAAATGACGTCTCCACAGTCCATCTTCCGGGGTCCCTTAGATCATCATCCTACTGTGGAACCCTAACTGTCTCCCCAAGTCGCCCACTCTCAGCAGGAAGCAGTCATTGATCAGACCTATGTCCCTTTTCCCTAACTGCAGTTAGGGCTCCACTCATAAAAGGGGGCAATGAGACAGGGCAAGCTAGGGTTATTAGGCAGTTTTAGGGACAGTGCAGGAGGGGACCTCTGAAGAATTTAGGGAGGCTTCAGATATAAGGACAAGCAAGGGAATGAAACCAATTCCACTGGGAAAAACAAACATCCTAGTGTTACAGGGTGGTCCCCAGGAAAGGGGGAGGTTCCCTGCCCCACCCAAGGGAGGGTGGAGCTGAGCAGGAAGAGGAGAAGCTGCAGAAGAGACTGAGGAAGGAAGCAGGATGGAGCCGGGAGACCTGGAGGAGGCGCGTGGAGCCTAGAGACACGTGAAGAAACTGCGCTTGTCTTTTGGTCGTGGACGGGGTGACACAGATGTGGGGGAGACCCGTGGGGAGGTGACCATGGCAGCTTTTATCTTGATGTTGATTTTGCTCTTTTCCTTCCGGGCTTGTCCGGTTGTTTGTGACCCTTTTCTGTGGGTCCCCACTGGAAGATGCTTTAGACTTGTGGCAGGCTTTGGGGCCTTGCTCTGGGCCGATCCCATTTGGATGGAGTTTTACCCACGAGGGGACGGGGAACTCTGGGTGCTTGATTTAGAAACTAGACTCTTTGCCTTACCTGTATTGTTTCCTAGCTTTTATTAAAGTTCCTTCCCATTAAAGTCTCCTATGTTTTGTGCTGATGCGGCGGATGGCAGAACCCATTTAGAATAGGCAGGTTTGCGGGGTTTGGGCTGCCCCTCTCCCTGTCCTATAACAATGTCTGTGGGGGTGGCCCTGCAGTGCAGCTGGGGGGCTGTGGCTTGGCTATACCTAACCCAGGAGGGGCCCCTTGTGTTTTTGCAAAAACAGAAGCTAGAAGAAGGATCCTAGGGTTTTTGACTCCTGGACGCCAAAAACTAAATTGGGATGAACCCCAGAGCACTGTGGATAGGGCTGTGTGACCCCGGGAGGGGCGGTGCTCGGGTCCAGGGTGATGCCAGGAAAACACTCTGAGCAAGTGGGGCAAAGCACCCGGTGTGTCAGGATTGAGCTCCAGGTGTGACCACAGACAGTTGGAGCTCGAGGCCCCTGGGCTCCCTGGCACCCAGGCGGAGCCTCCCCCTTGGAGGGCAGGCCAGGCCCACCTCATTCATGGTGCTGCAGACGAAAAGGTCTCCCAGGAGGCCGCACCGATCACCATGCCAGCCCGGCCTGGCCGCCCCCAGCCTGAGGCGCTGAACGCTGGCTTTGTCCCTCTGCAGCCCGCAGCTCCCAGGCTGGGAGGAAAAGCTGCAACCTGAGTCCTCGGCTTTGTGCCTTCAGGTTTATTTTGGGATAACGATAAAGGGCGTGAGTCCCAAGGGTCTTGAAAGCCAGGCTGTGCTTGATCCCGAAAGGCAACCCAGGGCAGCAGTAGGGAAGGCCTAGGAGGGGGTTGCTCCGGCTTCTAGGCTGGGGGGTGAGGCCAGATGGGAGCAGCCAGGGAGGGAGAGGAGGGGGAGAGGGAGGGGCCCCCAGGCCTGGGCCAGTCAGAGCTCAGCCCAGCTGGGGCAACCTCAGCAGGGGGCCTGTCCTCAGGCACTGGCTCAGGTGTGGCCTTGGGGGTCTTGGCGCCCCAAGCCCTGGAACACACGCTCAGTCCAAGTTTCTGTTCCCATCACCCCCAGGTCAGGAGCATCTTGCCGACCCCAAGGAGCGGGTGGAGACACAGCCTCGCCTGGGCGGGGCCACGCGCCCCCATCCTCCCTGAGCCCCCGCACTGGCGCGGAGCTCAGCACCTCGGGCCGGGTTGGGCTGGAGACAGCGCGGCCTCCGGGTGGAACTGGGGACCCCGCGTCCAGGGCGCGCCCGGGGTGCCTGAGGCTCGACCAGGCGCGGGGACCCCTCCGGAAACCAGCTCGGCCCCCACGTGTCCGCCAGCGCCACGGCCTGTGCGGAGACCGAGCGGCGGCCGCCCAGCTTCAGGCCTGTCCCGCCGGGCGGGGGCCGGGCCGGGGCGGCGCAGGCCTGGGGAGGCGCCGCGGGAGGCGGCTGTGGCGCCCGGGGTGCGGGGGAGACGGGGGGCGGGGGCGAGACGGGAGGGGGCTCCTGTGGCCGCCCCGGGGGACCCCGGCGGAGGCGCCTCGAGACGCTGAAATCCCGGAAGCGCAGCCATGACGTCACACAAGCGCCCGCCCCCCCGCCCCGCTGGCCCGGGCGGGGGACCCCAGCGGGCGCGGGGCGCAGCGGCGGGGCCCGGCCCTGGAAGTCCCGGCGCGCGGAGCGGGCGACGACACGCAGCTCCGGCTCCGCCCCCAGGGCGTGGCCGCCACCGCCGGCCAATGGGCGCGCGCGCACGCCGAGCCCCGGGGCGGGGCCGGGCGCCGCCGGCCAATCGGGGGCCGCGCGAGCCGCAGCCAATGAGAGGCCAGCGCGGGCCCCTCGCTGCCTGCCTGCCCGCCATGGCGGACCCGCCGGCGCCGCGCGCGCCCCCCGGCCCCGCGCGCCCCGGCCCCGCGCGCCGCGGCAGGACGTGGGCCGAGCTGCTGGGTAGGCGGGGCCCCGCCTCTGCCCGCCGCGCCCCGCCCGCCCGATCGCCCCCTCCCCGGCCGCGCGCCCCGCCCCCGCCCGCCCGCCCCCCGGCCCCCCGCCCCGCCCGCGCCCGGTCCGACCCCCCCCGCGGGCCTCTGTCCCCTCGGGATCGGCGGGCGCGCCGGCCCCTGAGCCCCGGGAAGAGGACCCGGCCGGTGACTGGCGCGGCCGCCTCGGCCTCCGCGCCCCGACGCCCCTTCCGCCCTCTGTGCGGGGACCCCGGGCTGCCCGCCTGGCCCTCGGCCCCCGGAGCCTCGCCCGCTCGCCAGTCGGGGCGCCGGGCCGCGGGGCCCCGCGGGGCGCCGGCATTTTCGCCCCAGGAGGCGGCCGCCCTGCGGTGGAGGCCCGGGAAACCGGCCCGGCCCGGCGTCCTGGGGTGGCGCGCGGCGCGCGGGCCCTGTGAGCCGCAGAGGCTGCTGAACCCGGTCCCCCCTTAGCTGGCCGGGCCAAGAGGCAGAAGCCGCGCGCGGAGAGGGGACAGAAGCTGGCGGCCGCGGGGGTGCAGCTGCTGACCCACCACCTGGACCTGCACAGCCTCCTGCTCGAGGTGGGCCCTGCAGTGGTAGGGGACGCCCGGCGGAGACCCTCCAGCAGCGCCTCTCTCCGGGCGAAGGGAAGCAGAAAGGGATCCGGAGGGAGCAGCGTGGGCAGCTGCGCTCTCCGGGCGCCCGCAGGCAGGGCCAGGTCGAGGGCTCCGCTCTTGCGTTTCCAGGTGGAGCTGCCCCGTGGGGAGTCCGGCCTCAGCCAGCTGGCCGGCAGCCCTGAGACCACCGCTGACCTCTCCGCCTCACTCCTAGGTAATGGCTCCCTCACGCCTTCTGAGGAAGGGGCTGTGGGGCCAACTCTTGGGCGAGGTGATCCCCACTTGCTCACAGCAGCTGGAAGTGTGAACCCCACCGACTGGTGGCCCCCACGACCATCTGGGGGCCCGTGGTCATGCTCCATGGCCTTTCGGGCCAGTGCTGAGGCTGCTGTGTGATGACACGGGGCCCAGCAGGCTTCCAGAAAGCCCTGGGCAGCAGCTGCAGCTGCGATGGGGGTGGGGGTGGGGAGGGCACGCGTGGGCCCGCCGGCCTGAGAGCAGGAGGCGAGGAGCCCCCTGGGATGGTGCGGCCAAAGTGGTCAGCTCATTCCCTTTTCTCAGAGTCATGTCCACCTGGCCCCAAGGGACAGGTGTCTCTGCAGCGGTTGCCAAGGTCACTGCGAGGTCCGCGGCCGTGGCTGTGACCAACCAAGTCTGCACCTCCCTGTCCAGCGTGAGCTACGTCCTCTGGACTCTGGGTCGAGGCCTAAAAATGGACCCAAGCAGCTCTTAGCCTTGACCACAGCAGCACAATCGACCCTGTGCTCATGAATATTTAGTTGTTTTTCTTGTTGAGATAGCGAGGACCACATGTACTTACCCAGGAGAGAGAAAAAGTCCGTAAATAAAAACCTGCTTCCCCAGGGACGCAGAGGGGACACGTAGCCGGGAGTGGCACTGCCCAGAACAGCTCCAGGAGCACAGTGGTGCCTGCCTGTGCCCCTCCCACTGCAGCCCCCTCTCTGTGTCCCCCAACACCTCTGTACCCCCCGGCCTTGCCACTGGTCTCCCAGGGCCTCGAGGTGACCTGTGTGCTGTGGTCTCCTTCGTAAAAAGATTGAATTTGGGGGCCATAAGAGAAGATGACTCCTGCTGGGCATTGCTGGGCTCTGGGCAGCAGGGCCCACTGTCCATCAACCAGCAGGGCTAGGCGTGTGGGAGCAGGTCTGTCTTGGACCCCGAGCAGTTAGGAGACAGGGCTGCTGCAGGACCCCGCGCTGGACAAGGTGGACAGAGTCCTCGGCCAGCACATGCCCACCCACCACCTGCCCGATTCGCGTCACATGGGGCTCAGCGACTGTGCCATGGCCAGCTACTGTGGGCTGGAGAGACGCGGGGATGCCAGAGCTTCCCCCAACCCCTGCAGGCCCCTGGCCCCCCAAGGCAGCTTCCTGTGGCCTGCAGCCGAGCGGCAGGCTCTCGGGTCTGGGCCCGGCTCACGTGTGATCCGGCTCTCTCGCGTGTTGTCTCCCAGGCTCTGCTCTACGGGATCGGGCCTGCCGGCTGGGTCTTGCAGTACCGGACCTGGCCAGCCATGTAGTCGCCGCCAGCGTGGCCCAGCTCTGCGTGGAGGGGGCTGAGCCACCCCCCGGGGTGCTGCTCAGCCCTGGGAGCAGGGTAAGGGGCGCTCCCGTAGAAGTGGGGTGCCCAGAGCGCGGGCTGTCCTGTCGGTGCAGACGTCGGCTGGCGTCTCGATGGGCTCTGTCCTTCAGGAGCGGCTGGCATCCCTGCTGGCGGCGGCGCAGGACCTGCTGGCACGCGGCTCCCTCTCCCGGCCCGCTCTCTGCCGGGCGCTGTGGCGGGCGCAGGTAGGCCGGGCCACCCAACCTGGGCCTCAGCAAGACAGGGACGACGGGGCCGGTGGGGCCAGTCACCGGAGTGGGCGGGGGGGGAGGGTCAGCTGGGAGAGTGTGGTTGAAGAGCCTCCTGCTCTGCTGGGGAGAGTGTTGTTCTGCTGCAGGTTCTCAGACAGCTGAGAGCCCACACTGCGGGCACCTGGAGGAGGTGGGCAGCGCGGGGGACGGCAGGTCTCTGCCCCTTGGCCGCGTGTCCTGTGAGGCCTGTGATCTGTGGCCCAGCCCCAGTCGGGGGGGCCCCAGGCCAGCTGGACGCACAGAGCGGGAGGGAAGAGGGAACGGCAGAGGGGACTGAGGAGCTGGTGGCCAGGAGAGACCCCTGGCTCGGCACGTCACTCCGGAGCCCGGGAGCACAGGCTGCGGCAGGAGGGGCTCACGGTGCGGTGCCGTCTTCAGGACTCCCTGCTGCTCGAAGCCCTGTGGTGTCTCCACGCGCAGGATGTCGTGGGCCTCCCGGAGCTGCTGGAGAGGTTCGTGTCTGGCCACGGCCGTGGCGCTCTGGAACCTGGCATGGCCGACCTACGTTCCAGTCCGGCGGCCCGGACCATAGCGGTGGGGGTCGGGGGCCATCCCAGAGGAGCTGGGGTGCAGCGGGGTGAGCGACACGGGCAGCTCAGGGAACAGTGTCCTTTTGCTTTTTGCGTAGAAGAGCCGGGGTGCAGGCCAGAGGTGGGGGTGAGACAGCCGGGAGCGGAGTGGAGCGGGCGAGTCAGTGCTGGGGGCGGCGGGGGGACAGGAGGGCGCTGCTGCACCCTGTGGGAATGGCAGGGCTGGTGCAGTCACCTCCGTCACCTCTGGTGTCCGCCGGCCCCGGCCCCATGTGATGAGCCCTCACCTCCCCCAGCCACCCCGCTGCGCCTGCCGCTGTGGCCTGGCTCCTGGAGCGCCTCCTCCGCCTGTGTGCGCAGGCGGCCACATGCTGTCAGCCCGCCGCAGCCGGCGCCCTGCTTTCCGGTGAGTGCTGGGGCAATGCTCGCTCGGGCAGCGGTGCCCTCTGCTCTGACCCCTGGGCGCACGGGCCCCGCCGGCAGTCCTCCAGCCAGCCGTGCCGTGGGTCTGCGTGTGCCTCGGCCAGGGTTGGGGCGCCTGCCCGTGAAAGCAGCTGCAAGGCGGGGTCCCGGGGGCCACGGCCTCTTCCTGTGCCCAAAACTTAGCTGGTGATATGGTCAGGGTGGTGACAGAGCCGTGGCGGTCAGGGCGGTGGGGGTCAGGGCTTGCCGTGCCCGTGAGCCTAGCTGGCGGGTGGAGCACATGCCAAGCCTGTCCCGAGCCTGGCCCTGCAACGGGGGTGGGGGGGGTGGGGGTGGCAGCGAATGCGGCTGTGGCCGCCAGGCACGTGCGGCTGTCACCCGTGGCTCTAGATGTCGTGCGCGTGCTGGTTTCAAGCGGATTTCAGGACTCGGACCCGAGGCGGGATGTGGAGCCCGAGCGGGCACCCCAGGTAGGAGGGGACGGGGTGGCCGGCCGGTGCCCTGGAGCTCTGCGGTGCCCTCGAGGACACTGGGGCTGGGGCTCCGGCCGCAGCTCAGGCCCCGACTCTCCGGCAGGTGGCCGCGGCTGTGCTGCAGAGGATGCTGGCCTGTGAGTGGCGCGGGCGGGCCTCCAGCGGGTGGGCGGGCTCCGGCTGCATGTTGGCCTACACCCGCGCCCGCTCGGGGGGCAGCTGGCTCACAGGGGCCGTGCCCGCCGCACGTGCTGAGTGCCTGTCCCGTCTGCCCCCAGTCGCCCTTGAAGCACTGGCTGCCAGCCCGGAGGAGTCCGCCCCCTCCTACAGGGTAGTGCGTGGCTGGTATGTTGGGGCAGCCCCGTACCCCACCCTGAGGGGCCCCCCTGGTGACTGAGGGAGGAGGGGGGCCTCTCGTCCCTGAACCCTAACCCTGGGCACCCTCTTCCCACCCGGAGTGCCCCAGGCTACCTTCATGGTGCTTCCCTCCAGGCTTCCAGGGGCACACGGCCACCCTGCCCCTGTTCCGGGGGCCCCTGTGACCGCCCCATCCCTGGGGACCCCTGTGACCAGCCCCCAACCCCCTCCCCCAGGCTGGGCGTGTTCAGTGAACGCACTCACCAGGACATCGTGTGGACAGGGTGTCCAAAGAGGTTTTTCAGCCACACTCTGACGCAGGTCCTGACCCACAGGCCTGTGCTCCAAGGTGGGTCCTGGCCTCCCAGGGGCTCCCCGGGTGCCGACCCGCTGCTCCTCAGGCCATGAGGGTGGGGGCTCGTGAGGGTACCTGCAACCGCTCACCATGACATGGCGCCTTCACGTCCAGCCCTGGGACTCTGCCCTGGACAGGCTATCCCCGGCCCAGATGCAGGACCCGCTGCCCTGGCACATGCAGGCGGGCGGGGCCCCTCGCCCAGGACACCAGCCCGAGAGAGGGCCCCGGCCGCCAGGGCTGTGTCCCCAGCAGGGCTGCAGCAGGTTGGCCTTTGACGCTGAAACTTGAAAGCGGGGCTCTGTCTCCCTCGTGAACCTAGTGTCCCATGCGGTCCAGAAGCAGCAAGACTGGACCTTCGCCAGGGCCCACCCCCTGCTCACCGGCCTGTTCCGCGAGGTGAGTGGGGGGCTCAGCCCAGCTTCCCTTTGTCACCCCGCCCCGGCCCCGCACTCAGGCCCTGCCTGCCCCAGCCTCCATCCTGCCCGGCCCCCCACCTGTCTCCCCGCGGCCAGTGCCGCACTGTGGAGAGCGGGGCAGGGCCTGCATGGGCAGCTGTGGTCTCTGTCCCAGCTCGCCGCGATGCTGAGCGCAGAGGAGCTGGTGGGCCGCCTGCGGGACGTCGTGGCCGCCCAGGAGGTGAACTGGGCGCACGTGCTGTCCTGTGTGTCTGTGCTGCTGACCTGCGTGCCTGAGGCCCGGCCGCTCATCCAGGGTGCGCCTGGGTGCCCCAAGCGGGTGGGGCCGTCCCGTGGCGAAGACCCCTGCATCTGTGGGTGGGCTGCCGTGTCCTGGGGCCAGGACCCCTTCCTAGCTTTCCTGATGGGCGCAGCCCCACCCCACCCCGCAGGCGCTTGCCATCGTTAGCCTCCGGACACTGGCTGGCTCCTCGGGGATACTCCTGGAGCCCTGTCCACAGCCTGTCTGGTTTCCTGCAGACTGGGTGGACCATTTGCTGGCCAGTGCATTCCAGAGCTGGGACTGGGACTGCATGGTCACCGCCTTCCTGGTGGCGCGGCAGGCCGCGCTGGAGGGCCCCTCCGTGGCCCCGTCCTACGCAGACTGGTTCCAGGTGAGCGGCCCTGGCTGGCCTGCTCCCCCCAGAGGACATGCAAGCCACCTAAGAGCCAGGCTGCCCCTGCTGTCTGCAGATGCTGCCCTGGAGACCCTCCTCACCCTGCCCATGGCCAGCCCTGCTGGCCTGTCCAGGCGGCGGACACCGCCTCTCCCTGGGGTGGGGGGGATGGGTGCTCGGGTGCCAGCTCCTGGGGCGGCGCCCCTGGACTCAGGAGCTGGCCACCGGCCTCCCCCCACCCTAGACCACCTTCGGGAGCTCCCGTGGCCACCACGGCGGCAGCAAGAAGGCGCTGGTCTTCCTCTTCAAGTTCCTGGCCGACCTTGTGCCCTACGAGGGCCCCCGGTATCTGCAGGTGGGTTCCAGGTCTCCCCCTGCGTCTTGCTGGGTCTCCGCGTGTGCTGTTTACACTGATGGAGAGGGCCTGGGGGGTGTGCGCTGGGTGGAGAATCTGGATGAAGCTCAGGATGAGGAAAACTCCCCACTGTGTGCTCCCTCCCTCCCTCCCTCACTGCCCCCAGCACCTGAGGGGACCCTTGTGGCCTCTCAGCCGGGCAGCCTGAGCTGCGGCCCAGTCCCCCCGAGGCCACTGTCGACTCATAAGGAATCCACCATGTGTTCCAAGTAACAGGGATGCCGGACGGCCCAGGCATGTGCCTCCAGGCGCCCCACACCCGCTTGGGTTCCACCGGGGCCAGGGTCCCGAGGATGCTCAGGTGTGCCCCGCCAGGCCCGGCAGCCCTCTGTTCTGGGGGCCTGACGGGCAGCTCGCCAGCGACCCAGGCCTCCCTAAGCCACGTGCCAGGCACCCCAGAGAGTCAGGGACGCTCAGGCTGACGCCCCCTCTGGCTGCCCAGGTGCACATCCTGCGCCCACCGCTGGTCCCCGACAAGTACCGCGCCCTGCTGACTGACTACGTCTCGCTGGCCAGGACGCGGCTTGCTGACCTCAAGGCACGTCCCTGGCCCCCCGCCCCTCCCAGCCCCGCCCCCCACAGAGGACGTGTGGTTGGGAGGTGCTCACCCCGGGCTCCGCGGCAGGTTCCCCTGGAATCCATGGGGCTGTACGAAGACGCGTCTCCAGCTGGGGAGATCCCGGAGGTGAGGGCACTCTCTGCCTGGTTTCCTCTCAGACCAGGAGTCCCAGGCCCCACCCGCGGCCACTGGTCTGTCCCGGGCAGGTCTCGGTGGGGCTGGCGCCGTGGGGCTCGGGGGCCCCTGAGGCCCTCCCTTCAGTCTGGGGCCCCTGAGCCCCCACCGCCTCCGGCGCTGCTCAGCGTCAGGGAAGAGGTGAAAGCGTCTGATGCACGTTCAGCTGAGTCGCAGCAGACGCCGCCGGTGCAAGTCTCTTTCTTCATGTCTGGGCTGTCTTCCGGCACCTTCGCTACCCAGGGCAGGTGGGCGGGGAGGGGCAGACCAGGCCCTGGGCAGGCAGACTGGATGGGCCCTGGGCAGCCCCTGCGGGCAACTGGTGCCTGGGGGCGCCCGACCCCAGCTCTGGCTGCGGCTACTTCTCCTGAACCTGCCCCGGCCCCGCACCGCAGCCCCACAGCCGCGCACGCCAGGACGTGGAGAAGGCCGTGGCCGTGTTCGCACAGACAGGCAGGGTCCCGGTCACCGTCATGGAGGCCAGGTGGGCCGTGCTCGCCGGGTCCCGGCCCCACAGGTTGGGCGGGCGGGGCCCCGGGGTGCTGGAGGGAAGGCGTGGCGGGGGGGGGGGGGGCGCAGCCCAAGCCCAGAGCCCTCGCTGGGCGTCCGCGAGGGCCCTTCGTGGCTCCGCCACACAGGGCAGGGCGCAGCCAGCTGCTGAACTGGATGTGGCCCCAGAGCCCCTGTGCAGGCTGCAGCGCTGCCCTGGCCTGTGCAGGATGTGTCCGGAGAGAGATCTGGAAACACCTTAGAGCGTTGCCCCCCCTCCGCGGCGTCCCCCGCGGTCCCCTCCCCTCCGGCGGCCTCTGCCCACAGCCAGCCCCACTGTCCCCACAGCATATTCCGGAGGCCCTACTTCGCGTCCCACTTCCTGCCGGTGCTGCTCTCGCCCCGAGTGGTGAGTGTGGCTGCCCCTGGGCCCCGGGCACGGAGGCCACGCTTCTCACTGGCCCTTCCCTGCAGCTCCCACCTGCGCCGGACGCCCGTGAGGCCCTCATCGAGGCCCTGAGGAGGTGCGGGGTGCGGGGCAGGGGGTGGGGGGGCGGGGCAGGGCGGCGCATGTCCTGCGATGTCCACGTTTTCTCCTGTGAGCTTGTCCCCTCGCACCCCATGGGCCTTCTCTCACTGGCCGGGGCCCCTACTTTTTAAGAGGGAGCCTCCCCACCCCCAGGCAGTCGGAGCCAGTTCTCCCGCAGCCCCCAGGCTCAGCCATGCGCCCCACCCTCCTTGGCCCCTATGGGCTCGCCAGGCAGCAGTGCCCCTGCTGGCCAGTGTCTGTGGCGACGGGCAGCGGGACCAGCATGGCCGCCAGGAACAACCTCCTGTGAGGTCCCGCGCCCGGTCCTGCGGGCCTGTTCCACGGACGTCTTAGAGCTGCAGGCTGGAGAGTCCCAAGGAGTCCCAGCTGACTTTAGTGTCTCCTCTATTCAGAGCAGACAAAATCCCCCCTTCTCTGTATTCCGCCTATCGCCAGGCCTGCACTGCTGCTAAGGACGGGGCGCCGGACGGTGAGTGATGGGAGACGCTGCCCTCCAGGCCGGGGCAGGATGGTTGGTCTGGGCGGGCCGAGGCCCACATGCCAGCCCTGCGCCTGGAGGCCCAGCCCCCTTCGGGCCTGTGGTCAGAGTGCTCCTGGGCTCTGCCCAAAGGGTCCTGATGGCTGGTCCCGACCGGCGGGCTGGGCCTGAGGGACCTGCACCCCAGGGGTGAGGCTGCTGTCTGCGTGCCCAGCTCTTCTGGCGCTGGGGTCTCCCTGCTCCCAGAGCAGCGAAAATGAGATGGTGGGAGCGCCTTGCCCGAGAGCCTGGGCAGCAGGATGGGGCTGGGGCTGTGTCTGTGCTGCTTGCCTCCCTGGCTAGCACCCCTAGTGTGGCCCTGGGCCGGCCCTGGCTCGTCCCCCAGCTGGTGCTCCCCGGCCAGGCCCATCGCACCGTGAGGCGTACGCCTGTGGGCCTCTTGCCACACCACAGTGAGCGCGTGCCTGGGGTTTGAGGCTGCCTCCCTTGCGATGAACGTGGCTCTGAGCAGCCCGGGAGCTCAGTCCAGGCACTGGTCCCCTGCCGGAGGGCCCCGCACACTGGCCATTATCAGAGATGGTTTAAGGAGCCACCAGGGCCAGCCTCCCGGCCACAGGGCACGCCCCTCCTGGTCAAGGGCTGGGCTCAAGGGGTGCCCAGTGCTAGTGCGGGCGGTGTCCCTGCGGCCACGGGGGGCCTGGGCGTGTCCTGCTGCCCGACTGCCTGATTACGTGTCTCAGGTGCAGCCACGGGGCCTGGAGCGGGGACAAGGACCGAGGGGCCCCTGGGCCAGCTGGCCGCTGCACTGGACAGACTGAGGGCGACAATGGCAGAACCCGGGCAGCAGGGAGGTGAGGCAGGAGCTGGTGGGAGGGGGTGGCTGGCAGGGGTGGGCCAGGGACACTCACCAGCCCTCGCCCCTCTGTAGCCATGTCTGCCCAGATGGCCCTGGTCTCCGAAAGGCTCAGCTCCGCCTTGGGCCCCGGCAAAGAGGGCGACAGCACAGAGGTGTCCAGGATCCAGCTGAGCGTCCTCACCCCGGAGCTGGAGCTGCAGGAGCAGGCGGTGAGCAGGAGCCCCTCAAGGGCCAGCCCTGTCCCCTGCTAGTGTGGCTGCTGGCTGCCGCGAGCCCCAGGTGCTGGGGACCCCCACTGCCCCGGAGCCCCGTCCCTCTTGGTGCAGCAGGGCCTGTGGCCGCAGCCCAACAGGCTCTCCGGCCTCCCAACGCACCGGCCCTGGGGGGACAAGGCTCCGGGGCGAGGCCATGCAGTCCCCGCCTGGTGTGGGCTGGGGCCGGCACCATCTGCGGGCCCCCAGCCGCCTGCACCCCCAACAGGCCCACCCCCCACAGGTGGTGGACCTCCTGCTGACGGCCTTCTGTCAGAGCCTGATGGTGGCCTCTCGCTTCGCCCCCCCAGACAGGTAGGGAGGGGAGAGGGTGGGTGTACACTCCCCGCGCGGTGCCCCTCCCAACAGGCCTCCGGGCTGCTCCTCACACCTGTGCGTCGGCTCGAACCATGTGGGCGCTCGCCGGAGCCGGGGCCCCTGGGGAAGCCCTGCTCTTTGGGCAGTGGCCTGCACGCCACTCACCAGATCAGGGGCTGAGCCAGCCATGCTAGGCAGCCACAGTCTCTGGCTGTCTTTGCAGGCAGGGCATCTGGGCCTCCAGCTTCGTGACTACCCTGTGTGGGCGGCTCCTCCCTGCCGTGCTCACCCGGCTCTGCCAGCTGCTCTGGCATCAGGTAGGCTGGGCCCCGTGAGCCCCTCCCCGCAGAGCCCCCCACGCCCCACTCACACACACCGCCCCCCCACACACCTGCAGGGCCCGAGCCTGAGCGCCTCGCAGATACTGGGGCTGGCCGCCCTGGCCGTGCACCTGGGCGCACACAGGCCCGCCCTCCCGGAGGTGTGCCTGGACTGCCCCGCCAGGAGCCTCCCTGTGTGCGAGCTCTTCGTACAGCTCCTGGCCTGCAGGACAGCGGCGTGCTGGCCCTTCTGCCTCAAGTAAGCCCGGCTCCGCCCCACCTGCACCCCACCCAGGCCTGGAGGGTCCCCGCCACGCTCGGGCACTGCCCCGCAGCCTCCTCTGCAGCCGGCGCTATGGCCGCACAGGGACACTGGCTGCGGTCCTCTCTGCGTCAGGGCGACCGCACGCTGCCTCCCACTCTGTGTGGCCGGGCTCCTTCTGCTGGGCGGGTCCCTCCACCCTGTGCTGGGGGCCCGGGCTCGTCCCGTCGGTGCCGCTGGGTTCAGACCCCAGAGCTGGAGCGCGGCCCCGCCCCGCCCCGCGCCCTCGGCTCAGCCCCTCCAGCGTCCCCTGCAGCATCCTCGCCGGCGCGCGGGGGCGCCGCTCCACCGCCCTGTCTGGCCTGCCCTCCGCTGCGCGCCTGCCTCCCCGGTGGGGCGTCAAGGCCTTCCCCGGGTGCGGACCCCCGCCTCCATGACCGGCTGTGGCCTAGGAGGGTGGCCCGGCCCTGCCAGGTCCTCCGCCGCCGCCTGCGCCGCGCCTCGCAGGGGTGGCTCCCGCTTTCTCTCCCAGATTTTGCACGGCGGCGATTTCTTACTCCCTGAGCAAGTTCGCCCAGTCCCCCGACGCCCTGCGCGCCTGCTTGTCTCCAGGCCTCATCAAGAAGGTGGGCGCGGCCTCCCGTGGGCTCCCGGGCCCCAGGGCCGTGGGGCGGCTCCCGCTCTCGGAACAGCCCGTGGCGGGACGCGGCCCGGTGCCCGGGCCGGCCGGAGGGTGACGGCGCGGCCCCTCCCGCGGCCCCGCCCGCGCTCACCGGCGCCTCTTCAGTTCCAGTTCCTGGTGCTGCGGCTGCTGCCCGAGGCCCGGGGCCCCCTGGGCCGGGAGGCCTCGCCCGGGCCCGCCTGGCGCTCCTGGCGCGCACCCCGGCCGACTGGCGGCGCGCGGCGCTGGGGCTGTGGGGGCGGGACGCGCTGCGCGAGCTGCTGCGGGAGCCGCGCCTGCAGGCAGGTCCCGGCGGGGGGCGGGGGGCGGGGGGCGGGGGCCCCCCCCCCGGGCGCGCTGACCCGCCCCGCTGACCCGCCCCCCGCGCCGCAGCTGACCTACCGGGACTGGCTCCGGATGGAGGCGGAGGCGCCCGCCGCGGGCGACTGTCTCTCGGCCGCCGCGCGGTGAGCGAGGGCGCCGGGCGGGCCGGGCCGGGGCGGGCGGGCCGGGCCGGGCCGGGCGCTCACGCGGGACCCTCCAGGCGCGACTTCCAGTGCTGGGCGATCCACGAGCACTTCCTCCCCGCGCCCGCGGCGGCCGGCGGCTGCGACGGAGACCTGGAGGCCGCCTGCGCCGCGCTGCTCGACGCGCTGCTGGACGCGCCGCTGGACGCGCCGCTGGACGCCCCCCCAGGTCGGGCACCGGCGGGCGCGTCTGGGCAGGCGGTTCTCGGGCCGTGGGGCCCGCCCCGACGGCCGAGCGTGTGCCGCCGGCAGGGCTCCCCACGCAGACGCGGGCGCCGCGGCGGCCCCAGTCTGGGGGTGCTGGCTTGTGCCGCCCCCCCAGCCAGCGGTGAGGCCGGGACAGTCTGTCCTCCGCCATGCCCGGCTCGTGGGTCCTGCTGCCCAGGGCTTGTATTGTCCCACGAGCTCAGGGACTCAGGGGCCACCCATGGGGGCAGCTAGTGCTGAACGTCCCTGTGGACAGGCCAGGCCCTGAGGGGCGGAGTCCCAGTGGCCACGAGCAGGCCTCACACCCGGGCAGCTGAGGACACGCTGCATGGACTCACCCACAGGGTGGCGCTGGGCTCCACTCAGGCGGTGGGGAGTGCGGCCCCCACGGGAGGGTGTGGCCTGGCAGGGCCAGGGCGGCCACGGAGGGGCAGGAGACGCTCAGGTGCGCAGGAGAACTCGGGCATCCTTGCTGCATCCACTTCAGTGCAGGGAACCACGTCTGCGAGGATGGGTGGGCCTCGGCCCCCGGCGGCTGCAGTGGGAACCAGGAGCTGCTCTCCAGGCTGCAGGTGAGCCGGGCTCCCGCATGCTCTCGGCGCTCGGCCTTTAGACGTCTTGTTAGCGACAAGGGCCCTCGGGTAGCCTAGTGAGAGGCCGGGGCGTCCAGGGCCAGCCCAGAGCCACGTGCTCCATGCTTGCCCGGGGACGGAGCAGGGAGCACGGTGTGCCGCGGGGCGTGACAGCTGGCCTGCCCGGCTGGCGGCTCCAAGCCCTGTGGACGTCACACTTCCCGGTATGCACATCGATTAGCCACGGGCAGCTGCGCCTGGCACACTGCAGCCGTAGGCGGCCTGGGCCCGGGGCTCTCGAGGCATCGCTGCCCGCCTCCCCACCCCCCGCAGCCGTCCGGCGCACACGCTTTGCCCACCAGGGCTCTCAGAACCACCACTAAGCCACAAAGTCCCTCACTTTGCAATAACGTCCAAATCAGAAGGCCTCCGTGGAGCCCCCTTGGGAGCCGCCAGGCCCCCAGTGAGCAAGGCTGCAGCCCTAAGGCCTTGGCTTCCAGGAGATGGCTGCAGACCTGGCCCCGGGCCGCACTCCCTCTGGGGGGCACTTCCTCCTCCCAGCGCTCCGCAGAAGGCTCCAGGCCACAGAGCCTCCCCCGGGCCGGTGGGAGGCGGCCGCCCACCTGGGGAGACAGCAGGAGCTGCTTACCTACAAGAGGTGAGACCTAGCGCCCAGCTCCCCACCCCTACCCGCCCCAGCTGCTTCCTGGAGCCCCGTGGGGAGGCTGCGCAGGCCTGGGTCAGCCTCGCCCGGCACACATGGCTGTCCAGGGAGCGGGGTGCTGGCCTGGGCTGGCTCCTAGAGTCCGCGTCGTGTCCAGCCCTTGCTCCTCTCCCTACTGCCTCCTCCCCAGGATCCTGCTGGCCCTGCCCCCCGCCCTCCTCCTCAGCAGCCCCGGGCCTGGATGGCCGGCGGCTCCCAACTGTGCTGACTTCTTCCACTTGGTCAACTCTGAGCTGGTAGGGGCGCTGACCTGGGCCCGGGCTCGCGGGGGGGGCTCCCCACAGTGGTCCAGGGGGCCAGTGCGGGCTCTGGGATCCAGGCAGGTGCAGCTCAGGCTGCCTCGCCCTCCTGCAACCCCTGGCTGGCCAGGCCAGTCTGTGACCACCCGTGCTCCTGGGCGCTCGGCTGGCGTCTAGATGGACATGCATTCGCCATGGCCCTGGGGCCTCTAGCAGCAGCCGGGAAGTGCCTGGGAAGGAGCGGGGCTGCCGCACTCCACCTGCATTGTGGGCTGGGGCCCCAGCTGCACAGGGCAGGTGTGGTGACCACATGCTGAGAAGGTTCCAGAATGGCATGGTGGTGGTGGACGCAGAGCCAGCGGCGGGCTGGAGGCGGCCCCACGCCTGTCCCTGCCCCTTTTTCACTGGCGGCTTCCACCCTCCCTACAGAGGAACTTCTGCTCCCATGGAGTGGCCCTGACCTACGACCTCACCGTCCACTTCTTCCGGGTAATTCCATCCCTGGCCTCTCCCAGCTCCGTGGGCCTGCTGCCGCTCCAGCCCGGGTCACCAGCCAGCTGCTGAGGCGGTGCCTTCTCCCCAGGGCCTCCTCCATGCCTGCGCCCAGAGCGGAGACCCTGCCCTGACCGCCGACCTGACCCTGAGGGCATGCCAGACTGAGTGCCCGCTGCTGCTGACCTCTGCTGTGGTAGGCCCAGGCCACCCCCAGCTTCATCAGAAAGCGCCGGGTGGAACCCAGCAGAGGGCGCGGGGGGGTGCTGCCGGAGTGGGGGACAGGGCCTTCCCCCCGAATCTCTGGGCCTCTGGTACCCACGCACCCTAACAGTGGCAGGGGGCCTTGGGCCAGGTCCCTCCCCGAGGGGTACCCTTGCCTCACCTATGGCCCGTGGTGGACAGGCCACTCGGTCAGACATGGCCACCTCCTCCCAGCCTGAGGCCTCAGGGAGCCCCAGCCCCACGCTCGTCCCTGTGAGATGTGCTGACCGTGTCATCCTCCTCAGGCATGGTGGCCGCGGCTGGAGCCTGAGCTGCGCTGTCGGTGGGCACGGTGCGCATCAGGCCCGCTGCCTCCGGAGCTGCAGCGGCTGCGGGAGGCCCAGCTTTTTGGCAGGAGGTGAGCATGGGCCGGGCCGGGCCGGGGGCACTGCGTAGCCAGCCTGTGTCAGGGGCTGCCGGAGCCTCCCGGAGGGCGCTGGCCACACTGGTTCCTCTACCTGAGACCTGTGTGGGTTCCGGGCCCCTGGGGAGCAGGCCTGCCCCGACCCACCAGGAAGCCAGGCAGCAGCTCCCACAGCCACAACCCCGGAGTCCAGCTGCCGAGGGCCGTCGGCTTCAGCTGGGCCCGGGGCCGGTGGTTTTCTGCCACCTTAGCCGAGCACTGACAGGGTGGAGACACCCGGCAGCAGGCAGCAGGTGCCCTGGCCAGACCCCGCTCAGCCCTCCGTGTGCTGAGTCCCCGTCCCCACAGCGCCCTCCTCTCAGACACAACGCCCGCCCCCGCCGGCCCTGCCTGGGTGTCCGCGGCGGCACTGCACCTGTCCATCCAGCGAGCCGGGCCCGGGAGCACGCTGCCTCAGCTGGACGCCCTGGGAGAGGAGGTGAGGCAGGGTGGGCACCGTGTCCGAGTGTCCCCAGGGCCGCACGGTCCTGCTTGCCGTGGGGGTGGGTTCCCTGCTAACTACAGCACCAGGCGGGGCTTCGTATCCACTGCCTCTCGGGCCAGGCAGGCCGGGTGTGGGGTCACTGCCCGCAGGTTCTGGGAGTCTAAAGCCCTCGAGGAGGGGCAGCTCCTCTGCACAGGTGGAGTGATCTGGGGGCGGCCTGTGGGTGGCCCCCCCAGCCGGCCCTGAGTGCCCCTTCCTTCCAGCTGCTGCTCTTCCTGTTCTTCTTCTGCGTGACCAGCCTGCTGGCCTCGCGCCTCGACCCGCAAGTGAGTCATGCCAGACGAGTGGGTCTGAGGGTCGCCACGCAGGGTGCGCGGCGGGTAGTGGGTGCGAGGCTCAGGCTGAGGCCTCCTCTGCGCACAGGCTACACTCAGTGCCCAGCAGGCCCTGGGCGTTTGCGCCGAGACCCTAAGGTGTGTGCAGAAGCGGCGGCTCCCCTGGCTGGGGCTCTTCCGGGTGACAGAGATGGGTAAGGAGGTGCTGGGCACCAGCTGGGGTCCCCAGAGGACACCAAGCCCGGGGGCATCAGGACAGGTGCAGCCAAGCCCCCAGCGCTGGAGGAGGGCAGCGTGGCACTGACACCCCATGGTCCCCGCAGACAGCAGCAACCTGGCCTGGGTCCTGCCACGACTGGCCCCAGACCAGCTCCTCCGGCTGCTGCCTCTCGCCTTCTACAGGTCAGTGGGGCAGGTGCAGGGCGGGGCTCCGCCTGGGCCCGCCTCTGGACCTCACCTCACCCGCTCTGCCGCAGCCTGCTCCCCTACTTCGACCAAGACTCCCTCGAGGGTGAAGACACCTTCCTGCCCGTGGCAGTGGACATGTACCTGAAGCTGACCTGCCTGTTTGTGTCCGGGGAGACCGGCGCGGCACCCGCTGCGGATGGTGGGAGGCAGGATCTCCAGGACGAGGCAGGTCCCAGCCAGCCAGCGAGATGTCCCCAGGGCTGCAGGCTGAGACCCGGCAGGCTGCTGACCTGGGCTCTGCTGCTGCCCTGCAGGACAGCCCCGTGGGCCTGCTGATGCAAGCGCGGCTCTTTCTGCTGCAGATGGCACCCAGGTGCCCGAGATGGAGCCGCACACAGGCGGCAGAGGTGAGCACACCCGTGCCCTGCTGAGGGGGCTGCCAGGCCCTGCTTCCCCACTCACTCTGGTCTCCTCCAGCTGCTGGCCACCTGCGGACACTGCGACCCCGAGCTGAGCGCCGCCCTCCCGAGCCGGCAGCAGGCCACCCCGCCCCGGAGCCCAACTGTCTGACGCACCCCTCGCATTGTAAATAATTTATTACAAGCACGACGCCGAGCTCTCCTTGTGCTAAAAAGTGGGTCACAATCTCCTGACTGCTTCGGTAGGGGGAGGGGTCAGTGTTTGTGGAAACTGCCGGCCAGCACGGAGCCCGGAAGGGCCCTGAGGCGCGGGCCGAGCCCCTGGCCACTTCGCACTGGGCCAGCACGGGGGTCAGGACACACCATCATCCGCCACCACCTGGGCTGGGCCTCAGGTGGGCTCGGGCTTCACGGCCTGGCCTGGCCGCGCCCCAGGGGGCAGCGTCTTGTCCTGGGCCTGTGTCAGTGGGTGCACCATGGACATGTGCACATTGAGGTTGTGGGCCTTCTCGAACCTCCGGCCGCACTGGTCACAGGCGAAGGCCAGCTCCGTCTCGGCCTTGTGCTTGGTCATGTGGTACTTGAGGGACGCCCGCTGGCGGCACTGGAACCCGCAGACCTCGCACCTGGGGGAGGGGGGTGAGCCAGGCCCCGCAGGAGAGGCCCCGTGCCCCGCGCCCCATGCCCACACTTACTGCAGAGGTTTGGCTCCCGAGTGGCGCATCTGGTGGACCAGGAGATGCTTGCGCTGCTTGAAGGTCTGTCCGCACTCGTCGCAGATATAGTTCCGCACCTCTGCGGGCAGATGGGGTGAAGGGCGGGGCCTCCAGGAGGCCTGAGGGATGCCCTGCATGCCTGCTGGGCTGCAGCCGCTCTCCCCACCCCGAGCACTGACAGCTGCAGACAGCTGGGGACCCCACTTCTGGGAGCATGTCAGGAGCCACACCCCAGCCCCAGCAGGGGCACGGCCCCCATAGCACGCCCCGCCCCTCAGCCCACCAGCCAGGAGTCCTTAGGGCGGCGGAGACCCGGGGAGGGCGTCCGAGCGCAGCTGGGGTGCATCCAGCATGGGGGCACCGACCCGGGTGCTCTCCACTTGACTTCCACAAGTACGTAGGCACAGTTGTATTTAAAGAAACAATGACCACAAAGCCCAAGGCCGGGGCCTCGCCCCCAGGGGTCTGCTGCTGGGGCACAGCCTGGGGGCCGGCACACACCTGTGTGGATGAGCTTCACGTGCCGCTGCAGGTAGCGGTCGATCATGAACACCTTGTTGCAGCCTGGGTGGGGGCAGGGCCTCTCCCGTACCTCCTCGTGGTGCTCCTTTATGTGCTTCTGGGGAGGGCAGGGACCTGAGGGCCTGGCCGCGGGCCACAACGCAGACCCCAGGAGCCACGGTGCAGGCTGCACGGGCGCCCCCTCACCTTCATACCGTCGGCCCCTCGATACACAGCGGTGCATCCCTGGTAAGGGCACTTGTAGATGGTGGGCAGCTCCTCCCTGTGGAGGCCATGCAGATGGAGGCGCACAGGCCCTGGCCCTGGGCCGCCCCCCAACCCCAGCAGGCCAGGCCCTGCCCCCACCTCTCTCCGCGCAGCTTGCTCTTCCAGCCGGGCTTGGGCCCAGGTTTCTTTCGAATTTTTGGTTCTTCAGGCTTCTTGGCGTCTTTGCTTTCACTCCTCTTACCAGAGACCCTGAAAAGAGAAAACGTTTCCGAACTAGTGTGCCTTCCATGTCCCGGGGTGCGCCCTGGGCACCCCCACCCGCACATGCAGTGGTCCAGAGATGCGTCAGGCACCGACTCTCCACCAAAATGAAAAACAAGTGAGGAAGAACCAGAACTGACCTGGGCTGGCACTCGGGCCGTGCCGCCGCGCCTTTGGGGAGCTGCGAGTGTGCGCCCTGGGCGCAGACACCCCGGGCACCTGTCAGGGCCTCCGGCCAGAGGACACCCTCAAGGGCGGGGGCCTGAGCTCACCCCCGGGGTCCGGGGCCCCACGGTCCGGCGTCCCCACAGCTACTCCAGAGGGCCTGCGGCTGCCAGGAATAGCAGCAGCCCAGCTGGACAGGAGGGAACGACGGGTTCACCGCATGCTAGGTGGAGCCAGCCCGGCCACACACACACCCCCACAGCGCAGGGGCAGCGTGGGCTCCCATGGCGGCAGGCACTGAGGCCCAGGGCACCCCCCCGGAGGGCGCAGGCGGCCGTAAGGACTACCAGCCTGAGACCCGAGGGCCTGCAGCCGGGGGTGCGTCCCTGCCATCCCCCACAGCAGCAACAGGTCAGCCCCAAAAACATTCCTCCTGTTTTCTGCAGAGAAAAGTCCTTAGAATTTCAAGTGCTGTGAGCCAAAAAAAAACCCAAAACCGTGGGCCCCTAAGTCCTGCTACCACAACGGAGAAGGGAACTTGAGGTCGGGAGGGTGTCTGCGAGCCGTGCCTAGAGGACGACGGCTGTGCCTGCGACCCAGCAGCCGAGACGTGGCCCGGGCCACAGCTGCCCGGGCCGCGCAGTCCCCAGAAGCCAGGTGCCTGCCCAGCCTGTCCCACCAGAGGCCCCCAGGAAGCCCACGGACGCATGCACAGCAGTGCTCAGGGCAGCCCGCGGGAGGAGGAAACGCCCAGGACTGCAGGGCTGTGAGGCACATTCCGGGCAGTCCTACAGCGTCGCCAGGCGCCACCCCAGACAAGCCGCGAGTCCCCCAGCCGACTGGGCCCAAGAGGGCGGCCTGTCTGGACAACGAAGCCCGGGGACAGCAGTGGCCACACCACGCAGGCCGCTCGGGCCCTGACGATGCCACAGCACGGTCCACAGGCAGGTGATGCCCCTGGCAAAGAGGCAAGTGACAAGTCCGCCTCACCTCTTGTGTGGCCAGGCCACAGCGCCACTGTACTGAGGCTGCTGCCCCGTCCCACCCCACCCCACGGCCCCACCAGGCTGCCCTGTGGGGTCCATCCAACTGCGATTTTCAAGGCCGGGGTTTTAGAATGAGTCCCCAGGGTGGGGCGGGGCCCCCCGCTCTGCACACCTCCTCCCACTCTCGCTGCCCACTGGCCGTGGGGACAGTCAGACGGGCCAGGGTGGCTCTGAGGTCCATGTGGATCCTCACCAGGACTCACTGCAGAGCCCGTGCTCCTCAAGGGTGTCCCCAGAGCTCATCCCCTCCCGCAGGCGGGTCTGGACACAGGCCCCTCCACGTTCTCCCCCAGGGTCTCCAGGGACATCTCTCAGAGCCGCAGGGACACCCCACCCTGAGCCCCGCTGTGGGCCAGGCCTGCTGGGCAGCGGACCTCTGGGCCAGCCCCAGACTCAGACGCAGCCTGGAGCGCAAGTAGGGGCGGGGCTCGGAGGGCAGCCGCCACAGCCCCAACACCTGCTCCCCACCTGCCACCTGCCCTGTCTGCCAAATGACCCGGCTGTGGCCTGACCCCTGTGAACGCTCAGGGACAGTACCCAAGGTGGACGCTGACCACCTGTGGCATCCAGTGCACGTGGGCAGTGCAGCCCCACCGCCCTGCCAGGACCACGCCTGCTGGGGCAGAGGGGCTGATGGAGCCCAGCGCTGCCGAGGCCGCCGCTCAGCCCGCAGGGGCGCCAGAGCCAGACGGGGCGGGTGGGGGCTCTCTGTCTTGCCCCCCACCTGTCCCTTGGTGACCGACCACCCCGGTGTGTGCGTGGCCGCCCCTTACTTCTTTTCTGGGTAAGGCTCGAAGGACTCGTCGGAGGACGGGGGGTTCTGCCGCTTGTCGTTTTCGTCCTCGCTCAGCAAGTCCCTGGGGCAGAGGAGAGAAGCGTCAGCGCAGCCCCGGCTGGGCAGGTCCAGCCGTCCTCGCTGCAGACGCGCGGCCTCCAGCACTGGCTTCTTCTGAGAAGGCTTGAAGGAACCTAAGCTGCCTGTGACGCCGCACCAGCAGGACGGCAGCCAGGGCAGAAGCCTCCGCAGGCGCTGGCCCTCGCGCTCCCGAGAGCCCTGACCTACAAGCCCGGGGCAGAGAGGGCGCCCGCTGCCACCTTCGTGAACGAGCTCACCCAACGGTGGGGACCAAGGGCCGACCGGGCAACGATCAGCCCGCTGAAGGGCAGTGTCTGTGACCCGTGCCCACAGCAGGAATCACGGTTCAGCATCCGCCCTTGTCCAGCCCACGCTGCCCTGAGCTCCAGGCGCGGTGGGGCCAGGCCGGGCGCGGCCGCCGTCCCAGGGCACGTGGCTGGGGGCCAAGGAGCCCACAGCCCTGCGTTCCCTCCTGCTGGGGCCCCACCTGCCGCCGCCTGCTGGGAGGAAGGGCCGGTTGGGCACCCCACGGAGACATCTGCGACCGAGCAGGCAGCAGGACGGACTGCCTCGCCCACCCTGCGCCCGCCTCTGGCGCTGGGGCAGCCAGGGGTGCGACTGAGCCGGGAATCCCTCAGTCAGCAAGGAGGAGCCTCCCACCGCTCTCCTGCCAGCCGAGGGGTGTCCGGCCAGGACAGGCGCAAGCCCCAGGACACGGGGTTTGCTCCAAGGAGGAAGTTTAGGCTGTTGAGACCCACTCTTCTCTCACCCCTCAGAAAGGTCACTGAACTCGTCTTTTACCCGATCATCCGCAGTTGGAGACGGGACCTGCTTCTCCACCAATCGCCCTGAGGAGCAAAGAGGAGGCTGGTTACCAAGGCAGCCACGCCCAGCAGAGCCCGCCCTCCAGGGAAACCTGCACCCTGCCCCCCCACCCCCACCCCCGCACGGCTGGCTGAAAACCCCAGCACCTGCAGCACCGCAGGCCCAGCCCTTCCGAGCTCCAGGCCATGTATGGCCCGAGCACCGAGCACCGGAAGGTGCGTGAGGCCGCCTCGCCCATAGCTGCGCCAGCCCAACAAGGGTCAGGCCCTGGCCTCAGGCCCTGTGTCTCCCTGGCCAACAAGCAAGGGTCTGCCCACACTGGTCTCCCGGGGGTCACTAGGATGCGACCTTTGGCTGGCTCAGAGCATCTGAGACGAGGCCGCCTCCTCCCCAAGCCCCACGATGAGGCCCACCCCACGCCCTCGCCGACACGGGCCTCAGTCGCCAGCCCTCATGGACCGCTCCCCAGAACCCAGCAGCTCCCCCTGGGGTCTTGCCTGGCTCAGGATGGGGTCCTGCTCTGCGAGGCCAGAGTAGCCTCCTACCTGGGGTCCCCCTTGGGGGGTGGCTGGGCTGAGGCGGGGGGCCAGGCCCAGGCCCCACGGGGTTGCCATCCGAAGGCGGCTGCGCCAGGTCCGAGCCGGGCAGCATCTCTGTCTGGGCCTCGGGCCCGGCCCCGGCTGCTCTGCCCTGGCCGACCTGTGGGGTGGCCCCCGCAGGGGCGGATCCCGATGCTGGGCCTCCTTATCCCACGCCCACTGGACGGCCGGGTGGCTGCCCCGCCAGCGGCCCCCACAGCTGGCCTCAGCATCCATGGTGTAGTCGTGGCCCCGGTCACAGCCCCACACAGCCCGGACGATGCCGCAGTACTCGGAGGATAGCGTGCGCTGGAGGCTGGGCAGGGCCCCGCAGCTGGCCGCATGTCCGTGCACCCACCCCACCAAGCCGTGCAGGCCCTGGGTGCTCGGGCTAGTCAGGTCCACTGGGGAGAGGCACAGAGAGCCGGCCGGGCCGGTCAGCACCCCCGCCGCATTGCCGCCCCCACCCCCGCAGCCAGGGGCACACTCACCCGACGCGCTCCCTCCTCCGAGCCTGCCAGGGGGTGGGCGCCGACCCTGCAGAGAAGGCAGGGGCAGGGCTAGGGGGCAGGCGAGAGGCCCAGGCCCTCCGGCTGCGAGCAGGTGTTCAGTCCACTTAGGAGGCCCTTCCTGGACGTGCCTCCCGGGAGCCATCCCCACAGGGCGCCGCAGCCCCCCACCGGATGCTCACTAGGTGTGCCCACCCAGAAGCGCCCAGCCGCAGGCAGGTGACCTACTGTGCGCACGGCTTCCGGGGGCGCGATGGTGAGGTGTTGACCCTCTGCAGGAAGGACGTGAGGAGGCCGTGGCACTGGTAGAACTGGGCATGGCAGTTCTTGCAGACGAACGGGGACAGCGCAGGGTCCTGGCGGACGGCCACCCCCAGCAGACACTGGAAGTCCCTGACGAAGACCCGGCTCCCGGAGGAGGGCCTCTCCGCACTGTCCCCAGGCGCCCCCCGGAGATGTCCCGCAGGCTCCGCGCGGAGAACTTGCCGTGGCACAGGCGGCAGTGCCCCATGGCCAGAGGTCGGCCGGGCCCTGAGCAAGCACAGAGACGGGCGGTCTGCGGGGAGACAAGCCTGCAGGCCTCCCCAGGCCCCACCCTCCAGCGGCTGCACCGGACCGAGGCAGGCGCTAGGCTCCAGGCGAACCGCTGCTCCCGGGGGCTGCAGCCTGTGAAGGTGCTTCTGGTCCAGAAAAACCTTCCTCAGAACCCAGCAGGGCCGGTACAACCCAGACTAGCACCTGAGGGACATGGGCTGGGACCCGCACAGGGGCCGGGAGCCCAGCTCAGTGCGCGGCAAGAGGCTCACCCCAGCACGAGGCACTCGGGCCCACCACACCACGGAGAGCCGGGACCTGCCCGCCCCACGGCCCCAAGACAGTGTCACCACCATGATGCCCACAGGCCCGGCCTCAGAGCCAGCACCATGGTTGTGGTGACTGCCGAGAGCATTTCCTCTAAGGTCAGCAGCAGGACAAGGTGCCCGCTCTTGCTGCTCTGCTCAACACCGTGCAAAAGCCCACGGTCGCTTTTCACAAACACTGAAAAAACTAAGGAACGCGCACAGACCCGCACAGACCCTGCCCAGCCAAGGCAGCCGCGAGAACGTGCCAAGCTGGAGCGGCCATGTTCCGGATCTCAGACCACGCACGGTACAGACCTGCTGTGCCCACAACAGCGCGGCGCTGGCATGAAAACAGAGATGGAAACCAATGCAGAAGGACAGGCAAGTCGGAAATAACCCCCACACGGCCGGTCAGTCCACGGCCAGAGCCCAGGACACACGGGGGAGCGCTGTGGCGGGCCAGAGGGCGGGCCGGGAGACGCCATCACACCAGACCAAGTGAGACGGGATTAAAGACTTGAATGCGAGCCCTGAGCCCACGAAGCTCCTGCAGGAAGCAAACTCCTTGACTTCAGTCTGGAGACGAGTTTTTGGATTTGACACCAAAGACACAAAAACAAAAACAAATGAGCGGGACGACAACCAAGCAGGAGGTTCTGCACAGCATGGGGACAGCCAGCAGGACGGACAACAGCTGGCTGCACGAGAAGCACCTGTGAGCCACGTCTGATGGGGCGGACACCCTAACGCCAAACACCCCGGGGGCAGAGACAGGACAAGACCACGCCACAAATCTGGCCCAGGGAACTGCAGGTCCAGCCACGGCGAAGGAGCAGAGAGGCAGCGAGGCCGGGCGGGCAGGCGGAGTGGAGCAGCCGCTGTGGAGGACGCGGAGTCCTCCCAAACCGAAGACAGAACCGCCAGCGAATCCAGCAGCTCCACTTCCAGGCCTTTATCCAAAGGAGATGAGACGCGAACTCGCAAAGACAAACGGAGCCGGGGCGCGGGGTCACGGGGGGCAGCGTCCGGCTGAGCCGCAGCGGGGCGTGGGGGCATGGGGCGCACACCTGACTGAACAACACAGGCGTGGCCACGCAGTCTGCCTGTGAGCAGGGCTTTTCCAATAAACACGTTGGGGGTTCGTTTTTGAGATTTGCATCAAGTTTTTTGTTTTTCTGTGTGTGTGTGTGTGTGTGTTTGTGTGTGTGTGTGTGTGTGTGACCCTCGCCGACGGCCGGGGATCGAACCGCCACTGCAGAGGCTGCGGGCAGCCTCGCAGCCCAGCGTCAACCACTGCTCCCACCAGGGAAGGCCCTGCAGAAAGTTTTAAAAATTAGATGGGGGCCTCCCTGGTGGCGCAAGGGATTAAGAGGCAACCTGTGAAGCTGTCCTTAGCCACTGCAGCACGAGCTCCATCCCCGGCCAGGGAGTGACCCACAGGGCGCAGCAGACCTCTCCTGTCTCCCTGCTGCTCCCCTCAGCAGTGTCTCAGTGGACCCGCCTGTTCTACTCCCCACTCTGTCTGGCCTGCACCCCAGCTCTTCTACATGAAAAAAAAAAGTTTCACGAGAAAAAACAAAAGAAAATGTGGTACAGTGACATAATGGAATACTACTCAGCAATCAAAAAAGATAATCTAGGGCCTCCCCGGTGGCGCAGTGATTGAGCACTGGGTTGCGAAGGTGCCCGCAGCCTCTGCGCTGCCGGTTCGATCCCCGGCTGCTCCCCGGCCACCGGAGGAGGGTCCCACATGGTGCGCAGACCTCTCCTGCCGCCCGCTGCTCCCCTCAGCAGTGTCCTTCGGTCCTTCTGCCTGCTCTGCTCTCCGCTCTGGCTCTGGTGAATTCTCTCACCCTCCGGCGCTTCTGACTGTGCCCAGTGCTTGCATGTATAAACAAACAAACAGACAAATACAAAAATCTTTAAAAAAAAAAAAAAAAAAGATAATCTCATGCCTTTTGAAGCAAAGATGGTCAGAGCAGGCAGGGATTACGTTAAGTGAGACTAACCAGAAAGAGATAAAGGCTGGATAACGTGCCGCTTTCTGGGGAGATGCAGAAAACGGAAGGGCCAGACAAACTTTAATACCAACCAGGGAAACTGATCACAGATCTCCAGCCTTCAGAGGGGCAGGGTGGGGGGGGGGGAGCAGGGAGAGAAGCGCAGGGGTGCTCCAGCGGTGGGGTGCTGCGGCGACTACCTGGGGTGGGGCTGGACTCTGAGACGCCAGCGAGGATGTAAACACTCAGCTCAACACCATGTGAAGAGAGAGATCTGCAGCACAGGGCGCCAGGAGACGGGAGAAGCACAGAAAGTTTATTAGACAATTGCAAAAAAATCACCTCAATCCAGGAAATGAACCAAAGGGCCTGACCCAAGAGGCCCCAAGAGTTTCTAACGAGGTAAGAGACCCACACGCTCAAAGATGCGTACTGCTGCTGACAGCCAGTGACAGGAACACTGGTGTCGAGAGAGAACAGTGACCTGTAAGGGGTCACCTACTAGACTGCCCAGGGCCTGGCAGCAGGACCTCGCGGGAAAGCAAGGAGCGGCGTGGGCTCAGAGGACAGCCTCCATGCGGGCATGCTGTCCTGCAGCACGTCACCCAGATAGGGCAAGGAGCAGAGAGAGGACATGGCGCCCTCGCAGCACCGCCTCCCAGGACAGCAGCACCCAAGGGCCACGTGAGGCAGGGACAGGACGCACCCCGAGCACCACACGCTCATGCCCCACAACACGCAGGGCGGTGGACACGCGGTGCAGAGTCTGAGGTCAGACCATGGAACAGGCCACGGGCAGACTGTCAAGTGAGATGTTCAAGCAAAAACCAGCAGAAGTAACACATAGGACAGAAACAGACCCCCAAAAACAAACATGAAAGATGTCAAAGAGGAAGCAAAGCTAAACAGCCAGGAGGCAGAGTCACCTTAACAGTAAACAGCTTGATTCTGTCAAGGGAAAGGCCTAGAGGAGCAGAATGTATTTCAAAACAAAGTCCCACCTTCCACTGTTTACAAGAAACCCATTTTTGCTATCACGGGCAAGGAGAAACTTAGAAGCTGGAACAAGTGGTTGCTTTTAAGTCCACATGGAAAGTCTAAGAATAAATCATCTGTTGGGACAGAAGTCAATTGTCAACAAAACTACGAAGACTGAGATCATACCAAATACTCTACTCTCTGACCGTAATGCCATTACCTAGAAATTACGTATCTTAAAAAAAAAAAAGGAAAAGTCTTGGGCCTCCCCGGTGGCGCAGCGGTTAAGCGCTGGGTTGCGAAGCTGCCTGCGGCCTCTGCAGTGCCAGTTCGATCCCCGGCTGCTCCCCGGCCACCGGAGGAGGGTCCCGCATGGCGCGCGGACCCCTCCTGCCGCCCGCTGCTCCCCTCAGCAGTGTCCTCGGTCCTTCTGCCTGCTCTGCTCCCCGCTCTGGCTCTGGTGAATTCTCTCACCCTCCTGCGCTTCTGACTATACCCAGTGCTTGTATAAACAAAACAAGCAAACAAATAAATAAATAAAACATGCCTCTATTAAAAAAAAAAAAAAGGAAAAGTCTTAAATACATGGAGATTAAGCAACACACAACTTAATAGCTACTGGATTAGGGCCTCCCCTGGTGGCGCAGCACTTGAGCGCTGGGTTGTGAAGCTGCCCGCAGCCTCTGCAGCGCCACTTCAATCCCCGGCCGCCGGGCAAGGGTCCCACATGGCACGCAGACCTCTCCTGTCGCGCCCACTGCTCCCCTCAGCAGTGTACTTCGTCAGTCTGCCTGTTCTGCTCCCCGCTCTGGCTCTGAATTCTCTCACCCTCCCGTACTTCTGACTGTACCCAGTGCTGTATAAATAAATAAAATAAATCATTAAAAAAAAAAAAAGCTACTGGATTAGAGAAAAATTAAACCAGAAGTCAAAAAAAGCTCAAGATGCACAAAAATGAGGATAGAAGCTACCAGAATCTACTGGACACAGCAAGCACAGACTTAGAGGGAAATAACTGCAGTCCAGGCCCACGTTAATGAGCAAGAAGAACCCCAAACACTGCAGCATCACACTTACAGGAAACTGAAAAGCAAGACCCAAAACAAGTGGAAGAAACAGAAGAGTAAATAAACGAACAGAAGCAAACTGCTGGGCGTCACTCTCAGGACAGGGGACACAGTTCCATCATGAGGAGAGGGGGGTTCACGCTGGCAAAGAGGGACACACAGAGGTCCCGGCGAATGCTGCAAAAGGTTCGCGAGAGACTGTGGAACTGTTGGTGGGGTGTGCACTGGTGGAGCCATTCTGAAAAGCAAACTGGACTCATCTTAAAAAGGCAAACAGGGGCCTTCCCTGGTGGCGCAGCGGTTGAGCACTGGCTGCAGCACTGGTTCGTTCCCCTGCCGCCGGCCAGGGTCCCACAAAAAAAAAAAAGGCAAACAGGGGGCTCCCTGGTGGCACAGGGGTGAGTCTCGGCGCTGTGAAGCTGCCCCAGGCACTGCAGCACGATTGCGATCCCGGCCAGGAAGCTACCCACATGGCGCAGCAGACCTCTCCTGCCTTCCTGCTGCTCCCCTCAGCAGTGGGTTTCTGAGAGTGCTCCCCCACTTTGGTGAATCCTCTCACTCCTGCACTTCTGGCCTGCACCTCAGTTCTTGTATGCATAAATAATCTTTAAAAAAAAAAAGGGGGGGAACATGCAGCAGCCCAGATTGGGTGACCTTCGCAGGGACTGCTGGGGCCACTGCTCCAGCCTCCGACTGCCCATGTGTCCACGCAGGCGTCTCGTTCCTTCGCGCTCGTCCTCAATGGCTAACCCTGTGCTGACCAGTGGGAATGTCTGCTGAATTGTCTCAGAGGGACCCTCGGCCCCTGCTCAAAAAAAAAGAACTCAGCTCTCAACTGCAGCTATTCCCCGGGCCCAGGTCGGAGGGCTGGGCGGAGCAGCGGGGGTCCCCCAAAGACGGGGCGCTGTTCGCTGGTAAAGACGAAATGCTGCGCTTACACTCAAGTGGAAGGCGTTCAAGGAAAAACATGCAGTCAACCAAGCCAGAATGACAAAAGCAAACTTGGAAATTCCTATCTCAGACAGTGTGATAAAACCAAACCCCAAACCAGCGGACACTACTGTGAGGAGGACGGAGGGTCGTGGAGGGTCGTGGAGGTCTGAAGGGTGCTGGCAGGAAACGCGCGCGCGTTACAGACACCGTCAGGGAGGAAAGCCAGGGCCTTTTATAGTGCACTTCGCCTTCACATTTCCCTTGGCGTCGCCTCTAAAGCCAGGCAGATGGAACTCGTCTCGAATGAGGGAGCGCTGTCCTGCCTGGCGGAACTCCCGAGCCGTAAGTCAGCTTTTTTTTTTAAGATTTACTTACTTATGCCTGCAAGAGCTGGGGTGCGGGCCAGAGGCGCGGGGTGAGAGGACACCCCAGAGCCAGAGTGGCGAGCACAGCAGGGGATCCGCCGCCCTGGGGGTCGCCTCCGGGCCGGGAGGCGCCCAGGCCGCAGGGGCTGACCCCTGCGCCCCCAGGGCGGCCGCCCCGCGTCACGGTCTCCCTCACGGTGATGCACCGCGAGCAGATTCTCCGCTGTGCGGCCGCGCGCCGGGAGGACGCCCACCGCGGCCGTCCCCGCCCGCGCCCCGGCGCAGGGTCTGCGGCCCCGGACGGAGGGCCACGCGGAGGGGGGCGCGGGCCTGCGCGCACCTCCCCCGCCGGGCGCGGCCGACGCTCGGCAACTCCGAGGCGCGAGGCGCGCCCGCACCCGCGCCCGCCCGGCGGGGGCCGCCCGCGCCCCGGGGAGCCCCCCAGGCGCGGGGCCTCCAGGGGGCGGGAGCGCCGGCCGCGCGCCCGGCCGAGGGCCTCTCCGGCGGCGGGGACCCACCCGGGCGCGCGGCCGCCGGGCTCGGCCTCCCCCGACCTCCGCGGGGGGCGGCGCCCCGACGCCGCGCACGGGCGCTCGCCCCGGCCTCGCGGGGCCGTCACCGGCCCCGCCCCCGCCGCCCCGCCGCCCAGGCCCCGGCGCCGACCCACCTGGCCCGTCCCGCCGGCCTCGCCCGCGGCCCCCGGGCCCGCGCCGCGCCCCAGCCCAGCCGCGCCCGCGCCACCAGGGCCGCCGCCTCGGCTCGCTCGGCCCCACGCCGCGCCCCGGGCGGCCCCGGGTCGGCCGCCGCCCGCGCCCCCGCGGCCGCCCCGCCGCCCGGGCGACAGGAAGCGACCGAGCCGGTCCCGCTTCATGGCGACGCGACAGCCCGGGCCCGCTCGGCTCGGCTCGGCTCGGCTCGGCCCGCTCCGCTCGGCTCGGCTCGGGCCGCTCGGCTCGGGCCCGCTCGCTCGGCTCGGCTCGGGCCCGCTCGGCTCGGCTCGGCTCGGGCCCGCTCGGCTCGGCTCGGCTCGGCTCGGCTCGGCTCGGGCCCGCTCGGCTCGGCTCGGGCCCCGCTCGGCTCGGCTCGGCCCCGCCCCACTCAGCTCCGCCCCGCCCCGCTCGGCTCGGCCCTGCTCGGCCCCGCCCCACTTAGCTCGGCCCGGCTCAGCTCAGCTCGGCCCCGCCCTACTCGGCTCGGCCCGGCTCGGCTCGGCCCCGCTCGGCCTTCTTGACTCGGCTTAACTCGGTCCCTCTCGGCTCGCTGGGCCCGGAGCCCCGGGCTCGGCGGTCCCCCCTCTCTCCCGCCGCTCGGCTCCGCTCCGGACGGAGCAAAATGGGCGGGCGGCGTGACGTGACGTGGGCAAGGGGCGGGGGCGGCGAGGGCGGGGCGGCGAGGGGGGGCGGGCGGCAAGGGGCGGGATGAGGAAGAGGGCCCGGGAGGGAGAGGGAGGGGCCGGGGCCGAGGGGGGGGAGGGGCGGGGGCCCCGCCGCCGAGCGAGGGCCCGGTCGCCGCACTTACGCGCTCGCGGCACGTGCGTGACGAGGGACGCGCCGGGCGCGCCGCCCCACTCTGCCCGCCGTCCGGCGCCGAGCTCCGCGCGGCGAGGCGGGGCCGCCGGAAGTGCGTCTCGCTCGGGTCCGCGGCTTCCGGCGGTCCGCGGCCCGGGCGCCCCCCGCGCCCGCACCCCGCGTTCCGCCCGGGCCGCGCGCCCCGCCCTGGGCCGCCGCCGCCTCCCCGCCGGCGCCATGGCCGCTGCGGCCGGGGACGGCGCCGCGAGGCCGCTGCAGGGCGCCATGAAGCTGGCCAACGGGGCCATCGAGCTGGACGCCGGCAGCCGGCCCGGGTGAGGCGCGCGCCCGGCGCAGGGCCCCGCCGCCACCGCGGACAGCGCCCGCCCGCCGCCCGCCCGCCGCCCTCTCCGTGCGCGCCCGGCTGCCCCGCGCCGGGACCCCGCGCCCGCGCCCGCGCCCGGAGGGTCGTCTGGCAGGGGCCCCGGGCGGAGGCGGGCCAGTCCCTGCGGGCAGGCTCCGGGCGGCGCCCATGCCCGAGCCCGGCGCGCCCCGGGTCCCGCGACGGCCCCGCGCTCTGGGCGTCAGGCCCGCGGTGACCGCCGAGGAAACGTTTTCTTAACTGCAGTGAATAAATCGCCCTTGAGCTGCACAGGAAGGAAACGTGGGGTAAACCAGAGCAAGTGCCAGGGCTGCCTCCCCAGGCCCACTGAATGAGCAAGGCAGTGAGGGGGGCTCTTCTCCTGCAGGCCCAAGGGCCCAGGCCCCACGTCCCTGATCAGACCTGGACCGGTGACTCGCTGACCGGCCCACCGTGCAGGCTGGAGAGCCCACCCTCCCTGTCTCCCGTGGGCGGGGGGGGCGTCTGCCTCCACTGACTGGCCTCTGCCATCTCTCTCCCCTGGGCACAGGAAGCATATACTGAATACCTGAGGAGCATCCACTACATCTCCCAGGTGCTACTGGAAGAAGTGGAAACACCAAAGGTACAGCTCTCAGCATCGCTGCAGCCGCAGCCACCCGCCATTGCTGGGCAGAGTGTGCAGAGCAAAGCCCTTTGTGGGTCCCAAGCCGAGGGTGTCCCCAGGCACGACTGTCACTGACAACACAGGGCAGGAAGGGAGCGGGGAGGCAGCTCCTCCAGCATGCGCCTGCTGACAGTGAAGACAGAACAGAAAGCCTGGGAGGCGGGGGGTCAGAGGGTATGGGGAGGGCCTGGAGCTCTGTCTGTGCAGTCAGCTGCCCTGCCCACCTCAATGAGGGTCTGTAGGTGAGACTGAGCCCTCAGTGAGGGAGAGCGGGCTCTGGTGGTCAAGATGAGGTGACAAGACAGATGCTGGGCTGGCCAATGCCAGGGACCACACAGGGCCAGCAGGTAAACCAGGCAGATGGCCGGAGAAGGGGCGGGCTCACTAACGTCTTCACTTCCTTGCATTTATCTTGGCAAGAGTCTAGTTAGTGATAGCGGTGATGGTGACCAGCCTTCTCGTCCCTTGCTCCCCAGAACCTGGGGAGGCTGTGCCCCCCGACACCTGGAAGATGCTGAAGCTGGCGGAGCAGTGCCTGGAGAGGGCCCAGTCAACAGCTGCCAAGCTCGGTAGGTCTCATCTGTGGCACATGAACTCCCTAGTTCCCCAGCAGAAAGCCACCAGGGCACCACCCCACAAGAGTCTGCATTTACTAGGTGTATCGTGGGCCTGTGCTGACTCAGCATGCATGTCTTGCAGGGAAAACACACCTGAAGTCAGCCATGCCCGTGGCAACGCCTGTCCCCACAACTACCAGCCGACACCGCAGGGTGTATTCAGATGAAGGGGGGAAGCTCTCTCCTTTTCTGCCGCCCGAAATCTTCCAGAAGCTTCAGGTGGTGGAGTCACAAAGCTCTAAGAAGTAAGATAAGACATGATACCTGGGTTCAGAATCAAGTGAAGTAACCACAGTAAATTTAGTTAAAACAGGTCTCAGAATGTAAATGTCTTAGTGCCTGACAGAAAGAAATACAAGTCCTCTTTGGAAAAGAGTGCCTTCACCTTTCATAAAATGAGTGGCACAAAGTTCAACGTAGCGAAAAGAGAGGAGGAAAAAAAAAACGACTATGAGGGAACGGTAGTTGAAACAGTTGTCAGACACATTTTAAAATAATCACGTTTTCCATATTTAGAAAAAGTGTAAGCAAATTTCAGAATACGTGCAGGTAAATGTAAACTATACAACCTAGCCACCAAATAGAAATAAATTGAAAATAATAAAAGTATTTTTAAATGAATTTAAAACAATAACATTTTGCAGTAGAAATTCACAATGCACATAAAAATGAGTAGACGTGCTCATAACAGTAGACACAGCTGAAGAGAATATTAGTCAACTAGACAGCAGTTTAAAGAACACACAGAATGCTTATAGGATGGGGAAAAATGAACTTGGAACAAGATAGAAAGTTTAATGGGGGGGGCTAGGGATTAAATCTCAGTGCTATCAGGCTATCACCACCGCAGCCTGAGTTAGATCCCTGCCCAGTGAGCTGACCCACAGGGCCCAGCAGACCTCTCCTATCTCCCCGCCGCTCCCCTCAGCAGTGTGTGTCAGTGGATCCGCCTGTCCTGCTCCCCACTCTGTCTCTGGCCGGTCCTCTCACCCCCACACCTTTGGCCTGCACCCCAGTTCTATACAAAAATAAATAAATCTTTAAAAAGGAAAAATAAGGTTCAATGAGGTTGTTAAAGTTCTGCAGAGGAAACAGCCATGGTAGACAGAGGCACCGTTAGAAGAGATGGCCATAGACCATTTTCTAGAGCTGATGAAGCCACCTAGACAGAAGCTAGAGCCCACCGAGCCATGAGTGGGAGGAAGGACTCTGGAGGGGCTGCTGCCAGGTGTGGACCACTGCCACCAGGGATTCTGCTCCCGCCTCAGTGTAGCTGTTGGGCAGTAGGGCAGGGCTTCCATCCAGGACAAACTCCCCTGCTCAGTCCTGTGCGAGGAGGTCGCCTCTCCCACCCCTTAAGGCCATAAGGCCTGTTGGACAGGAAGCTCCATGGCAGACAGCTGTGGGACTGTCATGGTGTAAGGTCCACTATTTCGGGGTTGGAAGGAAGCTGTTTAGTGCAATGCTGCCCTTAAAAACTTCCATGTTTGGGCCTCCCTGGTGGTGCAGCGGGTTGAACGCAGCGCTGTGAAGCTGTCCACAGTCTCTGCAGCGTGGGTTCGATTCCTGGCCGGCCAGGGAGAATCCCACATGGCACAGCAGACCTCTCCTGCCTCGCCTGCTGCTCCCCTCAGCAGTGTTTTCCGTTGTCTACCTGTTCTGCTCCCTGCTATCTCTGGTGAATTCTCTCGCCCCCCTGCGTCTCTGGCCTGTACCCCAGTTCTTGTTTAAATAAATAAATCTTAAAAAAAAAAAAAAAAGTTCCACATTGTTGCCAAACAGGTATAACCCATTTTGCATAAAGGCCAGAAGTCCAGCCATAGCAGGCCCAGGCTTCAGCCAGGCAACAATGTCCAGCTCACTGCACCCAGACCGCCCCTCCTTTACGGTCCTGCCCCCAGCCTCATCACCTCACCTTTGGTCTCCAGGGGTCAGAGAGGCCCTCAGGTCACTGAGCAGTCCTGGGCTTCCGGGGCCCTGGACAGCAGCTTGTCCCCCTTTTCCAGGGAATTGACACCCCTGGAGGAGGCCTCCGTTCAGAATCAGAAGCTGAAGGCTGCCTATGAGGCCCGGGTGGCACGTCTGGATCCCAGCCAGGCCATGCAGAAGACGTCCCTGGTCAGCTGGGCCGGGGGAGGGCTTGGGCTCAGTGGGCGAGGGGTGGGTCTTATTAGTCCCTCCTCCCCGCCCTCCCTAGACCCTGTCCCTGCAGCGGCAGATGATGGAGAACCTGGTGATCGCTAAAGCCCGGGAGGAGACAGTATCCTTCCTTCGGCCCTTGCTGTGGGTCCACCCGGAGGCCCGCCTCCCTTACGGCCTATGCACGGCGGCCCCCACCCCGTCTGTGGGCCCCCCCCTCCAGCCTTCAGGTGGGACCCGCCCCACCCCCTGGGGCCTGACCAGGGCAGTGGGGCCATCGCGCCCGCCTTGACTCTGCCGCCCCAGCTGCAGCGGAAGATGGAGGAGCGCCGGCTGCGGCTCCAGGAGGCCGCCAACAGGTGCGCCCCTGCTCGTCCCGTCTGTCGGGGGTGCTGGGCTGCTGGGGGGTGTCCGACCTACCCTGAGCGCCGGCCCGTCCCGCGCCCCAGGAGGTTCTGCAGCCAGGTGGCCCTGACCCCGGAGGAGCGGGAGCAGCGCGCGCTGTACGCGGCCATCCTCGAGTACGAGCAGGACCACGTGAGTCCACGGCGCCGGGTCACTTGCCGGGGCGGGGCCTGCTGCTCCCTGCTGGGTCTCTGTTAAGGCCCAGGAAGGGCAGTGCAGTGAGGCGCTGGCCTCCTTGGGGGCGCTCCTGTCGCGGGGGTCGGCTGTGGTGCCCTCCCGCAAAGACTCGTGTCCAGCAGGACTGGCCGAAGACCTGGAAGGCAAAACTCAAGAGGAGCCCAGGGGACCTGTCACTGGTGACCAGCCTGGTCTCCCACCTGCTCAGGTGCCCAGCTTGCTGCGAGGGGGCAGGGCGGGCAGGAAGGGAAGAAGACCTGGGGCGGGCACAGAGGGGCCTTGACCCTCTGGCACCAGGGCGGGTGGGACATTGCCAGACTCTGGGAAGGACTGATGCTGCTCAGACCCCGCCAGGCGGGTGGGCGGCCGAGGCCCACGGGGGGTGCAGTGCCTCCAGCCGGCCCTGCCCGCCAGCTATGCCTGTGCCCGCAGTGTGCCCGACCACCCGATCGCTCAGCTCTTGCGGCGGCTGCAGTGCGCCGTGTACCGGGCGCTGTACCCCCTGGTGAGCAGCAGCTCCCCGCCTGCCTCGGCCCCAGGCAGCTGCTCCCTGCCCCCGGACACCGACGGGCTGCTGGCTCCTGGGAGCCGAAGACTCCGGCCCTCCCAGAGCCTCTACTGTATGCTTGCCCCTCCTGAGCCCAGCCCGGGCCCACAGCCCCCCACGGAACTCCCAGCCAGTCCCCCAGCCAGCCCGTTCCAGCCCGGCCCCGCTGACTCCTCGCCTAGGCCGCCGGCCAAAGACAGCTCCTTTGAGGACCTGGAACAGTTCTTGGCGGCTTCCGACTTGTGGGGCCGGGGTCCTGAGGGGCACCCTGAGCCCCAGATTTCAGGAGCAAAGAAGGAGCCGCTGCTGGAGCAGCTGAAGAGCACCGTGAGGGACATCCACAATGCCATCGGTGAGGCCTGAGCCAGAGGCGGCGGGAAGCACCCCCAGCTGGGGGCTCCCCAGCCGACAATAGACTGGTGCTGGCCTGCAGCGCCCCCGCACCCAGCACCCTTACGGTGCGGTGGTCTGCTCCCGGCTTCAGGCAGCAGCTGGTGGGGGGATTCACAGTCACCTAAATTCTGGGAGATAGCTATTGCACCCCAACTTTTTGGGGGGCAGGGTCCCCATCACGGTGTTCTGTGTGGTTGGCGTGCATCTGTGTGCTGCTGTTGGGTTCATCCCCTTTGTGTTTCCATTCTGAAAAAAGTGGCTGGGCCACCTAAAAGTTGGGGTTCAGAGTGGCAGGTAGCTGCCAGGTCTCCAAGGAGGAGGGGGGCTTCCATGGCTTTCTCATGTGGTGCCCCACACTCCAAGGAGCCTCAGGCAGCGGCACCATCTCGGGCCTCAGTTTTCCTGCCTTCAAATATGAGTCTAAAGCTCCCAGGTTCCTGCAGTTCAGGGCACAAAGACCTCCCCACTCTCCCCTCCACACCTGCCTCCTTATCACTGGGGACCCGTGGCGTGGGCCTGTGCCCATGGGGAGGCAGCCGGGCCCAACTCTCTGCTCTGACCCAGGCCCAGGGAGCGGAAGGAGGGCACGGGCGGGGTATGCTCCCTGTGGTTGTGCCCCCGCCTGGGAGGCCTCAAGGGGGTGGCAGCCCAGGCTGCAGGGGGTGACTTGGGGCCTGCCCGCGGGGCCAAAGTCACTGTCCCCCGGCACCACTGGACGCGGCTGTGCCCCGGCAGACAGGCTGCTCTCGCTGACACTCCTGGCCTTCGACGGCCTGAACACGGCCGCCTCCAAGGACCGCTGCCTAGCCGGCATCGAGGAGCCCTTCTTCTCCCCGCTGTGGCCGCTGCTGCTGGCCCTCTACAGGTTGGGGCCCACAGTCCCCTCACGGCCAGCCCCGCCCCTCCTTCCTGATTCTTGCGCAGCCCTTGTCTCCTGAACCCTGTTTCCTCACCTCCTCCCACGCGCACCCAGAGCGACACCCCCGCATCTTCCTGGGTGGCCTGGGCCTCCACCCCCTTGCTTCACTGTCCTGCTCTGGTTCCTGCCTCTGGGCTGGGCCTCTGTCCTGGGCAGGCCCTCGCGAGCCCAGCTTCTGTCTGCGCAGGAGCGTGCACCGCGGGCGGGAGGCCGCCCTCAGCAGGAGCATGGAGCTCTGCCGGAACGCACCCCCGCCGCCCTGGGCATCAGCACCAAGCTCCTGCCCCGGGACCCCGCAGTGCTGCAGCGGGCGCCTGCCCCTACCATGCCGCCGTGCAGGAGCTGGGGCTGCTGGTTCTGGAGAGCTGCCCCCAGAAGAAGCTGGGGTGCATCGGTGAGGGGTGCGGTGGGGCGCGCAGGGGAGGCGGCTGGTGCCGAGGGAGGGAGGGAGACCCTGGCTGGATCAGACAGGGCCCCTGGCCACTCGGTGCTGTGGGCATCGGAGGCGCACCCCTCCTGCCCGTGGGGACGTGGGGACACGGGCATGAGAGCCCTGCCAGCAGAGGCCCGGCCAGCCCTGACCAGCCCAGGCTTGAAGGGGCAGCGCGGGAGCCAGGGGTATCCTGGCCGGTGGTCTGGCCCTCACCCCAGCCGCTCTGCCCTCAGTGCGGGCCCTGCGCGTCATCTGCGCCTGCGCGGAGGAGTACTACCGGGCCCAGGGTGCCGCCCCAGAGCCGGGCCCCCAGCCCAGCGCTGCTGCCATGTGAGTCCTGCACAGGAGGGCCCGACCCTCTGGCCAGTCCTCCTGGAGCCCTCTCGGACCCTGGGGCGGGGGGCCTTAGGGTCAGGGACCACCTGGCTCACTGGTGAAATTGGGGTCACTCTACCTGGCAGCCCCTGACCCTCAGCTGCCCCTGGGCCCAGCTGCCAGCTGGAGCTCCCTCTCCAGCCTCTCCCAGGCGGGCTCCGGCACGGGGCAAGCAGCCTGCCAGCACGAGGCTGCTGTGGGGCTGAACAGGGCTCTGGGCTAAGCAGCCCCCAGCAGGCCCTGTCCTGTGCCCACAGCGGTGCAGACGACCTGCTGCCCATCCTGTCCTTCGTGGTGCTGAGAAGCGGCCTTCCCCAGCTGGTGTCGGAGTGCGCGGCCCTGGAGGAGTTCATCCACGAGGGGTGCGGCCGGGGGCGGGGCGGGACACCTGGGTTGGGAGCCTCCAAGCTGGAAGTCCACAGCCCGCACCCCCTGCCTCCCGCCAGCCTCACCTCCCTGGGCCGCGTCTCCTGGCGCCCCTGGTGTGACCGGCCGCTCGCGCTGCCCACGCAGGTTCCTGGTCGGAGAGGAAGGCTACTGCCTGACCTCGCTGCAGAGCGCCTTGAGCTGCGTGGAGCTGCTCCCCACAGGGCCCTGGGCAAGCAATGGGCGAGGACGTGACCCGCCGGTGACCGAGCCCCCAGCGCCGGGGGGCGGGGCTCTGCACCCCTGCCCTCACCCCACCTCTGCTGCTGTGGGAAGGGGCTGAGCTGACCCCACACCCAGGACTCTCCCCCATCCGGCCTCTGAAAGGCCCGTGCAGGAAAGCCAGAGGGAATCCCGCCCAGGCCACCTCGCTCCACTCGACCCGGTGGCCGCGGGTGGGCCAGTCTGGTCCGCCTCTGTCCCGTCCCGTGACAGTCCTCAGCGTCTGAGCCCGTTTCTTGCTGGAGTCAAGAGGCGAACCCACTACTCTGTCCCCAGAGACCACGGCCAGGTGGCTCAAAACTGCTCTTATTTATTGGGCGCTGACCACCCTCCCCTGGGGGCCAGTCTGCCCTCCCCTCCTTGACAATTCCCACAACCCTGTCCAGGTTGGTGTGGCCTGAGCTCAGCATGTGGCGTGGCGAGCGGTCCCCTGCCCGCTCCGTCACGCGCCGACAGGCGCCACTGAGCACGCTGCAAATAAAGAAGTCACAGTGTCTGCCAGCAGCTCCTCACGTCCTGCGCTCCGGCGGGGTGGGCCTGGCCACACAGACCCCGCCTCTGCTGGCCGGCAAGAGCCAGAGGGTCCCAGAGACCACTGGTGACAGTGAGGATGGTGCTGGGGTTGACCGTTCCAGGGGTCACATGCACCTCCAAACCAAGCCTGCCCCAACCTGCGCTGCACAGGACCCCCTGAGGCTGCTCACCCCACCCCTGCCCCGGGAAGGGCAGTCTGCAGGGCCTGGTGGGCTGGGAGCGCCACGTCTCGAGCCATCCCTGGCTGGAGCTGGAAGAGCCCTCCCTGCAGGGCAGAGGACGCGGGTGGCCTGGCGCCGGCAGTGGGGGGGGGGGGCCCACTGAGGGCCGGCACCCAGGAAGACCTGTGCGCGCGCAGTGGGCCAGGCGGCCCTCCCGCCCTCTGCAGCATCCTGAGGGGCCCGGGACCAGCCCTGCCCTGCGGCCACGGCACAGCGTGAGTCCAGCCCTGCCCCGGCAGGGTCCCTCTGCCAGCTGCCCCGCAGGAGCCCCAGGGCCGGGCCATCCCAGGAGCAGACAGCAACGCCTTCCACCGTGCCTGTCTGCAGCCTCCGGCCCTGGGCACCCCCTCTGCCCAGGAGCCCCCGCCCCGCCTGTGCCCTGTCCCCAACGGGGCTCCCAGCCTGCCCGCGCCTGGCGGGACGACCAGCGCCCCCCTCCGCAGCTCTCGTCGCGGGCTGCTGCTGCCCGCCGCTGGCTGAGTCCCGGCTGCGCATGGTCCGGGGCTCCTGGGAACAGGAGCGGCACTTGCCAGGAAGCATCCCGTGAGGCGCCGAGGAAGCTCGCAGGCCGCGCGCCTGGAGAGAGGGCGCCAGCAGAGCGCGGACAGGGGAGCCCCGGACCGGACGGCGCGGCGGGGGCTGGGGGTGGCGAGCTGGCGGGCGCGCCCGGGGTGGGGGTGAGACGCGCCGCAGCGGCGCCAGGCGCGGCACTGCCCTCCCGCCCGCAGCTCCGCCCCCGCCGGGGTGCAGGGTCCGGGCGGCCACGGCCCGCGGAGGCCCTGCAGGCGCCCTGCGGGAGCTGGAGCCGCGCGTGGGGCCCAGCCGGGCGGTCGGCTTCCAGGGCGAAGCCGCCGACACTGGCCACCGGCCTCCGTGGGCGCCGGGCAGCGGGCTCTGCCCTGGGCCGCTGGGGCCGCGCGCGAACGCGTGGGGACGGGAGCGCCCGCCGCGCCCCGCGCGCGCCTCGGCCCGCGACGCCGCCCCCGGCCGGCGCCCGCCCTCGCCCGGCCGGCGCGGCTCCCCAGGCCGCAGGCGGAGCCGCGTGCAGCCCGCGTCCGCGTCCGCGGGGCCGGCCAGCGCGCTCTCCCGCGGGGCTCCGGGCCGGGCGGCGGGGCCGGCGCTGGGGGCTGCGGCCCGCGTCTGTTCTGGGGGTGGAGGCGGGCGAGGTCCTGCCCAGGGCCCGCGTCCACCGAGAAGGGCCTCGCGCCCTCGCGTGGCGGCGACGGCTCCCCGCGTGCCCTCGAGCCCCGCGCCAGCGGCGCCTGCCCAGCGGCGCGCGACCCGGCGCAGAACCGTCCGCAGCGCCGGGGAACGCGCAGCCCCGCCGGGGACGGGCGCCCGCGGGAGAGCCGCGCCCTGTGCGGGCCGGGCCGGGCCGGGCCGGGGGTCCGGGCCAGCGGGCCTTGGCGCGGGCGGCGCCGCGGAAACCGGCGCTTGGATCAGCAGGTGTCCCGGACACCGGCCCGGCCTGGTGCCGGCGACCCCAGCCCTGCCCGGCCTCGCGGCGCCTGGAGGCGCGCGGGCGGACCCAGCGGCGTCCCCGGCCGGCCGCGCGTTCTCCGGGGCCGGGGGCGAGGGCCGCGGACAGGAGCGGCGGGGCGGCCGCCGTGGGAACGCCGCTGCGACCCTCGTGTCTCCACCGTGGGGCGGTGCCCGCCCGGGGGGCCGGCCGCGGCCGGGCCCGCCCCCCGCACCGCGGCGAGGCGCCCCGAGGGACGCCTCGGCGGGCCCGGCTCGGGCCCCGCGTCCCCGGGCGCCAGGGATCGGCGTGCGCGCCCGGGCCCTGCGGAGGACTTGGCGGCCGCCGGGCGCGCGCGGGGCCGGGCAGGTGCGCGGCGGGGCGGGCGGGGCCAGCTAGGCCGGCCGGCCCCCGCCTTCGCCCCGAGAAGCCCCGCCCCGCGCGCCGGCGGGGCCCCCACTTCGCCCCGAGAAGCCCCGCCCCGCGCGCCGGCGGGGCCCCCACTTCGCCCCGAGAAGCCCCGCCCCGCGCGCCGCGCGCCGGCGGGGGCGCGGGTGCGGGCGCAGCGCGCGGCCGGGAGGCCCGGGCGGCGGGAGGCCCGGGCGGCGGGCGGCGGGGCCGGGCCGGGCCGGGCCGGGCCGGGCCGGGCCGCAGGATGGGCAGCCGCCCGCTGGCCGAGGACTACCGCCTGTGCCTGGAGCGCGAGCTGCGGCGCGGGCGCGCGGGCGTGTGCGGGGACCCGTCGCTGCGCGCCGTGCTCTGGCAGATCCTGGTGGAGGACTTCGACCTGCACGGCGCGCTGCAGGACGACGCGCTGGCGCTGCTCTCCGACGGGCTCTGGGGCCGCGCCGACCTGGCGCCCGCGCTGCGCGGCCTGGCCCGCGCCTTCGAGCTGCTGGAGCTGGCGGCCGTGCACCTGTACCTGCTGCCCTGGCGCAAGGAGTTCGCCACCATCAAGGTGCGCGCCGCGGGGCGCGGGCGGGGCGCGGGCGGGGCGCGGGGGCCGCTCGCGGGCTGGGCGCGGCCCCCTGCCGGGGCGAAGCCCTCCCCGGAGCCGCGGGGGCGCGCCCAGGCCGGGGCCACGACTCCTCCCGCCGCGGGCCGTCGCCCTCCACGGAAGACCCGGGGGTCCCCGAGGCGGGCGGGGGCCGCTGGCTGGCGCACCCCGGCGCCCCGGGCTCCTTCGGGAGGGTGGGAAGGCGGTGACGTCACAGCGCGTGGGCGCGGGCCTCCCGGGTTGCCATGGCAGCCGCTCCGGAGCCAGCCCGGCCCGGGCCGCTGCCGCCCCAGCGGGACCCCCGCCGGCCCGAGCCCCGGGGTCTGCGGCCCCCGAGGCGGCCACGGCCTGGCCCGGCCTGCGGGGCCCGCGCCACCGGGCCGGCCGGGGAGGCCGCGACGGCCGCCGTGCCCACGCGGGCCCCGCGGCCAGGGCCCCCCCCCCCCGCGGAGCTCCAGGCCGCCGGGCTCGCGGCTCGGCGCCCCGCAGGGCGCGCTCGGGCGCGGGGCGGCCCCGGGCCGTCCAGCGAGGCCTGACGCGGCCTCTCTCCTGCCTCGTGACCCCGCTGCGAGCATTTCTCTCCGGCCGCGGTGCCGGTGCCGGGCTGCCCCGGCCAGCGGGGTCCGTCTCGGGGAGCCGCGCGCCACCGGGGGCTGCTCCGCCTCCCGGGCGGGGCCGGGGCGGCCTGGGCGCGCTGCTGACCCGGTGTCCCCGCAGACCTTCTCAGGCGGCTACGTGCACGTGCTGAAGGGGGTGCTCTCCGAGGACCTGCTCGTCCAGAGCTTCGAGAAGATGGGCTACGTGCGCCAGGACGACCACCACCTCATGATGGCCACCCCACCCCCCGCCGGCCAGCTGGTGCAGGTGGCCCTGGGCTGCTTTGCCCTGCGGCTGGAGTGCGACATCCTGGGGGAGGTGCTGGCGCAGCTAGGCACCAGCCTGCTGCCGGCCGAGGAGCTGCTGCAGGCCCGCCGGGCCAGTGCTGACGTGGCCTCCTGCGTGGCCTGGCTGCGGCGGCGGCTGGCTGGGGACAAGGAGCCGCCACCCCTGCCGCCGCGGGACCCCCTGGCCGTGTACCGGGCCCCGCTGGACCTGTACCAAGACCTGCAGGAGGACGAGGGCCTGGAGGCGGCCAGCCTGTACGGCAGGTCCTCCCCAGGCCCAGACTCGCCCTCCTCAGCGCTGGCCTACCAGCCTCAGCCGTGGGGGCAGAGCGCCAAGTTGTGGGGTGCCAGCGCTGGGGCCTGGGACCCGGGGGCTGAGGCCGGGGGGTCACCCAGGGCCAGCAGCCCGCCCTATGGGGCACTGGAGGACGAGCTGGAGCCCGAGCCCGAAGTGTTCTCCTTCCTCTCGCTGCGCAGAGAGCTGGCCACCCCCCAGCCGCCCGGGAGCCCTGAGCGGGCCAGCCCGCAGGGCGCCCACGAGCCCCCCGGCTACCAGGCCCACAGCTGCCTGGCCCCGGGCACCCTGCCCACCCTCTGCTGCGACACATGCCGCCAGCTACACGCTGCCCACTGTGCCGCCCTGGCCGCCTGCCGGCCCGGCCACGCACTGCGGGCTCTGCTCGGCCGCACCCAGCAGCGGCGGTGGACGCAGCCTGACGCCCCGCTGTACGACGGGCCCGGGGCCCAGCCTTAGCCCGCAGGTCGGGCTCGGGCTTTCCATGGTGCTGCTCGGGCCTCGCCCCACCCAGGCCTGGCCCCCGGCAGACCCGCCCGAGGAGCCCTGGGCACAGGGCAGAGGGCGCCCAGGCCCCGAGTGGGAGTGGGGGCTTACCCTCTAGCAGCCTCAGGCTCACCCCATCCCCAGCACCCAGGCCTGGGCCCAGATGTCCTGGCTTCCAAGCCTGTCCCCGTGAGGACCCTTGGAGGCCAAGCGGGGACCCCGTCCTAACTTGCAGCTATGCGTTGGGACAAGCTGCCTCCTGCCGACTGCGTGGACGGGAGCCCAGCCAGAGGCGGCCAGGCCGGTGTAGACCTGCCCTGGCGCACGCAGCAGGTTGGCCACAGACGGCCAGCACCTGCCTCACAGCTGGACGGGGCTGGGATGGCACAGGCTCACCTCCCGGGAGCAGGACGGCAGCCCTCGGGATCTGGAGAGCAGCTGCCCACCTGGGGACACGGTCTCCTCAGCCACGGCTTGCGGGAGCCCCTGCATTGGCTCTGCCCGGCGCCACTCCCCGTGCCTCGGGCCAGTACTGAAGGGTGCTGGGCTCTGAGCAGCTGTGGGGCTGAGCCTGAGGCTGGGGGCGGCAGGCAGGCACAGCCGTTCCCAGCGAGTCCACCGGCCCACAGGACGGCAGGGGGCTGTCTGCCCAGGAGGTCCAGGCCCGCCTTCCCTGACCAGAGCGTGCCCCTCCCTGGGGGCCATCTGCCCACCCCTCGAAAAGCCCACTTATACCACTTACACGTGAGCACCTATTAAAGGACACTGGACTCGCACGTGTCAGCAACGTCTTTATCTCCACGGTGCTCCCCTCCCCCGGGCCCCTGGGGCAGACCCACGGCTCCCCCTCCAGCCCAGGTCACTCGCTCTGGAGTCCCGCCAGCCCTAACCTGGGTGGACCCAGGGCCCACATCGGCATGCAAGTGGCCATGCAGAGTCTGCTAGGCCCAAGTCAGCAACGCCCACGGGGATGGACCCACGTGGCCACCCAGGGTGGGGCAGTGGGGGGCCCTGGCCCCGCTAGGAACAGCCCTGTGGTCACACCCTGTGTCCTGAGGTCATGGGTCCTTCCTAGAGGAGGGCGGAGCTCCGCCACTGGTGTCCATCTTTGGGAGCCACACTGGGCTCAGGGCTTGCTGCGCTTGGCCTGGGTTTCGCCGCCGCCGGAGGCCAAGGCGGGGGCCGCCCGCTTGTTCCGGTGGTGGGGGAAGGTGGGCATGAGCTCTGGCTCGCAAGCTGTGGGGAGGGGGTTGTTTAGGGGTGGGAGGAGCACCCGGGGGGGTGCAGGTCTGAACCCCACCCTGCACCTGTGCTGGGGCCTGGGCAGAGCCTGAACCCCCCCACCCCTCGACTTTGCGGGTGGTTCCCGTGGCCTTGGTGTGCCACCCTCTCTTCAGCCCAGGCCCAGCCCCTTGGCACCAGCCCCAGGCCAGGCCACACCCCACAAGTCACCGCCGCCCACTACCCGTGCCAGGAAGGGCCCGGGACTCACGCAGGGGCTTCTCCTTGAAGTAGGAGCTCTCCAGGCCATCCCCAGCCGTCGCCCTGCGTGAGAGCCACATCAGGGGCACTGCCCTCGCAGCTGCCCTGCCCAGAGCGGGGTCTGGAGGGGGTCCCAGTCCGGCCCGCCCACACACCCACCCCGTGGTGCGCACCTCTTCTTGGGGTCGTACATGAAGAGGAAGTTCAGCAGGCGCAGGCCGGCCTCCGAGAGCCACGGGAACTTGTGCTTCAGGTTGTTGTAGGGCTGCTTCCTCAGGCTGTACTGGCCCGCCAGCGGCAGCGCAGAGAAGCCCTGTGGGAGCTGCGCTGAGGCCGGATGGGCGCGGGGAGGGCGGGGCTGCGCCCGGAGGGCCGGGTGTGGGGCGGGGCTGTGTGGGGAGGGCAGGAGAGGTCAGCGCTGAGCGGAGCGGGCTGGGCTGGGCTCTCACCGGCCAGATGTTCTCACTGGGCGTCCCCAGCAGCTGCACAATTAGGTCCACCTGGTGGATCTCGGACGTGCCGGGCAGGAGGGGCTTATGGGCCAGCAGCTCGGCCAGGATGCAGCCCAGGGCCCTGCAGCAAGCGGAGGCTGTCTCAGGGCCCCCAGCAGGCGCCCCAGGGAGAGCAGCCCCCTACTCTGTTCCTGCAGCAACCCTGCCCCAGGCCCCACAGCGTCTTACCACATATCGATGCTGGTAGTCTGCGTGGTGGTGCCCAGCAGCAGCTCGGGAGCCCGGTACCTGCAGAGACGGGCAGTCGGGGCCTGCTCCAGCCCCACCCACAGCCCTGCAGCCCCCTTCCTGAGGCCAACAGCCGCCGCTGGCTGCTGCCCCAGCTTGGCTGCAGCTCCAGGTGCGCGAGCGCCAGGCGCAGGGGCTTGCAGGTGCACACCTGCAGCGTTCACTGCACAAAGCCCCCAAGCCAGAACCTCTGCCTCTTAGCAATGGGAGAAATGACTCCACACCATCTGAGCCCCCAGTGGGTGGGGGTCTTCCTCCCGGGGAGACCTCTGTCCCTCCCTGCTCCCCCTGGGCAAGCTGACCCCGAGACCCCTGCTTCCCTGCACCAGACACACCTGCCCAAGGCCCTCACCAGAGAGTGACCACCTTGGGGGTCATGGGCTTCAAAGGGACGCCATATGCCCGGGCCAGGCCAAAATCCGCTGTGAGGAGGCAGAACGGCAGGGAGCGTGAGCCTCGCCCAGAGGGGCTGCACTCGGCCTCCAGGGCGCATGGAGGGACCAACCACACCCCACGGCAGCTCCTCATCCACCTGTCTTCACACAGCCCTTGTCGGTCAGGAGCAAGTTGGAGACCTTCAGGTCCCTGCGAGAAGAGCGCGGAGGTCCTGGGCGCAGCCCCCTCACTCCCCTGGACCAGCCCGCAGGCAGCATGCTGTGCTGCGGGGACACCCCACCTGGGCCAGACCCCCAGGGTCGGAGGCCCCGCAGCCCGGCCTGGGCCCCCGCCCGCAGGGGAAGCGGGCTGTGAGCCAGCCCGCGCCAGCAGTCCCACCTGTGGATGATGAAGTTCCGGTGCAGGTACTGGAGGCCCCGCAGCACCTGTAGCACGATGCACTTCACCTGGGGGGAGCGTTGTCGGAGGTGAGCAGGGCCGGGAGGGCCCCTGGGCACCCACGGGACAAGGCGTTCAGGCCGACCCCAGGCCACACCTGGGCCTCCGAGAAGGGCGTTGGCATGTTCTCCAGAAGGCTGGCCAGGTCCTGCTCACAGTAACCCATCACCAGGAAGATGCTGCGCACCAGGGAGAGGCTGGCTACCCCCAGGCTCCGCCGCCTGGCCGAGGGGGCGCCCAGCCTCCCCTCTTTGGCCTCACCTTTCCAGATGGTTCCCCACGACCACGTCCTTCAGCTCCACGATGTTGGGGTGGCGCAGGCGCAGGAGCAGCGTGATCTCACGCAGGCTGCTGATGGGCACCCCTGCAACCCAACACCCAGCACTCGCCCCACACCACACCAGGCCACGCGTGGGCCGGGCCGGCCCGCCTCAGGCGGGGCTGCAGGCAGGTGCCAAGTTGGGGGGAGGGGGGCGCCAGCACTGCCAGGGTTGGGGGGGCCCTGCGGGGAGCCGGCCCAGGACCCCACGGGCCAGTGGGGCCCGGAGCCCGGGGGTGGGGGGATGCAGCTGGCGACAGGCAGACAGCCCCCTCGGCCACCACATGCCGCCCACTGAGGCTCACCATCCTTCTCCGTGTCCATGCGCACTTTCTTCAGGGCGACAATCTCGTCCGTCTGCGTGTCCCGGGCCCGATCTGGAAAGGACACACACCCAGTGCAGTGCCACCAGCCCCCACACCCTCAAGCCCCGTCCTGCACCCTGGGGCACCCTGCCGGTGACACCTGGTCCTCTCTGTGGGGACACCCCACCCACTAGACATGCCCCTGGCGGGGGGAGGGGGAAAAGGTTGGGGGGCGCGGCTGAGTCTTCCTTCCCCATCGACTGCCCCCGCTGCTGCCCGAATAGCGCATGAGGCGCCGCGGCCAGTGAGAAGGACTCTGTGTGGCACTCCTAAGCGCCTGGGCACTCAGGCAGCTCAGCTGCCCTCCTGGCACGCTGTGGGCCCCTGCCCTGGTCACGCCACAGCCCGATGCCTGTGCAGACAGCCCCCGGCACGAGTCCCTGCCCGGCTGCGCAGGCAGGAGTGTCGCTCCAGTCGGTCCCTCCGTCACTCACACACGATGCCATAGGTGCCCTCACCGATGCGGTTCAGCTTCTCAAACTCCTTCACACTCCGGCACCGCCCCAGCTGGAAGACACGCCACGTGAGGCTGCGGGGCCTGTCAAGGGCGGCCCTTCACACCCCGCTCATCCCCCTAGAAGGCAGCCACACGTGGGGCCTTGCAGGGGTCTAGGGGAGCCAGGGGTGGCCAGAGATGCCGGGGGTGGCCTCACCGTGGCTGTCACCTGAACACGGGCCAGCCCGGCAGGCAGCTGCCAGCCACGTGTGGCGCAAAGCAAAGCGACAGCCAGGAGCAGCACACCCAGAGTGCTGCCGAGCAACTGCCGGTGGCCACTGGGCAGTCCAGGACATGCGCTGCAGCACAGGCTGACCCCTCGCCCCGGAGCACCAGTGCAGACACGGCCGTCTCCAATGCCATCTCCTTTTTTCTCTTGGGAAACTGCCGGAGGCCATGGCCACCCAGCTGGGGCTGTATTCCCTGCCTCCCTCACAGACGTGGACAACACGTGCCACATTCCAGCCACTAAGTTGTGAGCGGGGACAGCCGCCGCCGCCCCTCTGCCCCAGGACCTGGGGCTGCCTGGGACCTGGGGGCGGGTGGAGCAGCAGGGCAGCGGCCAGGGGGCTGGCCCCCGCAACACTGCTCGCCAGGATGTGAGGGGAGAGAACCAGTGCCAGGACTGAATCCAGAGACTGTCCCGAGAGGCCGGTACCCAACACGCCTTCACAGCCCGGGCACGCAGGTGGCTGAACGCCCACTTCGCGGATCCAAGACACCAGGGGCAAGCCCCGAGTTCTAACAGCCCCGCGCGGCCCCTGCCTCCCTCTCTCCAGCCAAGCCCTTCCAAACGCCGGGAGCCTAGTCCCCTGGTGTAGACAGAGCCTTAACGTGACCGCCCGACGCCTCCCCCGTCCAGGTGAGCGCCGTGTCCCCACGCCCCCCTGCACTCTCCGGCCTGCCCTGCCGACCTCCGGGCTGCAGGACCAAACCCCAGTCACACGCTCAGCCGCCAAGCACGCGCCCTCCTCGCGCCTCCCCTGCCAGGCTGGCGCCGGCTTCCCCTGAGCGCCCTGACCGCGCCCCAGGAGGCCGCCGTCCTGGGTGCCCGCGCGCCCCGCAGCAGGGCTGCCATGCTCAGGCCCAGCGAGCACCTGCTGCCCACGGGGGACCGGCAGCGGGCAGCACAGTGCTTCGGCGACCCCCAGAGGCCAGCAGCCTTGCCGCGGCGGGGCCGGGCCTGTCGGTCGCCCGTCGAAGCTGCGTGAGCTGCGTCCGAGGACGGCCACGCTGCGCCAGGGGCGGGCAGCGCGGAGGCCGCGTGGCCGGGCGGAGGACAGGGCCGCAGAGGCCCGCGGCGTCCGGCACGAGCGAAACCACCAGTCCTGGGTCCGGGGGAGGCCAGAGGACCTGCGCCCCGCTCCCGCCAGCCCCGCCCCTCCCGGGGCCGGCCCGCCCCCGGCCAGCCTCGCCCCGCCCCGGGCCGGCCTGCCCCACCCCTCCCGAGTCGCCCCGCCCCCATCCTGCCCCGCCCCTCCCGAGCCGGCCCGCCCCCAGCCTCGCCCCGCCCCCGGGCCGGCCCGCCCCGTCCACCCCCGCCCCGCCCCCGAGCCGGCCCGCCCCCAGCCAGCCTCGCCCCGCCCCCCGAGCCGGCCTGCCCCGCCCCTCCCGAGCCGGCCCGCCCCCAGCCAGCCTCGCCCCGCCCCCGGGCCGACCTGCCCCGCCCCTAACGAGTCGCCCCGCCCCCATCCTGCCCCGCCCCTCCCGAGCCGGCCCGCCCCCAGCCAGCCTCGCCCCGCCCCCGGCCGGCCTGCCCCGCCCCTCCCGAGTCGCCCCGCCCCCATCCTGCCCCGCCCCTCCCGAGCCGGCCCGCCCCCAGCCAGCCTCGCCCCGCCCCCCGAGCCGCCCCGCCCCCAGCCAGCCTCGCCCCGCCCCCGGGCCGGCCCGCCCCGTCCCCCCGCCCCGCCCCCGGGCCGCTACGCCCCGGCCCCGCCCAGGCCGCGCCCGGCTGCCGCCCCCGCCCCGCCCCCGACGGCGCCCGGGCCGCGAAACGTGCTTCCGCGCGACACCCGGGGCCCCGCGCGGCCCGGTCCCGCCCCGCCGCCGCGAGGACGGAGCTGGCGCGGCGCCCCGGCGCACCCTGTGCTCCGCAGGCACCGTGAAGAAGCCGTCCTGCCGGATACACTTGAGGCGGATCTGCTCCGGCTCCGGCTCGGGCTCCCCCATGCCGAGGCCGCCCGCCCCGCCCGCGCGCAGGCGCAGAGCGGCCCCCTCCGCGCACGCGCGCAGCCTACTTCCGGGGCGTCCCCCGTGGGCCCGGGTTGCCAAGGGGACCCCGACGTCCCCAGAGGACCCCAGCGCCCACGCGGCCACGGGCCCGCCTAGTTTCAATCGCGGACGCCGGCGCCCCAGATGCGCGGAGAAGCCCGGCGGGCCAGGCCCTTCGGGCCTGACGCCCGCGGGGCGCTGACGCCCGCGGGGCGGCGGGGCGGGGCGGGTGGAGGGGCGGGCGGGGCCGGCGGGGGGGGGGCGGGGCCGGCGGGCGGGGGCGGGGCCGGCGGGCGGGGGCGGGGCCCTGCCGGCGCGGGCCTCTGTCCGGCCTCTGTCCACTGCTCGCCCTGGAGGCACTGGGGGGGTCCCGCAGGGTTATCGGCGCGGACCTGGGGGTGCCGCTTGAGCCCGCCGAGCCGTCCCTCCCAGCGGGGCGGGCGAGCCGCAAGGCCGACGGCTCGGAGGGTGCCAGGGTCGCCTCCTGGGCCAGGGGCAGCGCTGTGGGTGCTGGGGAGTCACGTGACCCTCGAAGGCCTTTTGGTAAATCTCAGCGAGCCAGAGTGTTTAACTCGAACATTTATGTTCCGTTGTTTTAATTTTGGAATTCACGCTGTGGAGGCGGCGCTGGGGCAGTGGGCGGAGGGCAGTGCCCTGCGGGGCTCATGGAGAGGGGCCGGGCTGCCCCGGCTGTGGCGGGCCACACAAGCTGGTTGCGCCCTAACCCACCCCCACAGCAACCACCTGTGGCCACGCTGGGCACTAAGGCAGCCACACGGCGACTCCAGCGAGGCCAGACATGCTCTCCCACCACACTAGCCCAGGGGTCAGGGGCCAACAGGGGAGGGGGGCAGCTGACAGCACCAAGGCTCAGGCCCCCAGAATGGCCTCACCACCGGAGCCCCCCTCACAGGCAGAAAGAGGGAGTTCTTTCAGTTTGACTCCTCCCGGGACAGCTCTGCAAGGCCCCCCGCCCCTCCTTCCAGATCCTCTACTATCCTGGATCAGGTCCCAGTCGAGCTCGGAGCCCTGGGGACCTTCCAGGGCTCTGCGGGACCTTTTCTCCAAGGTGGAGACCTGTCTTCACGTGAACTGCCAGAACCGACCCCAGCTCCTTCAGAAGCGAGCAGGACAAGGGTCAGACCAGCCCCACCGGCTCATCGGTGTCTGTCCAGCGCCAGCGGGGCCAGCTTGGACAAGCCTGCGCCGAGCCAGGGTCACTCCCGTCTGCTGAGCTACCGGCAGCTCTGGGGAAGTCGAGACAGGCAGCCAGGGGCATGGCTGCCCCGCCAGAGAGGCACACGCGCTTGCTGGGCATGCCTTTATTCGGCGTGCGCGTTGTAGGCGGCCACGGTGCTGGGGTTCCGGTGCCGGTAGTAGGGGCCCCAGCTGCCCTCCTCCTTGATGGTTCTCTGCTCATCGGTGGTGGCGGAGTTGTAGCTGAGCAGGGTCTCTTGTGAGGCCCTGGTGACCACGATCTGGGGGATGATGAGCTTCTTCTTGCTCACCTTCACCTTCCCGTCAGGTTTCTCTGGAAGGAAGAAAACACCAGGTGTTGACTACCAGGCCTGTGGGAAGCAGCCCCGTAAAGCAGGCACCGGCCGTGTGGTCAGGAGACGCCCAAAGCGGTCGGTTCCGTGTTGGAACATTCCAGAGCTTCACTGTGGCCAGTGCTAGGTGCCCTCTCTGGAGAAGGAACAGGAGCAACTTCCAGCCTGCACCTTGGAGAGCAGGGCCAGGGGTTGCTCACAGGGAGGACCTGGGGATGTGCGGGCATACTCGGGGGTGAGCCCCAGCGTCTCTGTACAGGCTTCATCAGGACACCAGAGAAGCTGGCCACGGCTGATCTCACCAGCGCTGGGCTGGGCACACAGCACAGACAGGGGCGCCCGCGCGCACGTGTGGCCCAGCTGGGCGTCCTTCCGGCCTCGGGGAAACCCCAGCGCGCCACCTCTGTGCACAGGGTCTACTCGAGGGCCTGCTTGCTCAAGGGCCTGCGTTCACACGCTGTTTTGCTTAAAGTCGGTCCCAAGATCCCCCAGCACGCCAGGGAGCTCTCGCTGCCTATAGCCAGCACCCGCCCAGCCCCACATGGCCTCTGGACGCCAGGCGCTGGGGTGCTGCTCTCGGGGCAGCCCCGAGGGGGTGCGCCCACCCTGCTCCCGCAGACACAGGTGCCAAGAGCAGGTGCCGAGAGTAGGCCGCCTGCTCAGCTGGTGGCAGAGGGTGCAGCCCCCCCCCCCACCTGGGGCCCTGGGTCCAGAGCCCCCACCGCTTTGCCCACCACCAGGTGACCAAAGCCTGACCCTTCACTGGGCACCGAGTCTTCTTATTTATCATTAAGCCAAAAGTTGCATCTCATCGTGTTTTGCATTTCAAGTTCATTCTTTCACGTATGTAGCTCCACACAAGGCAACTTGGAACCCTGCAAATAACAAGACAACCCGTGGGGGAGGGCGGCAGCTGCCCTCCCCACGCCCAGCTGCCCCCACCTTCAGGCTCACAGGTCAGCCCGCGAGCACCCCGGCCAGTCACAGCCTCCCACAGCCTGGATGCCCTGCAAGGGGCCTCGGCCGCTCTTATCGTGAATGTGACTCAGTTTATTTCCAGTTTTTGTCTTTTTCAAACAGTGAACAGCGCTGCCATGGACACTGGGCTCCATGCGCATGAGAGGCCTCTTCATGGTGGCGAGAAGGGACACCACAGGGACTGTCAAGCTGTTCTCCGGGGAGGTCGCTTCGGCCTGCGTGTCCACACAGGGGCTGGACACAGACACTTCTCCGCAGCCTCCTAGGCCTTGTCTACTTCCTGGGCCTTTTCCCGCATCCTGAGGTGGGTGTGAGCTCAGCCTCACCCCAGCCCTCCAACTCCATGTCCAGAGCCAGACCCCGGGCCAGCAGGCATCTCCTCCCATAAAGGTCATGTTCCCGCCCGCACTTCCTGTGTCATTAGGACATCACCCTGCGTGCAGCCTGGGCCCAGCACCCGCTGCTCGGCTGGCCCTGCTGTGCTCACACTGGCCGTCTCTGGAGGCCTGTCGCTTCTCAAACCCAAGGCCTCTCAGAACACCCGATTCCGCCTCGACCTCTGCGGCCCGCTCTCCTATGCTGACTCTGATGCACGCAGGACCTTGAAGGACTGAAGTAAAACGCGAATCTTAGTTGTGTCGACTGTCTGGTCAGCTGCGCCAACACCCGGGAGCGAATATCTCCCCACACACACACCTGACAGGAGCCTGTGGACAACGCCGCCTCCAGCTGCCGCTTCCGACATGCCCACTCCCTTGGGCGGCCTCCTGAGCGACCCTTGGTGCTCTGACGGGGGTGGCTCTGGCCGCAGACCAAGAACAGCCGTGTTGAGGCCGCTGAGGCCCCACCCAGCAGGCTTTCTTTTCTCTTCCTGAGTCTTAAAGCCTCTTCATTTAGAAATATGAACACTTTCCGGGGCCTCGACGCTCCCGCCTCTGCTTCCGACAGCCGCACGGCAGGTGACAAGTGTGGGGCCGAGGGAAAGCACCACGTGCGTGGCCTCGCTTTCCAGCCACGAGTGGAGGCTGAACTGGCTGTTGTGGCTGCGTCCCCACCAGGGGCCAGCTGGCGGGGATCCACACCCCGCAGGCAAGGCGGTCTGCGGTGAGGCCGGTGCCCACAGCCGCACGGGCTGCTTACTGGTTCGTTCAGACATCAGCGACGTGCAGTGATGGTGTCTGGAGGCGAGGGCTTTGGGGTGACTGCATTTAGAGGTTGTGAGAGCCCCAAGGGTGTCCTGAGTGCTCTTTTGAGAGAAAGAGGAGACTAGAACATCTCCCCGCCACATGAGGACACACCGGATCAGAAAAGGGGTTCGCAGGAATCCACCGCAGCCCAGGTCACGGGGCCCCCAGAAGAACAAGCAGCAAATTGTGACTTCAGCCCCAGCCGCCCGAGCAGACCCACACCCAGCTCTTTCATCCCGCTCATCTCCCAGACAGGTTTGGGTCTTTTTTTGTTTTAGATTTGTTTTTATTTACGCATACAAGAACTGGGGTGCAGGCCAGAGGTGCACGGGTGAGAGGATTCACCAGAGACAGAGTGGGGGAGCAGAACAGGCGGATCTACTGAAATCCACTGCTGAGGGGAGCAGAGGGGAGACAGGAGAGGTCTGCCGCGCCATGTGGGTCAGCTCCCTGGCCGGGGATCAAACTCAGGCCGCAGTGGCTGCTGATAGCTTGATCAAGCTGAGACTTAACCCCTGCGCCACCAGGGAGGCCCTTGGGTTGTTTCTTTCAAGTAGAATTTCCAGTGTTTTGGAATTGGCTGATAGCAAGTGGGGTGTCTTGGGTTCTGTGAAGCATGGTGTTTGTGGGTTTTGTGCTGCAAGGTTGCAAGCAGACAGAGCAAAGAGATGGCAGCAGCACAAAGCAGCCACACTAACAATCCAGCCAGACTGGATCCCCTCAGCACCTTGCCCCTGTTCTCAGCACACGTGACAAGGGACCCCAAAACTGACAGCCAAGCACAGCTGGGTTCCTTGGTTTTATGGGATGGGAATTTGGGACAGCTCCGCTGGGCAGGTAGCAGTGTGGCCACCTGGCGGCGAACGGCACACATGGCAGGGACTGTGGCCATCTGACAACCTGGGGGAAAAACAGCTGCCACCATGCAGCCTCTGGGCTGGAGGGATTGAAGACAGGGAGCCCCAAGGCCTCCAGGTGGCAGAGCCTCCTCACAGCAGGGCGGCTGGGGATTGCACAGCCTCAGGACACAGCCAACACCCTCAAGGGAGGAGGCCAATCCTGAACAGGAAAGGGAGGGGACACTGCCTGGCGGGAGGTCAAGTCAGGTCACAGGCGGGGAGCTGGGAGGAGGCCAGCGGTGCCCCTCACTGCTGCAACCCCACATGGGCTGCCCCACTCATCCGTGTCAAGTGTTGTGGATGCAGGTCTAAGAGGCAGCTCCTGTTTCCCGTCTCTGAAGGTAACGCACCCACGACAAAACGCCGTTTTTATGCCTGGCTGACCACAGATGGGACTCCGCACCCGCCTAGTCCCCTGGGGCCTGTCCCTGCCAGCTGCCCCACAGCACATGTCTGCTCTGACCTGCCAGCAGGCTCCACTTTGCTAAGGTTTTCCCGGTCAGGGTGAAGTGTGACTTCTCTAAATCTATCAGGGAAAGCAGAGAGGACGCCCGGGCCCACACTGGACGGTCCCCCTGGCCGGCGCCCTTCCGTGTCTCACTGGTCAGTCTCCACACCACTGCAGAGCCACCAGGGCTGTCACCGGCCTCGGTCCTCCCCAGGCTCTCCATCTCTTCAAAGAACCAGACACTCTTTGCCTCCTTTTTTTTTTTTAAAAAGGTTTATTTATTTATTTACACAAGCACTGGGTACAGTCAGCAGCGCGGGAGGGCGAGAGAATTCACCAGAGCCAGAGCGGGGAGCAGAGCAGGCAGAAGGACCGAAGGACACTGCTGAGGGGAGCAGCGGGTGCGGCAGGAGAGGTCTGCGCGCCATGTGGGACCCTCGCCGGTGGCCGGGGATCGAACCGGTGCTGCAGAGGCTGCGGGCAGCTTCGCAGCCCAGCGCTCAACCGCTGCACCACCGGGGAGGCCCTGTTTTCCTCCGTTTTTTAACGGCTTTATTGTGGTGTCGTTTAAAGCACATAGTCCAACAGTTTCGGAGTTGGCAGCCGGTAACCCCGTTCTGGGAACTTTCCCTAAAAGCACTCTGTGCCCACTCGGGGAGATGGGCGTCCTGCGGCTCTGCAGCCCGGGCCACCTGGCCCCTTGTGGACACATCACACAGACGGGCCTCCGCCGGGCTCCTGGCCCTGGGGCCCCCGAGCAGCTGGACACTGTCGCCTGGACACCCCCGCCGCTCCCCTCCTGAGAGGGGTGGGACAGGGCCCTGGGCCTTGGCAGCAGGAGTGGGCGGCGGCGGGAGGCCCCGCTGGGGGCGCAGGCCCGGAGGCCGGGGAGGCGCCCCCCGGCGAGGGACAAGGCCCGCGTCAGGGCGGCCGTCTCGGCGGCCCCGGCGGGCGAGCCCGGCAGAGGCCCCGCGAGCGCCCGGGGCCGGCGTCCCGCCCTCCAGCTCCCGCCGCCCGCCCGCCCGGCCGCCGCCCGCTCCTACCTTCCCTGCGGGGCGCGGCGCCCGGCGCGGCCGCCTCGGAGCCCTGGGCTGGCCGGTCCGGAGGCGCGTGCGGCGGCGGCCCCGAGAAGCGCCGGCCCCGCTTGCGCTCGGCCCCTGCAACAGACGCCGCGGTCAGACCCGCCGCCGCCCGCCGCCCTCGCCGGCCGCCGCCGCCGCCTACCTCGCCCGCCTCGGCCGGGGCTGGCTTTGCTCTTGGACAGCCCCATGCGCGCCGCCGCCGCCGCCGCCTCACAAGCGTCTCCATGGCGACGCGGCTCTCGCGAGAGCGGCCGCCGGGGGCGCGGCGGCCCGGAAGTGCCGCTCTGCGCAGCCGCCGCCCGGCCCCGCCCTCCGTCCCGCCGCCGCCGCCCGCGCCATGGACGGTGAGAGGCCCGCGCGCCCCGGTGTCCGCCCGCCCCGCCCCCCGGCCCCGCCCGCGCCTGCGAGGGGCGCCCCGAGGCCCCCGGCCGCCGCCGGCCCGCGGGGGGTGCCCCCGCCCCGGAAGGGCGCCGCGGCCAGCTCGGCCCGGGGGGGGGGGGGGGCGCCGCTCCCGTCCAGCCGGCTCCGTGGCGAGCGCCTGCTCCTCGGCGGGGGCGGGGGCGCGGGGCGCGGGCACCTGCCAGGCCGGCGCGCTCGGGCCCCGCGCCCCGGGCACCCCGGGCACCGGCTGCTGGCGTACCCCCGCGCGCCCCGGGCCAGCGCCTTCGGAGAGCCCCGCCGGCGGGTCGGGCGCTGCCGCGGGCACGTCCCCGGTGTCCGCTGGGGCCGGCGCTGAGCGCGCGGCTCTGGACAGTGGCCTCCAGCCGGCCCTGGGACGCCAGGACAGCCCCTCCCGCGAGACGGCCTCCTCCTCGGAGTGCGGACACCCCGGCCTGTCACTGTGGGGAAGGGCCCGGGGCCGCCCCAGGGACCGCCGGCCCCAGACACCCTCCCGAGTTCACTGCCCACGGCTTCGCCCCGGAGCTCAGTCTCGCCCTGCTGCTGCCTGGGGCGTCGGGAGTGCAGGGGCCCTGCGGGCCGAGCCCAGGCTGCGTGTCCAGCTCCCGCTGGCCAGCCTGGGCCGGCACCACGCCCGTGCTCTGCGCTGCCCCGGCCTAGGAGGGTCTGCTAGGCCTTGTCACGCCCCCCTCAACACCGAACCCTTCTTCTCTTGCAGACACCCTGTTCCAGCTGAAGGTATGTGCGGGGTGCCACCCACCCCCTCCGCCCACCCTGATGGTGAGCACGTCCCACTCATGGCTGCTGCCCGCTGCTGTCAGGCTGGTGGCAGAGGGGCACCAGGCAGCGGGTGGGCTCGTCCAGGAAGAGCGAGGCGCTGTCTGTGGGAGCGCGCATCCAGCCACCTGCATGGTCACCGGCGCCGAAGAGCAGCCTCAAGCCCTTGCCAACCCCGCTGTGGAGAGCGCTCAGGCCGCTGGGCTTCCCCCGAGGCCAGGCCCGTGTCCTCTCCCCTGAACGCTCTTGGGCAGCTGCTTGTTCTGGGGTAGCTTTCAGCCAGCAGAGGGCCAGGGGGCCCTAGCACACCTTGGGAGGTGTCCAGTGTGTGGGCAGCAGGGCCAGGCTCCAGATCAGGCTCCAGACCTTCCCCCTTATGGATCACAAGAGAGTCCCCAGTGGGACCCCTAGGCGGTGGGGCTGCAGGTCCGCGTACTCCCTGCTGGCGTCCTGTGTTGGGTGGGGACGGGGCCCTCCCGGAGGGGCAGCAGCCAGCAGGGCTGCCACCGGGCCCAGACATCTCTGCTGGTGTCGCCCCTCAGAGCACCACGTCCTGGGGTGGCGCCTGGAGGAGCTGTCACCTGCGTGGGTACTCAGCCTGCACAGATGCTGTCCGGGTTTCTGCACCTTGGAAACCCACGTGTGCGCTTAGGGCCTTGGGCGCCGCAGCCTTAGCTTTGCGCCTAGGTGGGTTTGGGTTCTGTCCTGGGGGAGGACAGCTGTGCTCGAAGACCCTGCACCATCTCCCTTCCCGGAGCCTCAGGGCGGGGGCCGCCTTGTCCCCAGACGGGGCTAGGGCTCTGCGCGCGTCCGACCTGGTGCTGTCTCTGCCCAGTTCACGGCCAAGCAGCTGGAGAAGCTGGCCAAGAAGGCGGAGAAGGACTCCAAGGCGGAGCAGGCCAAAGTGAAGAAGGTGAGCTGCTCTCCTGGGTGCGGCTTTTTCCTCAGGGTGGGGTCAAGGTCACAAGGTCCCCATCCTGATAGGCTACGGGAGAGGGTGGGGCGGCCATGTTCTGCACCCGCCTTCCCCATGGGGTGGCACTGGCTGTCTGCAGCCAGCCCCATCTCATGGGCCCCCTCGTCTCTGCCTCAGAGGCCTGGGACAGATAGGGCGGGAGGTTGCTGGGCTCTAGGAGGGCCGGCTGAGTGGCCCCAGCTGCTCTTGGAGGATGTGGGACAGCCCCCGTAGCGCTGACCACTGTCCGGTGGGTGAGCAGCTCCCTTGGGTGGCACTCGGAGGTGCGTCCTGCTCCTCCATCCTGAGTGCGCTCCGCAGGCGTCGGCGAGTCCACTGTGGTGCAGGCTCCTGAGCAGGTTGGGACTGAGGTGCCCAAATCAGGAGGCTCAGGCACTTCTGGAGGGGCAGCTCGCGCCAGGTGGGGACTGCCCGCTGGCAGGCGTTGCCCGGGCAGGCAGGGAGTGTATGATCTCTAGCTGGTGTCCCCTTCCGCAGGCCCTCCAGCAGAAGAATGTGGAGTGTGCCCGCGTGTATGCCGAGAATGCCATCCGCAAGAAGAATGAAGGCGTGAACTGGCTGCGCATGGCCTCCCGCGTGGACGCGGTGGCCTCCAAAGTGCAGACGGCTGTCACCATGAAGGGGGTGAGTGTTCGCCGCAGTGCTGGCAGGGGCCGAGGGAGGGCTACGCTGGCCTTGGCCTGCCCCGGCCTTCCTCACATCGAGGACTGCGGGTCAGCTGGTGGGGGCTTTGCTCTGCTCTGTCCTGAGCCCTTTGCGCCTGCAATAGGTGACCAAGAACATGGCCCAGGTGACCAAGGCGCTGGACAGGGCGCTCAGCGCCATGGATCTGCAGAAGGTCTCCGCGGTGATGGACCGGTTTGAGCAGCAGGTGCAGAACCTGGACGTGCACACGTCGGTACGTGGCCGGTGGCCTGGTCCCGGCTCCAGTGTCCCTCGTGGGGCCCCCACACCTGTGAACATTCAAGGTGGCCGGAGGCCGGGCAGGCAGGCGGGTGCGAGCCAGCAATGGGGTGGGCAGGCCAGGGAGCCAGCGGGGACTTGGGCACCAAATGAGCAGAACTGGGCCTGACCCCCAGGTGATGGAGGACTCCATGAGCTCGGCCACCACGCTGACCACACCTCAGGAGCAGGTGGACAGCCTCATTGTGCAGATCGCCGAGGAGAATGGCCTGGAGGTGCTGGACCAGCTCAGCCAGCTGCCTGAGGGCGCCTCTGCTGTGGGCGAGAGTTCTGTACGCAGCCAGGAGGACCAGCTCTCCCGGAGGTGGGCTCCCAGCCCCGCCCGTGGCCCTGCCCGTCTCCCAGCCCATGTGGCCTGGCACCCCCCCACGGCCCTACCCCACCAGTCCCGCAGCCCACGTGGGCCTGGTACCCCAACCGCTGGCTACTGGGTGTGAGGGCACTGGCTTGCGGGTAGCGCGGGGTGGGCTTGGTCTGGCCCTGCCCACCCACAGCTGCACTGTTGCCTTGCAGGCTGGCCGCACTGAGGAACTAGCTGGGCTCCGCCTGTGGCCCAGGCACAGAAGCTAGGAGGATACTGACACCTGCCCATGCCTGATGCCCGCCGCTGGCCCTTTCCTGAGCGTAGCACCGCCCCGCAGCCGGGTGCCCTGCTGGGCTCAAGGGAGGGCCGGTGACTTTGCACAAACTTCTGACTTTGGTGGGTGATTTCTGATGGGGGCTGGCCAGCTGGGGAGTGGGCAGGCGCCCTCCCCTCCACCTGCTGAGGAGCTGGGGTGCCCATGGTCCCTGGGCTGCAGAATGCTGAGGGGCGCGGCTCCAGGCTCGAAGCCACCTGTGTTCAGGCCATGCCTGGAGGGTGGACACGCACAGCAGTGCGGCGCCAGATGTCTCTGCGGCCACCCACTATGCCTCCCGCCTGCAGCTGCCCCGGGGTGGGGAAGCACTGAGTCCCGGCCGGTGGGACCCGCCCGCCTGCCAGGCCATCATGTTGGTCGGGCGCTGCAGCCGCCACCCACTCTGGACCTGCCTCTCCTGCCTCCAGCCAGAGGGGACACCCATTTGCCTCGCCCGGCCGGTCCCCAAGCCGGTCCCCCAGAGGGGCAGGCGCTTCTCCCTAGTTCCCGGCACCCACTTCTTTTCTTGAAGCTTCAGAGATTTCTGTTTGTTTTGTTATTGCCAAGATGGGCAAAGCTGGCGGCCAGCGGTGGTACCGGGCCGAGCCCTTCCCAGCACAGCTGCCAGGTGGCCAGAGGCCTGGGGCCTCACACTTGAGCCCACAGCCTGGGTGCGGCTGGGTCTTCTGCCAGTGGTGCGGCCTCGCCTACCCGTCTGCCCTGAAGTACTGTTGAGTGTGAACAGGCTGATGCCCAGGGCTCTGCCCTGCTCTGCTGAGGCGTGGCCCGCGGGCAGTTCTGCAGCCCCTGCTGGGGCACCCAAGAAATGGGCCTCCACCCCACGGAGCCAGTGCCCAGTGCACGTCTCTCTAGTGTCCACCCTGAATGATTAAAACTCATAAAGCAGCTACATGCGAAGTCACATGTCCTGCACTCCTGCGTGGGCAGCTCAGTCCCTGCCAGCAGCCACCTGAGCCAGACCCAGCACCGCCACTTGCCGGGTGCAGCCTGGCACAGCCTCTCGCTCAGTCCCCACAAGCCGCTGTGGAGATGCGAGGTCATGGGGGTGCCGAGCACCCCAAGGCAGCAAGGCCCTCGGGCCCCCAGGTGTGCAGCATCACCCCGCACTGTCCCAGCAGGCCCCAGCCAGAGCCCGGCCTGGACCTGCTGCCCCCAGACCCTGTCCCTGGGAGTGGGCCCCGTGCTGCCGCGTGCCCGCCCTCGGCCAGGCCGGGAACCCCACCCATGCAGCCATGGCCGGTTCAGTGTGCCCCTTCCCCAACCACTTCCGGGAAGGACTGGTTGCCACGCCCACCAGGGTCCCCCTGGAACAGGGCGCTTTGTGGGTGTCCTGCCCTGCCTGCGACCCTCCCCGAGTGGAGGTCCGTGTGCAGGGCTCCCGAGTGCGTGCCCCTGGTGCCACGGTGGGGGACTGACCGCTGCCAGCTCCCAGGGCACGCCTGCCCGCGGGCCTGCCGCTGCCTCCCAGGCCGGGTGCGGATGAGTGAGTTCCGGAGCCAGGGCTCTTGGGTGAACAAGGGCGGCTTTAATGGGGGTCACCAGAAAACGGCGCCCTGAGGCCCAGCCTGCGGGGCCGGCAGCCGCCTGTGGAAGGCAGTAGGATCAACACGGCGTTGAGCTTAGGTGGGCCGCAGGCCCCAGGCAGCCCTGTGACCTGTCCTGGGAGGGGGCGCAGACCGAGCCCCCGCCCCACGGGCCCCGCTGTGCCCGAGGGCCTCGAGCCCTCAGACCCAGTGGGAGTTTGGGGCAGGGCCCATGCTTCTCCCCAGGCCGCTGGCTGGGGGCGGCTGTGCGACAGGCTTGGCGGCTGGGGGACGGCGTGGATGGGTGGGGGGCGTGGGGGGTGCAGACGAGTGCAGGGGCCTGCGAGAGCGCTCGGGCTTGTGTGAGAACGTGGGGATGGACGGGGAGCAGCGTCCAGGCCCAGCGCTGCCCCGGCCTGTGGCCAGACACGGGCTGCTTGGAGGCTCGGGAGCCTGCAGGCTTGGGCGCCAGTGTCAGGTCGCAGCAGGGTCCCCATTATTGCGCGCCGCTCTGCTCTGGGGGGCCGGGCCTCCCTGGCTGTCAGAGAAGACGCAGGCCGAGCAGGAGGGGGGCGCCGGCGGCCAGCAGGGCCCAGGGCCAGCCGCGGAGGGGGGCGCCCCCGAGGCCCCCGAGTAGCCGTAGAGGGTCCTGCACGAGGCCTCCAGCTGGTCCAGGGCAATGGGCTCCTCCTCCGGCGCCTGCGTGTGGTTGCTCGCCTGGACACGGGCAGGGACGCCAGGGCCACCTCAGGCGCTGCCGCGGGGGAGGGCCCGAGGGGGAGGGGAGGGTCGTCGCGCCGCCCCTCACCTTCTCCACCTCCTCGAAGACCCTGAGCAGGTTGCCGGCCAGGGCGCCCTTGACCTCCTCCTCGGTCCACTGTCTCCGGAGCAGCTCGGCGACCAGGGCCGGGTACTTGGACACGTCCTCCAGCCCCGCGGGGAGCCTGCGCCGGGCAGAGGCGGCTCCGCGTCCAGGGGCGGGCCCAGCCCTCACGCCCAGGACGCCCGGGCTCGCAGCCCCCGCCCAGACCCTTACCTTGAAACGCCGTCGAAGTCCCCCCCGAAGCCCACGGCTCCGGCGCCCGCCACCTTCTTAATGTGGTCCAGGTGGTCTGCGGGGAGCGGCCCGTGGGTCTCGGACGCCCCGCCCCGCCCCTGGTGCCGGCCCCGCCCCGCCCCGCCCCGCCCCGCCCCTGGTGCCGGCCCCGCCCCCGCCCCTGGCGCCGGCCCCGCCTCCCGCCCCGCCCCCGCCCCGCCCCTGGCACAGGCCCCGCCCCTGGCCCGCCTCCCGCCCCGCCCCTGGCGCAGGCCCCGCCTCCCGCCCCGCCCCGCCCACCTGCCACGCGGGACAGGTTGGCCTCCTTCCCGCAGGAGACGTAGTCGTTGTAGAAATTGACCATCACCAGCCCGCGCTTCTGCTTCTGTGCGGGGACAGGGGTCAGGGCGGGCGGGGCGGGGCGGGGGCGGGGCCGTGCGGGGAGGCCAGGCGGGGTCCGCGCCCCCCGGGGCGATGGGGCCGCGGGGCGGGCGGGCGGGCGGGGCCGGCCGGACCCACCACCAGCTGCAGCACGTCGTCGGGCACGTTGCGCCTGTGCGGGCAGAGCGCGAAGGCCGAGGAGTGGCTGAAGATGACGGGCGCGCTGGACAGCTGCAGCACGGCCAGCATGGTGGCCCGGGACACGTGCGCCAGGTCCACCATGACCCCCAGCCGGTTCAGCTCCTTCAGCACCCGCTGCGGGAGACGGGCACCCCGAGCCCGGGACGGCGGTGTGGGCGCTGCTCTCAGGACCGCGGCCGGCCACACCCCACCCCAGAACTCCAGCCGCGGGAGGCCCCGCTGCCCGCTCACCTTCCCGAAGGGCGACAGGCCCTGGCTCCGAGCCTGGTCCTCTCCGGTGTCCACCAGCCAGTTGTCGGCCCTGGAAAGGCAGAGGGCACCGATACCCCACCTGCCCGTCCAGGCCGGCAGGAGGTGGGTGCCCGGTCGCCGCCACTCACCAGGGGGTGTTGCAGCTGTGGGTGAGCGTCAGGTACCGCATGCCCAGGTGGTAGAGGGCCCGCAGGACGCCCAGGCTGCTGTCGATGGAGTGGCCACCCTCCACGCCCACCAGGCTGGCCACCTTGCCGCTTAGCATGGCATGCCGGAGGCCTGGGAAGAGAGCCGCGTGGTGAGCGGCCAGGGCCGAAGGGCAAGTGGGGGGCGGGCAGGGCGGGGAGGCCCACCTATGCTGCTGGTGGCACAGGCGAAGGTGTCAGGGTACATCTGGCACATGCGGTGGATGACATCGATCTGCTCCAGCGTCCTCTTCACGCTGTCCTTGTTCTGGGTGTCGCAGGGGGTATATGCAGACCAGAACTGGGGGCCACAGGGGAGGGGAGAGCAGCTGGCACATGGGACCCCAGGCCCTGCCCCTCCTCCCTTCTCTGACCCCCACCCAGGGGCACAGCACCCCAGCAGGACCTGGGAGGCCCCAAGGGGGGCGCACGCCTGGCCGGGCCTGGCTGTACCTGGCCACCCACCAAGCCGGCCCTCAGCTTGGGGATATTGGTGTGGGTGTCCACCAGGCTGTTGAGGTTGGCGCCTGGGACCTGCAACTGGTTGTTGAACCTCTTCAGCAGCTGCCACGGAAGGTCGTTGTGCCTGGGCGGCCAGAGGGTGTCAGTGGGGCAGCCAGAGGGGGTCAGTGGGCAACCAGAGGGGGTCAGCAGGCAGCCAGACGTCGGTCAAGGAGTGGCCAGAGGGGGTCAGGGGCAGGCAGGGAGGAAACAGGCTGCTCAGAGCACAGGTGAGCCCTTGCTTTGTCCACCCTGGACAGGTAAGCCAGGTAAGGGACCTGGCAGTCTGAATGGACAACCTCCCAGGGCCGGTCTCTGGGGATGAGCGTGCGCAGGCGGCTGGTGTGTGTGCTGTGGTGATCTGTCAGGTATGTGCTGTGTGGGCACAGGTGGGAGGAGCTGGACAAGCCCCGCTGGCCGCGGGGTGGGGAGCATCGCCTGGTCGTCCCTAGGGCCATGGCCCCCTCCAGAGGCGCCCTGTCCTGGGCTTGCAGCCTGCAGGCTGGAGACAACTCCCAGGAGACAGGTACAAGCCAGGGCAGGCTGGCAAGGGCCCTGGTGGGGACTTTACTCCCTCCTGAGGATACGCCCACAGTGCAGGGAACCGGCCCCGCCCTCCTGCTCTCCAGCCTGGAGGGAGGCCCCAGCCCTGCCTGCTCTCCCCTTCCCCAGAGCAAACCCCGGACAGGTCGGGGCGAGGCAGAGTCACCCCAGGGGCTGATCCGCACAACCAGGACCTGCCGCGAAGGGCGGAGCTGGCAAGTGCAGGGAGACAGCCATGCTCAGGGCTGCAGCAATCGGCCTCCCCCCATGACTGGGCATGACAGCTGGCCCTGCCCTGGCCGCTTCCCGGCCCGCCCTCATCCTGGACACCTGCCCCTCCTCTGCAGCTGGGGTGTCATGCTCAGAGCCGGCGCAGCCACTTTACACCGCGGGCCACAGGGACCAGGCACCCTGAGTTGGGGCACTGTGCCCCTGGAGCTAGCGCTCCCCAGTGTCTTCCGTGCTGCCGGACAGGCCTGACAGTTGATTTCTTGCCCACTAGGTAATCCCAGCTCCCAGGCCCATCCCTGCGAGCCCCCTCACCCATCACATGGGGGAGTCCCTGGAAACCCCCAGCTGAACCCCCCAGGATGGAGGGACAGCCCCTGGCTCCCACAGGGTGTTTTTTTTTTTTTTTTTTTATAGAGGCATGCTTTATTTATTTGTTTGCTGGTTTGTTTGTTTGTTTTTGTTTATACATGCACTGGGTACAGTCAGAAGCGCGGGAGGGCGAGAGAATTCACCAGAGCCAGAGCGGGGAGCAGAGCAGGCAGAAGGACCGAAGGACACTGCTGAGGGGAGCAGCGGGCGGCAGGAGAGGTCTGCGCGCCATGTGGGACCCTCCTCTGGTGGCCGGGGAGCAGCCGGGGATCGAACCGGCACCGCAGAGGCCGCGCGCAGCTTCGCAACCCAGCGCTCAACCGCTGCGCCACCGGGGAGGCCCACCCACAGGGTGTTTTTTGTGTCCTGCGGCCCAGACCACCCTACCCCTGGGTGCAGATGTCCCTGCCAGACAGCAGGGCCTCCCGGCAGGAGCCCATGCAGCAGACCCGTCCACTCCTGCACTCGGCAGGTGCGCGGTCAGCCCTGTGGGGCCCGGGAGGACTCTGGGGGGATGCTGGGGTGGGGGACACACCATCTAGGGCCCTCTGTCTGGCCGCAGTCCCCGAGGCCCTGCAGAACCCTGTGGCCTCTGCTGGCCTCGGGCGCTGGGAGGACACAGGCTGGACTCCCCGCTCCGGGGGGCCAGAAGAGCATGCTCGGGGACTCGGGAGAGCCTGGCCCTCTGTGGCAGGGCCAGGCTGGGCCGGTGGGGGAAGTAGCACTGCATGACCCATAGGGCGGGGTCTAGCACCCTTGGTGCACAGGAAACTGAGGGAGCAGGAGGGTGACAGGACACCTAGGCTCACAGCTGGAGTGTCCAGGGCGCACCTGACGGGGTCACTCCCCAGGGAGGCCGGAGGGAGCCCAGAGGCAGCCTGGTGGGACCTGGGGTCCCATGGAAGGACAGGTCCCTCAGGCCATCCGCTGCTGCCCGCGGCAGGACCCAGCCCTCCCGGCCCCCACAGCAGGGTGAGACGGGGCCTCCCAGCCCTCTCCCCGCTCCACTCCCCGAGGATCTCGCCTGCGGAAGCCTGGCCGGCTCCGGGGAGGGGCCGAGGTTCCACTGGAGAAACCGAGTCCCGCTCTCGCCTGCCCTGCCTGCGTCGCGCCCGGCTTACCCATCCACGGCCGGCGTGTGCCGCATGATGCTCCGGGCCTGCTCCAGAAACTGGTCCGCGGCGCAGACGGCCACCAGGGGCCAGAGCCACCAGCCGCTCCACATGGCGGGTCCGCGAGGCGTCTGCACTCGGCTGGGCTCGGTGGGGACGGGCACTCTGCGCAGGGAGAGGCCTGAGAACGGGTGACCCCAGCGGGCTCCTGGCCACTCCCTGTTCAATCAGTAACCAGCCCCCCCCCCCCCCCCCCCGCAACGCCTCAGAGACCTCACCCCCAGGGCGGGGACATGGCAGGGAGAGGACAAGGGGCCCCTAGAGGCCGCCCCAGCCTCACAGCTGCCCACCCACGCCCTCAGGCCGCGTCCTCCCAATGCATCCGGTCTCTTGCCAGCCACAGTGGCAGAGGGCGAGCCCCCTGGGGTGACACCCAGCCCTTAAGCCGCCCTCGGCTGCAGCCTCAGGCCAGGCAGGTGGGCCAGGGCTGGGGCTGGCAGGAGCCCGAGCCTCTGCCCCGGGGGCCCTTCCCAGCCTGACAGGCATTGCTGAGACCAGAGGTGCCCGAGGGCAGCCCAGAGGCTGGTGACAGAGAGTAGGGCTGTGGGCGAGGTGGGGAGACCCGGGGGCCTCTGGAGGACCCCAGCCCAGCCTGGGCTCCAAAGGCCTGCTGGGTCTGGGGGAAAAGCCCTCACGCCCACCACCCCGGGGCGATGCCACCTCCTTCCCGGCCCCCTTGGTCAGTGGCTGTGTGTCCAGGCAGGCCAGGGCCTCCCGCCTTCTCTTCCCTCCACACCCAGAGGACGGCGGTCTCCCTACCCCGGGGTGCGCGTGGGGGTCCCTGGGCCTCCTGCTTCTCCTTCCCTGGGCCCTCACCCCTGCCCAGGGACCTGCCCAGCGCCCAGGCCTTAGCCATATGGTTTCCAGGGCCTGGCCCAGCCCCGCGTGGGAGGCTCCCTGCCAGCGGACCAGCAGTGGGGCCAGGCCAGGCACGAGGGCTGACCCGGCGACCCCGGGCCTGGGCACACAGCGGCCACCCCAGGCCACACCCGCCCCTGCACCCGCCGGCCCCGCGCGTCCCGTCCAGTCTGATCTGGCTCCCGGCTCCGTGTCCAAAGAGCCCTCTGTCTCCCGGCACCTCGTTGAGGCTCCCCCTCGGGAGCAGGGCTGGGGGCCCAGGCGCGCACTGCTCGGGGGCGTCTCTGGCACCAAGCAGGTGTGTCAGGCAAGCGGCGCTCTTCTGGCTGCTGTGATGGCTGCGGGCCCCTGCGCTGCCCTCCCCAAGGGCCCAGCGTGGCTGCTGCCCTCCAGGGTCCCGGGATCCCCGAGGCAGAGACGGGCAGGCCCCCGGGGCCTGAACCCCAGCCTGCCGGGAGTATGTGCCAGGCCGGGGCCATCCGTCCACACACGGAGAGGGGACGATGGCCACCGGGCGGCTTTGCTGTTCTTCGCTGTGCAATGAGAGCGGCTGCCCGCCCCCAGCCTCCTGCGGACGACAGCACTGCCGGCCACACCCGCCAAGCCACCCTCCACCGCAGCCGAGGCCCGAGGAGGACACGGGGACCGCGCTGGGGACGCCTGTCCCAGGCCTCCCTGCCCCCCAGGCCCTGCAGTCACGGCCCAGATCCTTGCATCCGGCTCTGCTCTCAGGGCTCGCGTAATCCTTTGCCTTGAAAACAGCGGTGCCGCTTTGAGCTTGCAGAAGGGAGCAGCAGCAGCGCCTGCAAGGCCAGCGTCCACCTAACAGGAGCACAGAGCTAAACACAGACCTGGAGCCACCCCGCAGGACGCCGCCGCCCCCGGGCCGCCCCCACACCCTGCCCGGGCCTGACCTGCGGCCAACTCAGGTCATGATTCCTGGGGAGACCGGGGGTGCAGGCGGTGCGGGAGCACCACTCACACAGCCACCCCTCGGAAGGCCTCCATGGAGAAAGGCCGGGCTGGGTGCCTGGTGAGATGGTCACGTCTCCAGCCAGCCGGCCCTACCTCTCCTGCCCAGTCCTGCTGAGTCCACGCTGACCCTCGGCGGGTCCATCCCACACCCAGGGCCTTCCTAGGGTCCCCCGTAGCCTGCTGCCCACTGGGCTGGCGAGCATTTGAACTCCATCTGTAACAGGGGGGTCCCCAGGAAAGGGGGAGGTTCCCTGCCCCACCCAAGGGAGGGTGGAGCTGAGCAGGAAGAGGAGAAGCTGCAGAAGAGACTGAGGAAGGAACAGGATGGAGCCAGGAGACCTGGAGGAGGCGCATGGAGCCTAGAGACACGTGAAGAAACTGCGCTTGTCTTTTGGTCGTGGACGGGGTGACACAGATGTGGGGGAGACCCGTGGGGAGGTGACCATGGCAGCTTTTATCTTGATGTTGATTTTGCTCTTTTCCTTCCGGGCTTGTCCGGTTGTTTGTGACCCTTTGCTGTGGGTCCCCACTGGAAGATGCTTTAGACTTGGGGCAGGCTTTGGGGCCTTGCTCTGGGCCAATCCCATTTGGATGGACTTTTACCCACGAGGGGACGGGTCACTTTAAATGAAGCTTCATTTAGAAACTAGACTCTTGGCCTTCCCTGTATTGTTTCCTAGTTTTATTAAAGTTCCTTTTCATTAAAGTCTCCTATGTTTTGTGTGGATGCGGCGGATGGCAGAACCCATGTAGAATAGGCAGGTTTGCGGGGTTTGGGCTGCCCCTCTCCCTGCCCTATAACACATCCAAACCCCAAGATCGAAAATCGTCCCCAGCCTGCTCCTCCACCCACCTGTCACCCTCCCCCTCGCCACACAGGCGCCCCTGAGTGGGGGTGGGGGGGCCAGTCCCCTGCAGAGGCCTCCCCTGCGGCCGCGCCTCCAGCGCTGGAGCTGACCCCAGGGAGCGGCCACTGTGTCTGCCTGTGCAGCTCTGCCGCCAGCCTCGCACATGGTCAGTCGGGGGTTCTGTTTCCCAGGAGACCCCAACACTAGTCGTTTAGCGCTCCTCCAGGCAGCCCCTCCTCCTCCTGCTGCCACCAGCCCCTACCACCTTCCACAAGGGCAGCTGCTCAGCTCAGAGCCCCAGTGATACAGTTAACAAGTTTGTCTTTCCCCCATTTTTTTGCAATTCCCCTTATCTAGCATTAACAGGATTGATGACTTGTCTTTCCCATTTGTTGCAGCTTCCCCTCCCTTGGGAAAAAAAAAACTGCGCCCACCAGTTTCCCTGTAGACCCTTCCCCCTCGCCCTAAGGAAAACAAGTTGGCGATCACCGTCTCTGTGCCTTGACACCTTCCCCTTCCCTTAAGATGAATGAGCTGACACCCATCCATCTCCCTGTTGAGCTGGCGCCCACTTGTCTCTGTGCGGACCCCTTCCCCCTCCCCTTCGCGGATGCCTACCCATCTCCCCCTGTATAAATACCCCTGCCCACTGCCAAAGAGCAGGACGGTGGTTTTTCGGACATGAGTCTGCCTCCTTCCTCATTTGTCGACAAATAAAACCGCTTTCCTTTTCCTCAAACTTAGTTTCCTTTTATTGGCTGAGGGAAACTGAGGCCGGCGTTCGGTAACACCAGGACCCTGCCCCCTCTCCTGCCCAGCCCCATCCAGCATGCTGGCCCCATCCAACCCCTTTGCACTTGCCGGGGAGGCACAGGTCTCCCCACCAGCACACAGCCCTCCGTAGCTGGGGCTCTCCGTGCTTTGTGTTTTGCTCCCCAGAGGCCCCCGTGGGGTTGGCGGGGTTCTCCCAGCTGCAGGAGCAGGTCAGCATGTCCACGTGTTCTCCAAGCCACCGGCCACCCCCTAGTGGGCTCCTGGGCGACTTTGAGCCCAGCCAGAAGCAGGCGGCCCGGGCAAGGACGCAGGGCGGGGCCGCCTTTATCTCTGGGGACATCGCCACCTGCTCGGTCAGCGATCCCGCTCCAGATCGGGGCTGCCGCCCGGGGCGCTGCCCTTTACAGCCCTGTCCAGGGCGGGACAGGGAACCCGCGGTCATGACCCTCGAAACCACTTTTACCAGCAGGTGTGGAGCGTGGCGCCCGGCAACAGACACTCCCGGGAAGGGCATGGGTGGACACGCCCTGTGGGCCTCGCTGTCCTTTGAGATGGGCCAGGGGCTGCTGGACGGGGAGCCGGTCAGCCCCTCCTGGACGCCAGGCCGCAGACTCACAGCCCGGCGGACCACCCGCAGAGCCTCCCCCACTGCAGGCTGCGCCCTGCTGCTGCCCCCAGCGGCCAGAGAACGCCTGCGGTTTGAGGGCTGCCCCCCCACCCCTTCCTGGCTCTGCGAACGGACTCAGGGCGCCCAGTGAGCAGCAGACCGGGCTGAGCCAGGACGTGGTGCCGGCGGCTCAGAGGTGTCCTCCGGCCACTCTTACTGCCCAGTCTGAATCTCCCGGGGCAGTGGGAGCGGAGCCCCCCCAGACCTCCCCCCACCCTGTCCCCCCCCTTGCGCCCCACCAGCCAGGCAGCGCCACAGCAGAAGTGCCCACGTCACACTGGACAGATGTCCCTCCGTCCTCGGCCCTGGGCTTTGATAGGACTGGACAGTAAATCTGCCCTTTCACAGGCAGGAGGCTGAGGCCTGGAGTCCAGCCAGGAGGGCACTGGCACGTGGGGGGCCGGGCACCCCCCGGCCCGGACACCCCACTCCGGTCCCCGCAACAGTGAGGTGAGGGCGCGGTTGAGGGCGGGTGCTTGTGAGACAGGGCAAGCTAGGGTTATTAGGCAGTTTTAGGACAGTGCAGGAGGGGACCTCTGAAGAATTCAGGAAGGCTTCAGAGATAAGGACAAGCAAGAAAATGAAACCAATTCCACTGGGAAAACAAACATCCCAGCACCACAGATAATCTTGTTAAGGATGGTCCTGGTTTTCTTCGGATGATAAAATAAAGTGTGAAAATGCTCACTGGGAGGGCTGGACCATAAAAATAAAAATATAACAAATGGGGAGAGACAGACCTGTTAGATGAGGAACGTGAAGATCCCGCTCAGCAGCAAATTCAGTGAGACAGCCGAGAACTGGCCACTCACAGAGAGACGGGGCAGCTTTAGAATAATGAGGGGAAAAGGTCCATGTTCCCTGAGACACGACTCCACTTTGGCTTCCTTGCCCCTCCCAGGCCTGGTTCCCTGGTTCCCTGGCCCGGGAGTCCCACTTTATTTCTGCTCTTTTTCTCTTCAATAAACTTTTTCTTTCTCTAAACAAACTGCCTCTTCTCGCTTGCTGGCCTGAGCGTCTGCGAAGTTCCTGCTGCGGCTTCTGAGACACCAACCCTGGGGGTCTAGCGGCTGGGGCTCAGCGCTGCCCTGCAGCCTGGGATCCGGTCCCGGCTGGGAGACTAGGCCTGACCATTCCGGTATCACTTGCGGCACACAGACGCGCCGGGCAGGGGTACCTGGCTCTGCCCGTGAGGGCCGTGGCACCGCGTGCTCAGGGACACAGACCCCAGCAGCCCGGCCCTGGGCGCTGGAGGTGGCCCTCGGGCGCCCACAACCACCGCTGCCCGGGCGGACCGGGGTAGAGCCCCGACCCTGGGCTGGGGCAGGGCCCGTCTGGAAGGACAAGGCGCGATCCGGCCGAGCCAGAGCGGCCGTCGCTGAGGCAGCCCACGCCGGGCGGCAGCACGTCCAGGCTCCGCGCTGCGCCAGGGGGCCCCTCCCCTGGGGACAGCACCCCACCGCGGCCCTGGGGCTCCCTACTTACCCAGCGAGGCGCAGGCTGGTCGGCGGCGGCTCTACCTGGCAGCCCCCTCGGCCCTCAGGACGCGCTGGCCCCACCCGCCACCTGCCTCCCGCCGGGCCTTCCCCAGGAAGGTGATAATGCCCCGTTTCCGGGCGTCCTCAAGGAGGGGCGGGGTGGGGCGGGGGCGCCCCTCCGCATCCTGCCCGCGGCTCCCTCCCGGCGGACACTTTCCCGGCGGCGCTCCTGGCGGGCTGGGCCAGCTGCGAGACGTGAGGGGCCCCCGCCTGGCCTGTGCCCCCGCGCTCGGGTCCCCCGCGAGCCCACAACACCGCGGCGATGGCACCGGGGCGCAGGCGGCCCAGGCGGAGCGGGGTGGCCAGCCCCCCGCACCCCCGCGCCGCAGCCTGCTGTGGGGGAGGCTCTGCGGGTGGTCCGCTGCTTGTGAGTCTGCGGCCTGGCGCCCGTCCAGCAGCCCCTGGCCCCTGGGGGACCGCGGGCTGGGGCGCTGCCCGGGCGCTCCCTCGCGTGCTGAGGGCCCGGGGACCAGGTCTCAGTGGGGCGCCAGAGGGGCCGCGGGGGCCTCCTGTGAGCGGGTCAGCTCCGCCACGAGGGGGGACGCCTGCCGCCAGTCTCCTCTCCAGGCACACACAGCCTGAGGGCGTCAGGCCCCCCACGCAGACCTCACCCCACCTGCACCCCACACTGGGCCCACCTTCCGAGGACTGGGGGACCTGGGACCCGCTGCTGGGCTGCGTGAGGGGCCCCCACGGAGGAGTGTTTTCCTACAGCCCGGCTGAGGCCCTCCGGGGCAATGGTGTCTGGGGGTGATGGGGTCAGGAGGTGGAGCCCCGCATGGGCTCAGCACCCTCATGGGGCCCTCCGCCCTGAGGCAGGGCCACCCCAATGTGCTCCCAGCACCTTCCCCCAGATGGGGGTGTAGGAGGGGTGGGGGTGGGGGGGCGCTCCACATCACCTCTCAGGGCAGCACCAGCTCACCACATGCCACTGGGTGGGCCAATTCCAAGCATCTGCCCGGGAGAGGGAGCTCAGCCCCCGCGCCTGGCCAGGCAGCCGAAGAGCCGTCCCTGCAGCACCGTCCAGGGCCCCAGCCCGACGCCAGAGACCCCAGCCCCCAGACACCACCTCCAGGGAGCCCGCGCCGGCTGCCCACAGGCAGGAGGCAGGGCCTGTTCTCCACCAAGCTGTGCGCTGCTTCCTGCCGATCTGCCAGCCTTGGAGAACGCAGAGGAGCCTGGAGACTCCCCTGCACCCCTACAGGAGCCCACGGTCCCCACCATAGGAGCCCCTTCCGCCTCCCCTCTCTGCCAGGCCCCTCCCCCCCGGGGACACACAGGCCCATTTTGCCTGGTTGTCCTTGAAATCTGTCCCCTGACTGTGGATTCGCCATAGATGACTAATCACGCGCTGTGGTTGACGAGACATGTGTACACTGTCCCCGAGAGGAGCAGAGTGCGCCCCCATATATGGGTCCTCGGCCACCATCCTGGGGCGGCTCCCAGATCCAGGCCTCCCTGCGCCAGGGGCCTACGGAAGTCGCCCTGAAGCCCAGGAGGGGGAGGGGAGAGTTGGGGCTCAATGCCTCATGAGATAACCCGTGAGGTCAGCAGTGAAACCCCCTGAAATCCCCAAAGGAGGATCTTCTGAGACGGTTGGGCCAGAGCACTCCTACCGCCACCCTGCAGGACCCCAAGCTCCGAGGGGACAGAGCCCCTTGGTTGGGGACCTCATGTCCCTCTTCTGCTGTCAGCATGCACCCCCCCCCCCCCCCCGTCCCTGTCGGCGCGGTAGCCTCGGGGTTAGCAAGAAAACCAGCTTCTGGGCTGTCCCGGCCCGTCTGTGCCCTGAGAGGGTTGGTCAGGAGTGCGTGCCGGGCTGCAGCGGCCTCAGATGGAGTCTGGGGGCCTGGTGCCGCCTGCAGGCCCGAGAGTCGCCGGTGTGGGGGAGCATGGACGCCCACACTGCTGGGACTCGGGGCGCGGAGGGCAGCGCTGTGATGGGGTGTTCCCACCCACGAGTCTGCCCAGCACCAGCCTGGCTTTTTAACAGTCTGAGGAGCTCCAGGCCACTCCCCGCAGCGGGTCCCAGCTCCGCCCCCAGCCCTGGGCGTTTCTGGGTGCTCCAGAGCAGGGGCAGGGGGCACTACTCAGGTTTTGATTACATGTCTCCGACCAGAGTGACGCGAACAGCTCCTGCGCCCGCCAGAGGGCCGCGGTGTGTGGCCCCCGGGCCTCTCCAGGAGCCCCAAGCCCTGCCGGGAGGCAAGCGGAGCCCTCTGGCCGCGCTGACTGTGCCCCCGGGGAGCAGCTGGTGTCCAGACCAGGGCGAAGGCGTGGGGTCCACGCACGCTGGAATATTACTCACCTGTCAAAAGGGACGAGGCGCTGCTGACGGCTTGGGTGGGCTTGGGGGGTGGACGCCAGGCAGCAAGTCAGGAGGAGAAAGAAACGCCGGACGACCCCACTCGGTGTGGAATGTAGGGAAACGGAGGAAGTGACGAAACCAAACTGGAACAAACCCTAGAAAGCAGATGCAGAGCCAGGCGAGAGGGTGGGGCGCTGCCGGCTGTGCTGGGGGGTGTGCATTTTGGTGGTGGGTATGAAGAGGCGTGACTGTGTTTCCAGGAATCCTATATGGTGCCACAACCCAGTGCCCCCGCCCGGGGGAGGGCCCCTCGCTGGAGCATCTGGAAGCCGGGTGTGGCCCAGTGTCAGGAAAATGAGTTCTTCGGGCTACTCCTTGCCTTCCGAACAACAACAGCCTTAACCTGGAGATGTCAGTTTCCCCCTTTCTGACACACAGCAGACAGCAGGGGCCGCGGGGGCGCGACAACGTGGGGGCCCCCTGGCCGGGCCCTCCTGCCTCTCAGGCTCTCTGGGGGCATCTGCACCGTCCCTGTCTCCGCATTAAGGGCCTGAAAAACCCAACGAAGGGGGCCTCCCCGGGGGCGCAGCGGTGGAGCGCTGGGTTGTGAAGCTGCCCGCGGCCTCTGCAGCGCCGGTTCGATCCCCGGCTGCTCCCCGGCCACCCGAGGAGGGTCCCACATGGCGCGCAGACCTCTCCTGCCGCCCGCTGCTCCCCTCAGCAGTGTCCTTCGGTCCTTCTGCCTGCTCTGCTCCCCGCTCTGGCTCTGGTGAATTCTCTCACCCTCCCGTGCTTCTGACTGTGCCCAGGGCTTGTATAAATAAATAAAAATAAAAATCTTTAAAAAAAAAAAAAAACAAACCCAACGAAGGCTCCAAATTCTATTTTCGTCTGTGAGAACTTGTCACAGCGGGATCCGCCCGGGAAGCCGGCAGCACTCAGAAGCGGAGGGAAGCTCTTTATTTACCCTGGTGGCCCCAGGAGGGCTCGCTCGAAGCCTGAGCCCGCAGCCAGGTCGCAGCGCGTTCCTGACTAAAGCGAGGGCCACGGTGGGCAGGGAGTGCGTGATCTGGGCGCTGTGCCCTTGAGGGCGCTCATCAGCTGTCCCCGCAGGAGAGGGCTGGCGCCCTGGGGGACCCTCGCCGGTGGCCGGGGAGTGAACCGGCGCCGCAGCGCTCAACCGCTGCGCCCCCAGGGGAGGCCCAAGAAGGTGATTTTTTGCCGGCCACTCCGAGGGCCGCCGGGGCTGTCTCGCTCTGGCATCTTCAGAAAATGTCTCCTGCGCTGGGTTCTTCACAGCCCCAGGCCCTGACGACGGCCAAGCTGTCCTCCCGCCCTGGCCTGTGGCTGGGGCTGACCCTCTCTCGGGGAGTGGGACGTGCCTCTTCCAGTGCCCTGCGCTGGCACCGAGGGCGTGGCCCTGGGGTGGCTGCTTCAGAGGCCCCTGGTGGGGTGTCCTGGCTGCCGGCAGCCCAAGAACGGGGCGAGGTCCCGCCTGCCTGGGAGCACAGGCCTCGGGCCGGTGCCAGCAACGGCTGCACGGGGCCCTTCTCTGGTCCTTCCCCGCTTTTCCCTCAGTCTGACCCTCTCCTCCCTGCCGTGGAGGCCTTCAGGCCCTGCCCGACCTCTGGAGCTCCTGAGATGAGCTGCGAGGACGGCTTGTCCTTTCACGGTCTGTAGTGAGTCATCCAAGCACATACAATTTTTTTCTTAAGATCCCTCCCTCAGGGCCTCCCTGGTGGCGCGAGCGGTTAAGACGAGTTCCATCCCCGGCCAGGGAGCTGCCCACACGGGGCAGCAGACCCCTCCTGTCTCCCCACTGCTCCCCTCAGCAGTGGATCCCAGTGGATCCGCCTGTTCTGCTCCCCGCTCGGTCTCTGGGGAGTCCTCTCACCCCCGCGCCTCTGGCCTGTACTGGGGCGGGGCTGGGTGGGGTACAGGCTGGGTGTTGTGCAACCATCCCGGCCGGGAAGTCCAGTGTCAGTTTGCTCGGGCAGGATTCGTCAGGGGAGCAGGCAGCACTCCCAGAGGAGGCAGCGCCTTATTTACTCCAAAGTCTGAGCCCGAGCAGCCAGGGCCCAGAGTATCGATCGACTAAAGCAAGGGCACAGCCATCTGGAAGAAAATTCTTTTCGTTCTAAAGCAGGTGTTGACGTCCAAGTCATCTAGTCTTAGGGGCGAGGGCGCCTTTCCAGGAGCCCAGAGCGGGGCCCAGCATCTCCCCGGAGCCGGGCCAGGTGCACCCCCTCTGCTCTGGTATCGTGTTCCCCAGTCCCAGGACAGGGCGGTCAGACTCCAGGGTCGGTCTTTTCTCTCCAAAAGCTCTTCCTGTTGCCCCAACACCCTGTGCGGGGTTGCGGCCCCTTCCCTGCTGCCCTCCACCCCGCCCCGCAGGACCCCGCAGAGGGCCGGCCTCTAAGGGCACCTGGGGCAACGCCGGTGCAGGGCCAGTCCAGGAGCAGACGGTGTGTCCCCCCAGCTGCCGAGACCCCCTGAGAAGGGCCCGGGAGCTGCCAGGCAGATGGCGGCCATCGCTGTGGCCAGGAGGGGACGCGCAGAGGGAGCTCTGCCAGGCTGCAGGGCTGGTGTTTAGGGAGGGTGAGGGCCGGGGGGGCATGCGCCCAGCAGGAAGTGGGGATTGACAAAAGCAGGAAGCAGCTGCTGGCAGACAGCGGGTGAAGGCGAGAGCGCCGTAGGACATCAGCTTCGGCTGAGCGTGGCCCAGGCCCAGGAAGGACGCGGGGAGACGGGGACAGGCCCCGGACTCAGGCTTCTGTCTGCAGGCACGGGGGCGACAGGAGCTTCCTGCGGCCTCCGGCAGTGCCAAGGTCGGGCAGGCTGGCCAGAGATGTCCTAAGGCAGGGCAGCCCGCTCTGAGGGTGCGGGAGTCCAGGCTGGGGGGCCTGGATGCTGCCCACGGGGCCTGCAGGAGGCTGACGCCTTCACTAGGAGGGAGCCTGCCACAGTGACCCAGGCAGTCCCCACGAGCACCCCAATCCAGCCAAGGGGAGGCCTCCCTGCCCGTCAGGGTAACGCGTCATCCTCCAGCCCCAAGTACATGCCACCACCTCCAGGAAGTCTTCCTTGCTTCCCACGTTCTCCAGTGCAGTGTCCTCCCTTAATCCCCTGAGTGTCGGGGGCATCTGCTGGGCCTGGCCCCCTCGCTGGGGAACCCTAGGCGGGCACCCCGGCCCCCAGGTCTCCCTGTGCTGCCAGTGGAGACGGGCCTGGGGCTACTCCTTGAGGAGCCCGGCCCAGACACACCCACAGCTGCGACGGACGCCGCTGGGAGCCTGCGGGAAGGAAGCTGGAAAGTGCCGTCGGAAATGCCAGCACGCAGGGTGAGCCCGGGACACGGTGGCACGGCCTCCCGCGGCCACATGGCCACTGCTGGTCGGCTGGGACAGGAGCCAGGAGAGGACAGGAAAGCCCCCTCCATGCCTGGGGCTGTGCCACCGCCCCTGGCCCACCTGCCCTGGACACCTGGGTCCAGCAGGGGGTCACGGGACGGTGTTGGCCCTTCAGCAGACACCCACCTGCATCTCAGCAGGACCCTGCCCCGCCCCCAGAGCCCGAGCCCGTCTGGCCGGCAGCAGCTCCTGCCTGGTCTCCTCGCCCCTGAGAAGGGACCCTCGTGGGGAACCTGCCGTAGCCCCGGTGGCCAGACAGGTGAGCTCCTGTCCAGACCAGGTTGGGAGGAGCTGCCTCTGCATCTGGCCCCAGGGCACGCCTGACCTGCTTGGGGGTCCCCAAGCGAGCCCCTGCCCTGGAGAGCAGCCTCAGGCCTCTGGGGCAGGCGCTCACCGCCACGGGTCAGGCCAGGACATACCCACCTGGCCGCCCCAGCCCCCAGCGCTGCCGGCCTCCCCTCCCCTCCCGGGCCCGCCCGGTCCTCCAGGAGAGGGGGGCCTGCTAGGAGACAGCCGGGAGGGCTCCCCCGCACCCGCCCAGAGGTGCCCACTCCACCCCTGCAAGGGGAGTGACGCCCTGGCTCACCCAGGCGCTGGGTCCTACCTGTGGCTCACCCCAGGGGAGACCGTGCGCCCGCGCCGGGGAGAACGGAGCACGGAGCGCAGCAGAGGGTGCACGCGCCGGCTGCTCCCATGGGGTCGGGCGCCGCAGGCACACGCATGTGCACGGCCGGGGGCGGGGGGCGCCCTCCCAGCCCCTTGGGGTGCCTCCTGCCCTGCCTGTCCTTCTCAGCAGGACCCCCCCTGGGGGCGCCCTCACTACTGGGTCCAGGGCTGTGGGGGCCACGCTGGGCGCAGGCCGTGAACGCCCTCCGCGCAGGATGGGACGGCCACTGCACGGGCAGGGCCTGCAGCCGCCCCCACCCCCACACCCCCCCCCCCACCGCTGGCAGCCCCGCCACAGCCTCTGCACCAATCAGCCGCACTCAGTCACCGCCGCCCACCCCTGCAGGCGAGGGGAGGCCTGGCCACGCTGTGCGCCCAGGGCCGGCCGTGGCCCCGGCTTCTGAGCCCTGCCTGGCGCTGGGGCGGCCATGGGCACCGGACGGTCGCGCGTTCGCAACAGGCGCGGGAGCGCAAAGCCAGGCGGGCTGGCAGAGCTGCGCCCCCTCGCCCACCTGGCCTCGGTCACCCGAGCCCATCGCTCTGCCCGGGCGCGCGTCCGCGCAGGGGCTGGGGTCCCCACCACCAGGCTGCAGCGACCGGTGGGCCCCAGGCGGCGGCCCCGGAGCCAGCAGCCGTGCAGCCATTTCATGAACCAGCTTTGGAGGCACCAGGCGGGCCCCGCGGGCCCAGGAGCGGGAGCGCCCACCGCCGGGAAGGCTGGGGCGGGCAGAGGCCTCGTCGGGGCTGCAGCGACTGAACTGCAGTGGGGGGCGCCGGCGCTCCACAGCGCTGCCCGCAGACCCGCTCCCCCACTGCCGGGCCCTGCTCGGGGCGCTGCAGGCCAGCGGGCTGGGCAGCTCCCCGCTGGGCGGTGTGAGCAGGGAGGCGGCCGGCATCGCGCCGGGTCCTGGGCTGTCTTCGCTCCTCGGCCTGGGGCCCAGCACCGCACCCGCCAGGGTGGCCCCGGAGCCTGTCGGGACCCCAGAGCCAACGTCCTTGAGGGAAGACGCCTGGTAGAGAGGCGGTTGGGGCCATCAGCTCCCGGACCACGGGGCGGGCTCCGCCTGGGCGGTCCTGCGGTCCCCCTGCTCCGGGCCTGAGCCAACCGCAGCAGCCAGGGCCCGGCGAGGCCTCTGATTGACGACCGTGTCCTGCGTCCACCTGGCTCGGGACGGAGCCCCGTGCCTCTGGGTCACGAAGGATGGGGCCAGAGGAAGACAGGGTGGAGTGGACACGGGTGCGCTTGTCCCTCTCTCGGGTGCCCCTGGGCTGCGCTGGGGAGAGTCCGTGTCCTCCTGACACAGGGTGGGCGCCGGGACTCGGCCGAGAAAGAAAATCAAACTGGGGCCTCCCTGGTGGCACAGTGAGTTGAGCACAGCGCTGTGGAGCTGTCTGCAGCCTCTGCAGTGTGGGTTTGATTCCCGGCCGGCCAGGGAGATTCCCACAAGGCGTGGCAGACCTCTCCTGTCTCGCCTGCTGCTCCCCTCAGCAGTGTGTTTCGTCAGTCTGCCTGTTCTGCTCCCCACTCTGTCTCTGGTGAATCCTCTCACCCTCCCGTGCCTCTGACCTGTACCCCAGCTCTTGTATAAAAATAAATAAATTTAAAAAAAAAGAAAATCAAACTGGACTCGAGCAGAAACTGGTGGCTCCAGGGACTAAAGCTCCTGGCATCAGCCAGTTGCTATGTCAGAAACGGGCAGTTGACCGGAGGAACCGCCCCCCCCCAAGATGGGGGCCAGCGTCTCCTGCTGCTGAAGGCACCCCAAACCCCACACACAGGCACATGTGCGCCAACACCGAGATGCACACATTCACACGTACAGAGGCACACAGACATGGGTGTGCAGGGACACATGTGTGCACGCGCAGCCACACACATGGACACAACAGCTCCAGGAAGGGGAGGGACACCTTCACGGGCCACGCCTGCACCCGGCACACAGGCCCTCCTGGCATTCTGCTGGGTGGCCCCGTGGGGCTCTGCTGACCAACAGCTTGGCTTCTCAGACCCAGGCTACTGACTCCAAGGCCACAGTCCTGTCCTCCCGCCTTGGGACAACCCCCCATCTGTGACCCTGCCACCTCTCAGGTGTGCACAGGACTGCGTCTCTGATACTGTCCTTCTCCAATAAGACAGCACTGGCCCTTCCAGGATTCAGCTGTAGCCAGGTTACCATGGCAAATGCCTGTCATCCCTGCCTAACAGGAGATGAATCGAGCTAAAAATAGGCCCCAGAGCGGATGGATGGATGGATGGTGCTTCACAAAAGCACACATGTGGACGGATGGATGGATGGATGGTGGTGGATGGATGGACGGTGGTGGATGGATGGACGGTGGTGGATGGATGGACGGTGCGTGGAGGGTGGGTGGTGCATGGAAGGATGGTGGACGGTGGTGGGTGATGGATGGAGACAGGCCAGGGGTGAATGGGCTGGACAACGGTGAGAGGCTTTGTTCATCCCGGACAAGACAGCTCAGGAGGAGTCTCAGTAGGAAGCACAGCCTCAGCCTGGGGGACGCTGGCGCCCTGCCTCACGGGCAGCTCCTGCAGACCCTCACAAAGGTGACACCCGCCCCACCTGGCTGCCCCTCCCCCTGGAGCTGATGGTGCAGATTCTGTTTGGGACGGCAGGAGGGGGGGGAGGCATGGCAGGCAGGGGGCCGTCGCAGCCTGGTGGTGCCCAGGGACAGGCACTCCCCGCGCAGGTGGCTCTTCAGCGTGGGGGGCCCTGGGAGCATCTGTCTGGAGGACGCCCTGTCCCCTGCAGACCGGAGGTGGGTGCAGTCCCGCGCCCGGGCTGGAAGCGCAGTGAAGGCACAGACGGGCGGCAAGAAGCTTTATTACCCACACGCCCCAGCACGAGCACACGTGGCCTGCAGCGGGAGGACGCGCGTGGCCAGCGAGCACACGGAGGGGTCAGGCTGCAGGGGTGGGGATCTGGGCGCCGGGGTGCTGGCAGCAGCTGGGACCCCTCCCACGAAGGACAGAGGCACCCCTCCACCTAGGCGGGGTCCACTCAGCTGAGCTGCGGCCGCCTGCTGACTCGGGACCCTTCTCCGCACAGCCTGGCAGGGGCCGGGCACCCCGCGGTCAGCTCCCGTCCAGCCCTCGGCGCTGGCTCCAGCAGCCGGGTGGGGGCGAGCGCGCCTGGGCCGGGGCTTGGGGGCCGCCCAGGCGCGGAGCGGGACGGAAGGCTGGCCCGGCCCGCCGGCTCTCGGGCGGAGGCTGGGCGGGCCTCCGGGCCGGGGCGCCCAGCTCGGCGGGGGCACCCCTGGCGGCTGCAGAACCCCACCACTGCGGGCACCGCGGCCAGCACCCCTCGGCCAGCGCGGCGGGGACGCCTGCGGGCACCGGGGGTCACTCCTGCCGCCGCCCCAGCACAACCCGCCCCCCCGCGGCCCCGCCCGGCTCAGCGGCGCAGAGGCCACCGCCAAGGGGCGGACGGGGCCCAGGGGAGGCCCAGGCCCCGAGCCCCGCCCCGCCCCGCCCGCTAGCCCCGCCCCCGCCGAGGGACGCTCCGCCCCCGCCCACCCCGCCCCTGCCTCCGGCCCCGCCCCCGCCAAGGGACGCCCCGCCCCGCCCCGCCAGGTCCGCCCCCGCCGAGGGACGCCCCGCCCCTCCCGTCGGCCCCGCCCCTCCCGCCGGCCCCGCCCCCGCCGAGGGACGCCCCGCTAGCCCCGCCCCTCCCCTTCCACCGGCCCCGCCCCTCCGAGGGACGCCCCGCCCCGCCAGCCCCGCCCCGGCCGAGGGACGCTCCGCCCCCCCACCCGGCCCCGCCCCTCCTGCCAGCCCCGCCCCCGCCGAGGGACGCCCCGCCCCGCCGGCCCCGCCCTCCCGCCGGCCCCGCCCCGCCGGCCCCGCCCCGCCCCGCCGGCCGCGCACCTGCTGGAGCTCGCGCAAGGGCTCGAACCCCACGATGTCGCGCAGCGCCCCGGGGGGCGCGCAGGACCCCGGCGTCGCCGTCCAGGACCTGCACGTCGGTGAAGCCGGCGCCGCCCGCCCCCACGATGGTGACGGGCAAGGGCAGGCGGGGCGCGCCACGACGGCCCCCGCGCGCCGGCCATGGCGGCGGCCACGCGGCCCGGAGGACCAGCCGGGCGCGGCGCCGCTGCGGAGACCCGGCCTCGGACCCCCGCCCCGCCCCGCGCCGCCCCGCCCCGCGCCGCCCCGCGCCGCCCCGCGCCGCCCCGCCCCGCGCCGCCCCGCGCCGCCCCGCGCGGCGGTCTGGCCTCGGGGCCCGCGGAGGGGCACGCGGGGCGCCGGGGGTCGGCGGGCCGGGGAGCCGCGGCGGGGGCCGCGCTGGCGCCCGCGGCTGCGGCGAGAGACGGCCCGTCCCGGAGCGCCCGCTCGCCCCGCCCGAGAGCGCCCCCGCGCCCCCGCGCCCCCGCGCCCCCGCGCCCCCGGCTCGGACAGTGGCAGGACGGCCGGCCGGGGGCGGCGCGGCGGGCAGGTCCCGGCCCAGGCGTCCACCCCGGCCCCGCGGGCGCCGCGCAGCCTCGCCTGCTCTAACCCCGCGGCCGGCGGCGGGAAGGACCCTCGTCCGGGGAGCAGGACACCCGGCCGCGCCCCTCCAGGCACCAGCGCGCCCCGCGGGGCTCCCTGCCCCCAGGCGCGGGCCGAGGCGGCGCCCCGGGGGCCATGCCAGCCGCCCCCCCTGCCTGTCCGACCCCCAGCCGGCAGCGGCCCGCAGCAGCAGCCTCGGCACACCCGGGCCCACGCGGGTCCCGGGCGGGCAGACCCAGCCCCACACCCGGCTGCACAGCGCGGCGGCCCAGCCCCACCCAGAGCCGGCCGGGAGAGGCTGGGGCGCGGGTGGGGAGCCGCCCGGCCCCGGCGTGGGGTGGGCGCCGCTGTTCCCAGGTGGAGTCCTCTGCCAGCGCCTCTCAGAGCGAGGCGGGAACACGAAGCAGGTGCGGCCCTGGGGGCACAGGCGTCAGGACGGAACCGGCCACGGGGGGAGCCGGGCAGCGCCCCTCCTTCCCCCAGGCCCCACCCGCACCCCTACCTCCCGGCAGCCCTGCCCCAGGCACCTACAGAGGCCTCCCCGGTGCTCCTCAGCCCTGCCGTGCAGGCCACCTTGGAGATGACGGGGCCACGCTGCTGGGGCCGTAGAGCTGGACGGGGGCAGGCGGGCCTGGTGGGCCTCCACCGCTCCCCGGATCCCTGTGGGGGCAGCGGGTGAGCCCGGCCCGGGCGCCCCTGCCCCAGCCCGCGCCTGTCCCCACCCTCACACTCATCGTCCTCAGGGTTGAAATTGATGGCGAAGTCGTGGGACACCTGGGGGCACAGGGACCTGTCCGTGGGGCTCCCCCAGCCCCTTCACCTTTAGGGAGTGGGGGGCACCAAGTCAGGGGCCCACCGCTGGGCTGGGCCTCCTGGGCTGATGCGTCTCCCCTCCTACACCCCCTTTCCTGTGGAGCAGGGAACAGCAGCACCCCGAAGCTGGCCTCCAGTCCTTGCAGCGCTCAGCAGGCCCCAATGGGTCACAGATCCGTCCCGGGGTGCCCACCAGGGAGAGGCGGCAGCCAGGGGGCCTGGCCTGGCCCCAGCGTCCAGCCCCCAGGCCCTCCTACCTCATACTTGGGAGGAATTTGAGCTCCAAACCCCAAGGCAGAGAACCTCTTGTCGCTGGAAGAGACGCTCCATCACGCGCGGGCTCCCGGGACCCGCCCCTGGGGTCACCACCAGGCTCCACACCCCCTCCGCCCGAGGGAGGACCCCTGGCCAGCTTGACCTTTGCCCCCAAGCCCCAGCCCTGCCACCCACGGGGGTGCCTGGGAGACGGCCTGAGGGCACCGCCGCCTGGGGCAGGACCTGGGGTGCACAACCCCGTAGTCCGGCAGATCTCGCCCTCGGCCACCAGCGCCCGCAGGTGCTCGTTGGGCCGGAAGGGGTTGCTGGAGTGCAGCGAGCAGCTGTTCCGGGGTCCCCGCTGGAAGCCGTGAAGTCGATGGCCACCTGCAGGCCACACGCGAGCCGCCCCTCTTCCGCCGGGCTGCCGGGCGCCTGCCCCGCTGGACAGGGGAGGGAAACCGAGGCTGGGAGCCGCTGAGCAGGGAGCCTGGTGAGGCCCCCGGGGCCTGCCTCTGCTCGGATGTGGGTGAAGAGCGGCTCTGGCCCCCCAGTGACCCCGGCGCAGGTGGCAGCTCCGCGGAAGCCGGCAGGCGGCCCGGCCCGGCCCCATGGCTGCAGACCTGCGGCCCCCGCGGGTCTCCACAAAGGTCACCACTGGCCTCTGCCCGGACGGTTTTCCTGTCACCGTGTCTGCCGAGGACTGACCCGGCGCACGCGGCCCGGGTGACCAGCAGCTCCTGGGCCTGGGGGGCAGCACCCCCACAAGGCACCCACCAGCCTCGCCGCCCCAGGAGCCCCAGGCCCTGCAGAGCCCCACACCTGCCTCGGCCCCCTGGGGGCTCACCCTGCAGTGGATGTGGGGGGCAGGGCTCACTCACCGTGCAGTGGATCTGCGGCCGCCCATGATGTCGTCCAGGAAGGAGGAGACGCTGTGGCGCTTCCGGGCAGCGGCATCAGCACGACCCGCCCAGGAAACTGAGGCAGGGCCCCAGGAACCCCTCCCTTCTGCCTCCCCCTCCCCTTGGGCAGCCCCTACAACAGCGGGGCCCCCGGGGAGGCCATCCACGCCCGTGGGGGGTGCTCTGGTCTGGGGGTATCATGGGGCAGGAGCGGGTGTGGTGGGTAATTGGGGGGTCGGGGGGGGCTGGGGTGCCCGTGTCTCACCTTTAGCTCAGCCAGGGTGACCACCCCGGAGTTCTTGTAATTGCGCTGCTTCTGCTCGTACCTGGCGCTGGCGCAGTCCCACAGGGCCCGAGGGGCGGACGGGCAGAGACGCCTCGTCCCCCTGCCCCCAGGAGAGACGGCCCGATGCCCCCGCGTGTGACCCCCAGCCACTGGCCTGGAGGCGCGCCCCGCTCCACCCCCTCCGCGGACACTGCCCGGGGCCGGGCGGCCAGCCCGGGCTCACCTGGTGCGGCCCGGAGGCCTCCTGCCTCTCCTGGAGGGTGGCGGAGAACTCCCCGATGAGGTCGTGCTTCCCGCGGGAGTCGTGGTCCCAGACCAGGCCCTGGGGGTGCACAACCCCGAGCCCTGCCCCTGGGGCCCAGGGGACCCCCCCACCCCCGCTGGCCTGCTGGGGGCCACGCCTTCAGGAGGCGCCTCTCCTCGCAGATGCTCAGGTTGCTCAGGGACACCCTGAAGGGCTCCCTCGCCAGGTTGAGGTTGTTCTTCACCGCCCGTGGGGCGCCTGGACGGCTGTTCCCTTAGATCCATCCTTTCTCATTCACGCCAAGTTGCCCCAAAAGTTAGCTCCCTGCTGCTGCAGCCGAAACCACAGCTTGGAATTCTAGGGACAGCGTGGGGGGCCCCAGGGAGGGGCCGAGAGGGGGCCCTGAGAAGGTGGGGGCCTGAGGGCGGAGGGCCCTGGGCCCTGGAAGCCGGAATCCCACTGCAGCCGGGCCTGCTCGCGCCCTGGTGGAAAGTGAGGTGGTGGCCGGGGCTGCGGCCCGGCAGCCCCGCCCGCTCCGATGCTGGGGTCCGCTCCTCCTGGGCCCGGGCGGGGGTCTCCCGCGGACGCACCTCCGTCCTGGACACCGGCTGCTCGCTGCCGTCGGGGTTGACCCGGAACAGCTCCAGGAAAGGGTCCGACTTGCTGAAGAGGTCCTGGGGGGGCAGGGGCGCTGGGCCAGGCGGGCGGGGACCCCAGAGCCTCTGCCGGCCCAGCCAGCAGCTCCTCCCCCTCCTCCTCCGGGGCCCAGGAGCCCCGGCCCGGCACCCCCACCTTGTCGTCCAGCTGCCGGGCCGGAAGGAGAGCGCCACGGAGCCGGCGTTCCCAGAGAGATCCTCGGCTGTCACCTGGCAGGGAAGCGGCTCCCAGCTCCGCGCGGCCCCCCTCGCCCCCCTCGCCCCCAGGACGGCCCCCGGAAGGGCGAGCCGGGCCTCACCGCGATGGCGGACTTGCCGGCTGTCCGGCCGGGCTTGAGCAGCAGCGGGCGGGTCGTCTTCTTCTGGGCCACGATCTGGAGGCGTCAGGGAGGGTCGGCTCCAAGGCCCTGTGCCCACCTGCCCGCGCCCCCTCCCCACCCCCAGGCTTCGCGGCAGTGGAGGCACGGGGAGCCGGCCTGAGGGGTCAGAGCGGAGGCCCCCCATGTCCTTACCAGCGGCCAGTGGTTAAGGGGGGCAGGGACGCCAGCACGCCCAGAGGGAGCGCTAACTCCCACATCGCCCCAGGATGCGTTCTGGACCTCATGGGGCTCGGAGCAGGGTCCCCCCAGCCCCCCCACAACGGTGCTCGAATCTGCTGTTCACCCTGAGATGGACCCCGCTGGGTTCTCAGCCCCAGGAAGCTGGTCTCAGGTGACAGCAGCTGGCTCTGGGGCAGGGGCTCTGCCTTGTCCCTGCCCCACAGCGCAGGCACCCCCACCCAGGTCACTGGCAGCTGCCCCAGAAACCCCACATCTCACGGCACCCACGCCGGGCCCCACTGGCTGCAGGGCTGGGGCCGGCTGGAGGGCATGGAGGGGCGGCGCGGGTGGGGGTGGGGCGCAGGCGGGCACAGGCTCCCACGGACCCCCAAGCCCACCTCGGCTTCAGCCTCCACCTGGCCGCCCTTTGTCTCCCGACGTGCAGCCGGTCGTGCCGGGCACCAGCTGTCCTGTCGCCCAGAGGCCGCGGGGAAGAGCGGCGTGACCGGGTGATGGCCACAGGGTGAGGACGGGGGCAGAGCAGCGGACCCTTGGCCAGAGCCAGTCTTCAGGGAGCACCGCCGGGCGCAGCGGGGCCAAGCCAGCCGCAGCAGGGCATTGGCCGGTGCCAGGGCTCAGAGCCCACGCCAAGGTCTCCAAGGAGCGGCGCCCCCTCCGCTGGGGGCTCCTGGAAACCTAGGCCCCGCCTGGGCTCTGGGTGCTCCAGCCCGGCCCTCCCTCTAAGCCCTGCCCAGACCCCGATGCCCAACCCCGCCTCTGCCCGGGGAAGGAGGCCCTGGCGGAGGGGCCGGCCAGGCCCCAGCGGTGCAGCACCCGCTCCCGCCGGCCACCTGCTCAGGCGCTTCACTCTGGCTCCCCAGCCCAGCGGGGCGCACGGCCTCTGGGGCCCCCGCTCTCTCCGCCGCTGCGGCCGTCCAGCCCCCGACCCCGCCCTTGGCCCGCGCCCTGCCGCCTGCCCCTGCGGAGCCCGCCCAGACCCCGGGCGCCCCTCGCCCCCCACCCACCTGCACCGGCGGCCCCGGGACGGCGGCGGTGGCACCAGCAGCCAGAGCACCTCGGAAGCCCAGCTGAGGCCGGGCCGGGCGGGGTCCCAGCAGCCCGCGCCCTGGCCCGGCCCCCGCCCAGCACCTGCCCGGCCGAGCGCCTCCCGGTGCCCACACCCCTTCAGTCCCCGCTGGGGTGCCAGGGGCCTGTGTCCGCGCTGGGCCCCTCAGGGCAGCTCGAGGGGCCGCTCGGGAAGAGGCGCGGGCGTGGGGTTTCGGGGGGCGGGCCTCGCTGGCTGGTTCTATTCAGAGGCAGGACACAGCGTCCCCCTCAGAGCTGCTCTTCGTGACGGGGCGCCGCCCGCCCCGGGCCCGCGGCCCCCCGCAGAGAGGCCTTCACCGCACAACGCGGGGCTCGGAGGGCCCCGCTGCTGGCCCTCGGCCACCCCGCCCCACCAGCAGAGGACGGCGCTCCTCGCCCCCCACCTCGGCGCAGGGCACGGCCCTCGTGGCTCAGGCCTTGGGGGGCCCCCTCCCCGGGCCTGGGGACGCGCGGGGCAGCCGGCTCTGGGCGCGCGGACACGGAGGATGCTGCGCGCTGGTCGGCCAACTCCCCAGTGGGGGTGACGTGCCGCGCCGGGCTGGGGGCCTCGGAGAAACTGGACCCAAGGGGCTCGGGGAACCGCCGCAGGGATCGGCGCCCACTGGTGACCCAGGCGCCCGCGGAAGCCCCTCTGGGGTTCACCCCAGGTGTGGGCAGAGGCTTCCCGGGGAGGCCTGGGACTGCAGTGCGGGGAGCCTGGCCTCACACCTTCCCGCCGCCCCTCCTGCCCCAGACCTCGGCCTCCAGAGGAAGCAGGGGCAGCGGAGGCTGAGCTGAGCCCCTGGGGGCGGCCGGGGCACTCTTCCCGCTGAAAGGCCTTCTGCAGGCTGGGCTGGCCCCACGGGGGGGCTCCCCCCTCTCGCCCGGAGGCCTGCTCCAGCCCTCAGGGAGCAGGGCTGCTGTGGGCCGGGCAGGGCAGGGTCCTGGAAGGCAGGGAGACCCCCTCGGGGACAGGCCTCAGCTGCGAAGCGGAGCTGCTGTGGCTGCTGCTGGGGTCACCTCCCGGGGGCCGGGGTGCCTGGCACAAACGTGTCCAGACGCTGGTGCTGGTCCTCACAGAAACAAGCCTCCTGGGCCATGGGGCCAGCCCCACCTCCTCGCTGGCTGCAGGGAGCCCCCAGCACCTGGGGGCGGGGGGCTGAGCTTGGAGCTGGTGCCCACTGACCCATGACCCCGAGTCTAGCAGTGGAGGCTGACGCGAGTCGGCAGGCCCAAGCTTGGGGTCTTCCTCAACATCAAGCCAACCCCCCCAACCCAAACCCCAAAGTAAAGTGACTTAAAAAGTGACCAGGGCGACGCCCCTGCGGAAGGGGCCCAGCGGGAGCCGGTTGAAGTGAAAGAGCTGCAGGAGGCGGGCAAAGGCCTCCATTTCTCTCCTCTCCGGGAAGGTTTCATTCCTTCTGTACCTAAGGACAAGCGCAGGGCCTCCCTGGCGGCGCAAGGGCTTAAGGCAACCCACGAAGCTGTCGGCAGCCTCCGCAGCACCGAGTTCGATCCCCGGCCAGGGAGCAACCCACACGGCGCCCCACCGGTCCTCTCGGCAGTTTCAGGAGATCCGCCTGCTCTGTCCCCGACGGTCGCCAGTGAATCCTCTGCCCTCCCACACCTGGCCTACACCCCAGCTCTTGTGTGCGTAACTAAACCTTTAATAGGACTTTTAACTCCTGTTACAGCGACTCCAGTCAGACTTGTGGAGACACGAGAGTCGCGAGGACCATCTTCCCTCCCAAGTGAAAAATACTGGTAATTCCAAAGCAATCAAAACAGGAAAACTACACCCTGAGAAAATTAAACAAAGTTAACAATTGAGAAAGTTTGTTTCCAGCTCCTGGCTGAGCATCGCCACCTCTTGGGAAGGATAAAGAACAGGAAACCCAAGGGCCCCACCCACGAGGCTGGGGCGCTGCTGCCGCCTGGCGGACACCACCCGCCTGGCCCAGGTGGCCTGAGAGCAGGGAGGGCATCCACACCCAAGGGGTTGAGCCGCCTGCCGGCAGGCCTGCACAGCCCCGCTCGGGACCCAGGCTCAGCAGCTGACAGCCCCGGACCAGCCTGGCCGCGCTGCCCAAGGCCGGGGAAGACACCTGTGCTTGGAGCCAGCGGGGCATGGCGAGGACTTGCCCTCGGCAGCCTCCTGCCCCATGGCCAAGCCCGGGGCACAGCCATGCCCACCTTGTACTCCCTCCCCCACTCCTAATATTTGAGGTTCCCTAATAAACCCTGGGTCTGAGCCGTGTGGGGGCCGGACCCAGACCAGCCATGCACTCTGACCACCCCCAGCAGCTCGGCGTGACGCCAGGGCCGGGCCAGCCACTCCTCACCCGCCCCCCTGGCCTGGACACCGCCTTCCTCCCGTCAGCTGAGGTGGACACGACCTGAGTGACCTGGTTGGGGTACGGCCAAGACTGGGGCTCAGCCCGCCAGTGATGGAAGAGCGGCAGCCCCCACCCCAGTGCACCGAGTCCCGCCCCAGCAACGTGCTCATCCACAGCCCTGCTCCAGACACACTCGGCTCCAGTTAACCGACAACACTTTATAATTTATTTTTTCTTTTCTACATCCTGCTCCGCAGCCTCCTTGGCCCTCTTCGCCCGGATGCCGAAGAGCCGCGCGTTGGCGCGGGCCATGCGAAGGCTGGCGAAGGCCTTGAAGCTCTTCTCCTCGTCTGTGATGGGCCTGGCCTTCTCCTTCTTGTACACCTGCGGGGGGGGGGGGCACGGGGGTCAATGCCTGTCCGCCCCCAGGCCAAGGACCAGCTGCCCCAGCACGGGGGCCGGCGGGGTGGACAGACAGGTCCCTTGGGGGGAGGGGGCCCAGCAGACCCCTTCCCCCCAGGCTTACATTGCGGATGCGCATGACGGGTCCTGTCAGCTGCGTGGCCAACTTCAGCTCTTCGGCCTGCGTGTCCAAGAGAAGGGGTCAGGGGGCTCCGCTCACCCCGAAGCCCCAGGCGGCCCTGCGTGCCCACCGGGTGTGTGCAGAGCCGCCGCCCCCTAGGAAACCCCGTCACCCCGCCCCCGGGCGGCCGCGGCACGCACAGAGCTGTCCCCCTTCTTGGGCGCCGCGGGCTTCCGGGGGAAGAGGATCAGCTTGGAGCGGTACTCCTTGAGCCGCTGCACGTTGGCCTGCAGGGACTCGGTGGACTTGTTCCGCCGGCGGGGGTCCACGGAGATGCCGATGGTCCGCGCCACCTTCTTGTGGATGCCGGCCACCTGCGGACGGGCCGGGTCAGGCGGCGCGCGCGCCCGCGCCCGCGCCCCGGGGCGCGCGCGCGGCCGTCAGCCGAGGGTTCGAGGCTGTCATCACGGCGGGCAGCGATTCCGGAGACGGTCATCACGCGGCCGCGGCGGGGGGGCGGGCGCGCGGCGGGGGGGGACACTCACCCGCAGCTCCTCCAGGCTGAAGCCGCGGCCGGCGCGCACCTTGGTGTGGTAGCGCACGGTGGGGCAGCGCACGATGGGCCGGATCGGGCCGGACGCGGGGCGCGGGGCGATGCGGCGCGCCTTGGCCTGCCGGGCCTTGCGCCTGCGGGGAGGGGGGTCAGCTCCGCGGGCCGCGCCGCCCGCCCGCCCGCGCCCGCCCGCGCCCGCCGCTCACCTGCGGATCTTGCGCGCCGGCTGGTTGAACCACGTGGCCACGCGGCGCTGCCAGTCCTTGTGGAAGTGGGGCTTCAGGATCATGCCGTTCCGGCTGGGCGCCATGGCTGCGGCCTACGGGCCTGCGGGCGAGGGGCGGACAGTCAGGGCCGGGCCCGGCGGGGCGCGCCGCTCGCGGCCGAGAGGAGGCCGCGCCGCGGGCCCGGGACGCCTCCGCGCCGCGCAGGGGGCGCGGGCCGGCGCCGAAGCGGCGGATGGCGGCGGATGGAGCCCATGGCGCCCGGCGCGAGCAGGCTCACCTCTCCGGGGGAGAACGGCCGGCGCAAAGGAACTGGCGCCGCAAGGCACGCTGGGGTCGTGGCGAGCCCGACCAATCCCAAGCGTCAGGGCGTCCCGGCCAATCACAGCCGGACCGGGCGGAAGTGACGCGCACACTCCCGGCCGCCCTCGCGGCCCGGCGCAGACATGGCGGCGCCCATGGCGGCGCCCGTGCCGTTCCCAGCGGGGGCGCGCGTCCGGGCAGGGCCGCCGGGGCGTCGCCCCCTTCGCGGGCTTTGTTCCCCCGCGGGGACGTGCGCGCCCGGCCTCGGTGGCGGCCGTGAGCCGGGCCGCGCAGCCACCAGCCGCCTTCCGCGCGGGGACGCCGGCCCGGGGACAGTCCCCGGCGGCCGCTCGCGCCCCCCGCCCCCCGCCCCGGCTTCCTGCAGGGACGCCCGCGCTGCAGGACGTCACGCCACAAAGCGAGACTGGGGAGGCCCGTGTCCCGCGCCGAGCGCCCGGCCGGTGACAGCGCTGGGCCGAGACACGCAGCTTTAGGAAACCGGGGGGCTCGGAGGAATCCCAAGGGCACGACCATGCAGGCAGCCTGGAAGAAGGCGGAGAACGGCCTCGGGAAGCGCCCTGAGCCTGGGGAGGCCCCACCCGGCTCTGAACAGGCCTGTGCTCACGTAGCGGCCAGGCCCCCGTCGCTGCGCAGCTGCTGGCCGACCAAGCCCCTTCCCCAAACCTGCTAGCGCTCTACCTGTGAGGCTTGAATCCCCACCACTTAGACAAAGGTCGGTCACCCAACAGGTCGCTAAGGAAACGGCCATGGCCTTGGCGCGAGCTCACTTTGGGACCGGGCAGGTTGCTGGAACTGTTCCTTCTGATACCGGAATGGTCAGGCCTAGTCTCCCAGCCGGGATCGGATTCCAGGCTGCAGGGCAGCGCTGAGCCCCAGCCGCTAGACCCCCACGGGCGGGTGTCTCACGAAGCCGCAGCAGGAACTTCGCAGACGCTCAGGCCAGCAAGCGAGAAGAGGCAGGTTTGTTTAGAGAAAGAAAAAGTTTAATGAAGAGAAAAAGAACAGAAATAAAGTGGGACTCCCAGGCCAGGGAACCAGGCCTGGGAGGGGCAAGGAAGCCAAAGTGGAGTCGTGTCTCAGGGAACATGGACCTTTTCCCCTCATTATTCTAAAGCTGCCCCCGTCTCTCTGTGAGTGGCCAGTTCTCGGCTGTCTCACTTAATTTGCTACTGAGTGGGGATCTTCACGTTCCTTATCTAACAGCTTTCTCTTTCCCCATTTGTTGCATCTTTAAATTTATGGCCCAGTCCTCTGGATGGGCCTCCCTGCATTGAAGCTAAACAGCTGCCCTTCTAATGGGACCATAAATGAAACCACGCTCCATGTCTCCAATCTCCGCCTCCCTTTCCCACCCGAAGGAAACCGGGACCAGCGTTAACAATGCTGTCCTTGGTCCTGGCATGTTTGTTTTTCCTAACGGAATGGGTTACTTTCCCTTGCTCGTCCTTATCTCTGAAGCCTCCCTAAATTTTTCAGAGGTCCCCTCCTGCACTGTCCCTAAAACTGCCTAATAACCCTAGCTTGCCCTGTCTCACTTCCATGAAGCAGGAGGAGCTGTCCTCACCAACCCCCACTCCTCTCAAAGCCACCCTGTTGCAGGTGTGAGGGGTGCTGGCGGTTCCTCCGGGCTGAGTGTGGAAGAGACAAACCCAGTCAACCAAATGCCACTGCAGAGGGAGGGCAGCAGCAAGTAACAAGGCAGGGAGTATCACCCGTGTGGAGTCATGCCAGGGTGGGGCACCTCGGGTCAACCTGCTCTGGGAGGAGGGGTTCACACAGCACAAAGGGAGATGTTCCAGTCACAGCATTTATTACAAAGTGCAAACAGATCTCTGGCAGGGAAAAAAAAAACCAGGCGTGCAAACAGCTCAGCAGGCCAGTGGCAGCTGGGTCTGGTCCCCAGCCCTGGGCTGTCCCCTCGTGAACAGCAGGCCAGGGCTGGTGGCCCAAGGGCCCCGTCATCCTGAAGCTATCAGGCCACTCAGGCTGCAGCACAAGCCCCCCCGGCACCCATACACCAGGAGCAGAGAACCTGGGACGAGCCTGGCAGCTTCCTGTGGGGCACCTTTTGGGAGCCCAACTCCCAAAGACTGTGAGTCCCGAGGCAGGAGTGAGGACAGGCTCCCGGAAGCCTTGCAGCAGGACTGGTGAGGACTGCGCAGAGGCGTCCATCTCCGATGAAGACGCCAGAACAGCCCCCGGGCCAGATGGTACCATGTCCCCATGGTGCAGTCCAGGAGATCAGCTGCTCGGTCAGGATGGCTCCTCTCTGAGGCGTGGCTGCGGAGGCGCCGGCTCCTCCTCCCCAGCGTCTGGCTCTGCATCACTCCACCTCTGTGGCGTGATCATCTTCTTGGGCCCGTGCGGTGGAGGTCCAATGAGGGCCTCAATGTCCTCGTAGTTTATCACTTCTTTCTCCAGCAGGGCGTGTGCCAGCTGGGGGCCAGACAGGTAGTGTGACCCCACAGAGACACATACCAGCCTCTGGAGAGCAACCCCCCAGGTGAAGGCCCAGCTCGCAGGCTGAGGACCAGCAAAGAAACAGCCCGTCTTGAGCTGGCGGTGCCACCGTAGCCACCAGCTGGCATCTCCTGCCTCCCTCTCCAGAATGCTCGTTTCGCCAATTTCAACTTCTTCTACAAACTAGCCCTGCGTGTAGTGGGGGAGGGAGTGGCCTCAGAGTGGTTGTGGACAGCTGAGGGTCCTGGGAGCCACCGCACCTGTGGTCACTGTGGGGGTGCTGGCCATGAGGGCTGCTGCTCCAGCATGTCTGCGTGTGACACCCCACCTGACGGCTGCCCTGCCTGGACCCTCAGCTGGGAGCAGCCACATGTCAGCTGGAGGCATACGTAGCCCAGCCAGTACAGGGAGCCACCGTCCCCACAGCAGCGTCGGTGGGATGTGAGCACCAAAGCTGCCTGTGCAAAGTCCCCGAGGCTGTCGGGGTGGTCAGGCCGGCACACACACCTCCCTCCTGGCAGGGCAGCGGCCCCACGCTGTGGAATAGGAGGAAGTGGCCAGTGTGTCCCACATCAGAGATCTGCCACTTCTCTGTAAATGTAAAACTGTCGCAAACCTTAAACCTTATTCTTGAAACTCCAGAAAAAGAAAAAATTTTTTAGAAAAACCCAGGTTGGGAAAGGATTAAACCAAATAGAGAAAACGTCAGTAATTTTGCTGAAGGTAGGCCAGGAGGCTCCTCCGATGGAAGCAACTGGCTTGACGTGTCCGAAACAGAGCTAAGAGAAGTGGATGGGGGTGGGGGGAGGGGGGCAGAGGCCCCGTGCACGGCTGTGTGTGTCCTAGTGCTAGGATGGGCCGGTGGCCGCAGGCCCAGGAGACTCACTCACCGCCTGGAGCTTGTCCAGGTTGTCCCGCAGCACCTGTTCCGTGTGCCTGTACGCCTTCGCCACCAGCAGCCGCGCCTCCTGTGCGGACGGGACAGGCCACGCTTACACCTGGCACAGCCGCCCGGGAACCTGCTGTGGGCCTTGGGCCACAGGCAGGGCCCAGCTGCCCGTGATGCCTGCTCAGAGCCCCCCACGCACGCCCGAGGCCCTCACGTGGTCCATCATCTGCTGCAGGCCCTGGCTGAAGGGGCGCCGTCCGATGCCTGGGAGGCCCTCCTGGGCATCAGGGAAGGAGACAGGCCCGATGCGGGGTGCCATGCCGTGCTGCTTCACCATGGAGTAGGCGATGCGGGTGACCTTCCTCAGGTCGTCCTGTGCCCCTGCATGTGGCACAAGAGGGAGGGTTTCAGTGCTGCCGGAGCCTGCTCACACCCTCTCGGCCCCCAGGCACACGTGGGCCTGACAGCCGTGGATGTGGCGTGCCCACCATGTGTCTGGACGTTCAGGGTTGCCTGGCCCCCGTCTGAGAGCCCGCTGGCCATGGTGCCCTGGGGATCGATCCACTCCTGTGCTAAGGAGCCCCGCAGGCCAGGCTCACCAGAGGTGACCTCATTGAAGGAGATGGCCTCAGCGGCACGGCCACCCAGGGCCATGCACATGCGCTGGAAGAGCTGTTCCCTGCTGAGGAGGCGCTGGTCTCTCGGCAGTATCTGCGCGAAGCCCAGTGCGGCGTTGGTGCGCGGCGCGATGGAGACCTGCAGGCGGGCAGAGCCGTCAGCAGGACAGGGCTCAGGCCAAGGGGGTGCACGGGGGGCCCTGCACTCCCGCGACAGGGGCAGGATGCCCAGGGGAGCCGTCCTGGAGTGCTAGCCACCACCCCCAAGGCCAGCCATGCACCCTGTGCCCACGGCCACAGCCATAGATGGGCTCAGGATGGAGGTGGGGCCCACAGCAGCGCTGGGAGTGGCCCACGCAGGAGCCTGAGGCGGGGGCAGCAGAGGGGCCGGGGAGCCCAGAGCTCACTGCAGGTGCAGGCCTGAGACACCCCCAGCACGAGCCCCGGGCACCCCAGGCCTCAGCGAGCAGCAGACTCCAAGGGAGGGGCTTTGCCTCCTGCTTTCTTTAATGGATTGACCTTGAAACGTGAAAATCCTAAGGAGGAGAACCCCCAAATTGTGAGAGGTACACACTGTGATTCACGCTGATCCTCTGAGCTGCTACGGTCAAGCCTCACCCCCTTCCCGCGCACCTGGAGCATGGCTACGCGGGCGCAGGCCTGGCCCAGACGCACCTTCATCACGGCCTCCGTGTGCTCCAGCAGCCAGCCCACCAGGGCGTGGCCCGACTCATGGAAGGCCACCACCCTCTGCTCTTCCTTCGAGAGGATCTTGCTCTTCTTGGCAGTGCCTGAGAACAGCAGAGGCCCTGAGGTGGTGCAGCTCCCTTCCTGGGCCCGCACGCTCACCCCAGGCCACAGGCCCTGGCACACTCTGGCCTACGCTGCTTCTAGGCGAAGCCGCCATATTTTAGGCGAAGGGAAGCCAGCCACGCTGCACACAGCTCTGCCCCCGCCCCGCCGAGCCCAACACACCAGCGATGACGCGCTCCACCGCGTGCTCGAAGCTGGATGTGTGCACGGACGTGTGTCCCTCGCGGGCTGCGTGCAAGGCTGCCTCGTTGCAGATGTTGGCAATGTCGGCGCCTGTGGGCACAGGGCATGGGCTCCGCGTCCTCAGGCTGAGGGAGACCCAGGAGCCCGGGACTGTGTGGGCGGCACCACCGCCCCTGGCCAGCCCAGGCACCGGCCTCCTCTGTCCACCCGCCTGTGTGGCTTCGTGTGCCAAAGCGGCCCTTTGCAAGCACAGCGGGAGGCAGGGACTAGGGGTTCTCTGACAGCTGACAGTGGGTTCTTCAGGACGTTTACAAAAAAACAGCAAGGAAGGAACGTGGTGGGGGAAGGGGCCGTGTTTACACCCTTTAAAGTAAGAGCCATGGGGCCCTCCCCGGGGGCTCAGGGGTTGAGTCTCAGCGCTATCACCAGCCACTGCGGCCTGTGTGCGAGCCCGGCCAGGGAGCGACCCACAGGGCACAGCAGACCTCTCCTGACTCCCCGCTGCTCCCCTCGGCAGTGTTGCAGCGGATCTGCCTATTTTGCTCCCCACTCTGTCTCCGGGGGGGCCTTTCACCCCCGTACCTCTGGCCTGCACCCCAGCTCTTATTACAGAAATTAATAAATAAAATCCTTAAAGTGAAGACATAAATAGAGTAAGAGCCATCGGGGCGGCAGCCCAGAGTGTCCCCTGACTGGGTCAAGAGCCGAGCCGGCCGTTCCAGGACGGGCGCCCAGCACTGCGCAGGGCAGGGATGGACACACTGCCCCTGCCCGCTGTGCCAGCCCCCGCCCACCAGCGCGAGGGCTGCAGCCTTGGTACCGCTGAAGCCGGGGGTCAGCTCCGCCAGGCGCTGTGAGTAGAAGCTGCTGGGCCGCGTCAGCTTCAGGCTCTTCAGGTGCTGCTCGAAGATTTCCCGCCGCTCCTGCCAGACACGTGCGCGTGACCAGACGGACGCGCCGGAAAGCCCCGCGCGTCACCGGCTTGTTGGTCACGCTGGCCCGTGAGGAGCTTTTCAGGCAGGCAAAGGGGGCAACGTGCGTGGTGGGTCTTCTGTGGAGACTGACCCTCCCGGCCCCGTGCCCTGCAGGGGAGGGCGGCGCACCCCAGCCCCGCTGCTGACCCAGGAACACCGGGGCGCCGTCAGGCCCGCGCTGACCCCTGCCCGCGCTGGGTCCCCCGGCTCACCGCGGTACCAGAGGCGCGGCTCACACGAGGGCGCCTGGCCCCAGCAGAGCCCGGTGCAGAGAGGGACGCCTGGTGTCCCCTGGCTTGGATGTCAAAGAATTGGCTACGAAACTCGGCCAGACCCGCCCCTGCAGCCCGCTGCTCCGGACAGAGAGGAAAACAACAGGAGCCGGAGCAGGCGCGGGGGGCGGGGGAGCCCGCAGAGGCCGGGCCCGCGGGGACAGGGCGGACCAGGCACACTGACCTGCAGCGTCGGGAGGTCGATGAAGACGTGCCGGTCCAGTCGGCCGGGCCTCAGCAGAGCGTTGTCCAAAATGTCGGCGCGGTTGGTGGACGCCAGGACAATGACGTGGTCGGTGGTGCCCATTCCTGCGGGACAGCAGGGGTCGGGTGGGGGCTGCGGGCAGGGGCCCAGCGAGGTGTCCCCGCAGCGGGAGGAGCAGGTGGGACGGCCTCCCGCTGCATCCACAGGCTGTGTTCCTGAAGGACACGCCCCGGACTTGCCAGGACTGTCCACCCCCAAGGGCTGCCCCCAGTCCCCCGGGACTGACCGACCTCCTGAGCCATGGGGCAGATGCCACCGCAACGGCCCAAACGACCCCCGGTCCCCAGAAACGGCCCCAGACCCCAGAGGGGCAGCAGGGACAGGCACCTCGTCCTTGCCCTGCACTGGGAAGAGGCGGCGGGAAGGCCACCCTGCCGAGTCCCGGGCGCGGCGCGCAGAGGGCACCGAACGATGTCTCAGAGCAGCCCAAGTCCTGGCTTCCCTCTCCTGGCGCCGCCGCCCACCATGCTCCAGCACGGAGCCCAGCCTCTCCCCACGGGGCTCCCTGGGGCCCAGGCAGCGGCCGCTGGAGGCAGGGAGTGCGACGTGCCGACAGGACGGTCCAGGATGGCCACCCGGGGCCAGCACCCAGCCTCAGATGGACGGCCCTTCCCAGCAGGCGGCGTGAGCTCTGGGGCCGCATCCAGGGGCGACACAAAGCCACGGAGTGTGTCTAGTCTTTCAGGAACTGCCCGACTGTCCTGACAGCAGCTGCCCAGGCCATACCTGGGAGGATGAGGCGGCCCGGGCGCCCCACACAAGTGTGCGCTCCCAGAGCAGCAGCAGCTCTGGCGCATCCGGACCACCTGATTCGGAGTCATGGGAAACACCAAAGAAGCAGAACAGCTGCGACGACCATGGCCGGAGAGCGAGGCTGGGCCGTGCCCACCTGCCCCAGGACAAGTCCCGGCCCAGGGGGGAGCCGCACGGGGCGCGGGGCCAGCCCCAAGCCCCGCCAGCTCCTCCCTCACGGCGCAGCACCCCACAAGGAGCATGAACAGGAAAAGCCAACACCTCATCAAGAAACTAATCCCAACCGCGTGGCAGAATGAAGTGCAGGGGCCACGGAACCCCACTTCAGGACCTTCTAGAACCCGGACGGGGGCGGCCCATGACCTCCTCGCCGCCCGAGCCGGTCGGAGACGCCTGCACGGGTGGATGGGGCTGAGCCGGCACAAGTGGGTGCCGGGTGCAGGCAGCCAGCAGGACGCCGCGGCCGGGAGGCGGGGCTCCTCTTCCCGGAGAAGCTTTCCCACGCCGGCCAGCTCCACCCGCCCAGGGAACAAAGGCCCTCAGAGGCAGCTGCGGGCGCACAGCTCAGCCGGGCCTCGCACAAAGGGCCTTGTCTGCAGCGGGCCCAGCGCCACAAGCAGACCTGAGTCCCGGGTCCCGGGCGGAAGTGCCGCTGCGTGGAGCCCTGGCTCAGGAAAGTGCTAGCTGACCGCTGTGCCCCAGGGCCCCTCCAGAAGCTGCTGTCTTGCGGGGCGAGAGCAGGGCCAGCAAAAAGACGTGCTCACACTGGGGCCAGCTCCGGGGGGCCCTCCGTGGCCCCCGTCCACAGCAGCCTCGGCGCACGCACCAGAGCCACAGCGGAGAGAAAGGGCTGGCGCGGCCCCCCCACCCCCGGCCTCTCCAGGAGCTGAGGCCCCGCGTCCGACAGGTGGGGCTGCCAGCTCTGCAATCTCCCACAGGCGGCGCTCCCCATCTGCCCAGCGCCCGCAGGCGGCCGTCTCCCAGGGACAGCTGGGAGCCTCTGCTAAGCCAGAGCTTCCGTGGGCAGAGGCTCCAGACGACACAGAGCTCAGCAGGGCCCACCACCGGGCCCCCCCCATCGCCGCCTGCGACGCCAGTGCTACAAAGAGCCGGCCAGAAGCCCCGGCCAGGGCAGCAGACGAGGCCATGTGACAACAGCCCAGCGTCCTGCCCCACCTCGCGGCAGGGGCCCCACGGCCAGCCCAAGGCTTCGGGTCGGGGCTGGGGGCCAGCACCACGGCCTCCCTGGCTGCTCGTGTCCTGGCTCTCCCTTCACTTTCGCCTTGAATCTCTTTACACCTAAGCCGTGTCCTTCGGGGGCGGGAGGGCAGCGCTCCGGAACTGATCGTCCGGCAGGGCGGCCGGGCGGTCCCCGTGTGCACAGCCCTTGCTGGTGGAGGAGACCGTGGCTGTGCCCTGCCAGCCCGCCCCACGGAGGCCGCCGGGCACTGACCGTCCATCTCCACCAGCAGCTGGTTCAGGGTCTGCTCCTCCTCGGTGTTGGAGAAGCCAGACATGGTGGTGGAGCGCTTCTTGCCCACCGCGTCGATCTCGTCGATGTACACGATGCAGGGAGCCCGCGCCCGGGCTTCCTTGAAGAGGCTCCGCACACGGGCGGCGCCGAGGCCTGTGGGCACCGGGAGGACGGCCAGTCGGTCAGTGGCTGCAGCCGCCGGCAGAGGGCCCTGGGGACACGCCTGGAAGGCCCTGAGAGGACGCCCCGGCCCTACTGAACACCCCACTTCCCCGCTCTGGATGCCCCATCCTCTGTCCCGTGGCGGTGACAGGCCCGCGACGCCCACCTCCAATGACCTCCACGAACTCCGGGCCGGCCATCGCCAGGAAGGGCACCTGGGCCTCTGTGGCCACCGCCTTGGCCAGCAGCGTCTTCCCGCAGCCAGGAGGGCCGAGCAGCAGCGCGCCCTTCGGGACCTTGGCGCCCAGCTGGAGGAAGCGCTCTGGGCTCTGGAAGGAGGGGCTCCCGTGAGGCTGCTTCCTGCCTGCGGAGCCGCCCCTGCGGGTGGGGGACAGGAGGTGCTGGGCCGGGAGTAGGTCCCGTGTGGGTCCAGGCGCGGCCGACAGGGACTCTGGCCTCCCAGGCTAAGGGCTGTGCTGCGGCTGCCCCCACCCGCCCGACGGCGCTCACCTTCAGGTAATCCACAAACTCCTTGACCTCGAGTTTGGCCTCGTGCATCCCCGCCACATCCTTGAAGCTGACTCCTTTCCCCGTCCTGCCGTCCACAATTGTGAAGCGAGCCATTTTAAGCTGGTTCTGGGCAGAAAACAGAAAGGGCAGGGGTCAGAGGGCGGAGTAGAGCAGGGTCCCCCTCCCAGCGCGGATGCAGACGCGCTGGGGAGGCTGAGTCCAGACCTTACGGCTGGAAAGCTGCCTGGCGTCTAGGAACCTCCCTTACAAAATCAAAAAGCTCCCTCAACCAGTGAGGCCGTTTAAGTCTCCCAAACAGCCTCCTTTTCCTACGTGACATCTCCCACCAGTTTCTTTCCCGATTGCAACGAGCAAGGCCTGGCGCTCAGCTCCAGACTGTCGGGGCAGGACAGTCACAGGCAGCCCGGGAGACGAGGTGGTGCCGGCACAGGGCCAGGCTGCCCTCGATGCAGGCCATGCACCCCGCAGTGGGAGTGGGGTGCAGGACCCCAACAGCCAAGGTGGCGTGGAGACAGGCCGCCCCACGAGGAGGGTCTCCAGCCCCAGTTTGAAGGGGTCACGGTCCTGGGGGCCTCGGAGGCCCAGGCACACACGACCAGCGGGGATGGCTCCCACCATGCGGCTGCGGGTTTGCAAGGGGCACGGAGGTGGCTCTTTAAAGATGGCCTTTGACACTTCTCAGCGTCTCAGCTAGCAGGGGAAGCTGACGCCAGCCAGCAGAGAGGGGCTGCGGCGGCAGAGTCAACCCCAGGCCAGTCACCACCCCCCGGGCCAGTGAGGGGAAGCCCCAGACAGGCCCTAATCCCCAGTTCTGCAAGACAGGGACGGGACAACTTACGAAAGCGCCAAACGCTCCTTCCCGTCCCGTCATCCCTGTCAGACGGAAGACATACCACAGCACGGCCAGGCCCACGGCCGTCATCCCCAAGGCGTAGAGAGCACTGGCGGGAGAGGAGCAGAATCAGGGCCTGAAGGCGCTGCCCAGGCACTCACAGCAGCGAGAAGGGTGCCCACTGTGCGCCTGTGCGGGCTGCAGTGCCAGGCCAAGAGCATGGAGGCGCCCGGTGAGCCCGGAGATGTCTGGAGCCGTGGTGATGAGCACGCCCCAGATGGGCTTCCCTGTCCCCACCCGCGTGTGCAAACGGGAGGCCACAGTCCCCGAGGTCTGGCCCTGCCCAGACCCAGGAGCCGCTTCGAACCGCATTGGAACCTGCACCCTGCCCCCCGCGGGCTCCCACAGGCCTAGCAGCGCTCACCACCCCAGGACAGGAAGGGGCTGCTGGGACCCAGGCCCGTGGCCGCCTCCGCCGCGGCTGGCCCGGCCGTGCCAGACAACAGCAGAGTGGCCGAGGGACTGGTGCCGCCTGCCCAGCGCGGCCTCCCACCCGGCCCTCATCCCCACGCCTGCCGCTGCAGGCCAGCGGCTGCGCCTGTCTCGGGCCGCGGGCAGCCCACATCACGCCCGGGAGGCGCCAACGTACTTTCCAAAGAAGCCCGTGCGCTTGTAGGACACGGGGATCCGGTCCCTGCCCTCGATGTTCAGCTCGTCCTCGGCTGCGCGCAGCTTTTCTTCAAATTTGTCGATGTTCGCGACCTGCATCCGGTACATCAGAGCCAGTCGCTGCGGCAGAGAGCACTGTAAGTCGGGGGCGGGCGGACGGGCCTGGACAGGTGCCCCCCCCCTGCACAGGCGTCCCACCGGGAGGTGCGCTGCAGGGCATGGGGCGGGGGTGCGTGTTTGACTATCCTCCCCCGCGGAGAACAGCACTGGTGGGGTCTGGCCGCCCGGAAGGGAGACCAACAGGTCAGAGTCTGGGCGTCCCGCTGCCGTCCCCAGGAGAGGGGCATGAGGGCCGCCCCAAGCAGGCATGGCAGCCGAGGCACCTCCCCCACAGCCTGGCCCTGAGCTCCAGACGCCAACACGGCCAGGCAGGAGTCAGCGCCAGGTTTCCTGGGGGCTCCCTCCAGGCTTCCTGGAGACACAGCCTGGGCCCCCTGGATCCCCTGTGGGGAGCCGAACACTCCCCTCCCCTCCACACACGCAGTCTGAGCCCCCGGCCCCCGCCACGCCCACTCACGGGCCGCCCGAACACCACGGCTCCGGGGTGCAGGTAGACCTCCACCACGTCGCTCTCGGGCACCACCTGCACCCGCTGCACCTCGCCCTTGGCCAGCATCTCGTGCACGAAGTCGTTCCAGGAGATGCTGCCGCCGCCGGAGCTGAGCGCATTGAGCAGGCTCATGACCACGGCGACCACCAGCAGGGTGCGCAGCCGCTCGCGGTACATCTGGTCCTCCCGCTCCTTGCGCCGCCTCCCCTCTGCAGGTGCAGGGGTCAGTCAGATGGGGCCGCCACGGGGGCCCACGCCCCAGCAGCCGCCCTGAGGGTGTCCCATTCCCACAGGTCCGCCTCCGGGCAACCTGCCCCAGCGGTCCCAACCCCGTCTCCCAGGCCCCCTGCCCAGGCTCCACGCCCCCAGGAGCGCCTCAGGGCTTCACCCCAGACCCTCTGGGAGAGCCAGATGTGGGCGCTGGGCCCACGGCAGCCCTGAGGGGGCAGGCGAGGAGGCATAGCGGTCAGGCTGTCCACCCAAGGCACGGAGAGTGCTGGCCACTCGTCAGGAGACGGCCACACAGACCTTCTGACCGCTGGCCCAGCACGGCCAGCAGGAAGCGCTGCCACAGCTGGGGCACCTCACGACAGGGGCCCAGCAGCCGCTGCTTTGGCCAGAGGTGCCCCCCCACCCCCGGCCAGCGTGCACACCCGGGCAGCCCACGGCAGGAGCGCCCGCCCTCGCCCCCTCAGCCTGGGCCACTCATCTGGGAAAGGCCTCGCAGGTGCCAGAGAGCCTGCAGGGAAAGTCTGCCCTGGGGGCTGGGAGCAGGCGGGAGAGAGGCTCAGAGAAAGAACGGGGAGCAGCCGCCTCCCCATGAACTCCCCAGGCTGCGCAGGCCGGGCCCCGGGGAGTCCTTTCTGGCCTAGTCTTCGCCCAGAGACCGTTCGCGTGTCAGGACGGGGACATTTCCAGCCTCCTCCTAGTGCTTCCGCACTGTGTCTGTCTGACACGAGCGTCAGGCCGCCTCCCCTGTGCCAGGGCGACCTGGATGGATCTGTCGTTGGCCACCCCAGCCTCCCAGGGCCGCCCAAGATCCTGCACACTTTCCGGCGATGCACGCACCTGCTCCGGCACCGCCCGAGGCGACACCTGGCCCAGACGCCGCACACGCCCAGGCGGAACCCACGGGAACGGAGCCCCAGAACAGCACAGCCCCCACCTAACACCAGGGACCTGTCAACGGGGGACGTCGCGGCCACCACCGCAGCACTCCGGAGCCAGAGCACTGCCCGAGTCCGTGCCGAGTGTGACGGGGGTGGCGCTGCGCCTGCAGTCGGGCCCAGGGCTCAGTGGCTGCCTTGGTGGGACGTGTGGGGTGAAGGTGTGGCCCGCAGACCAGCTGCAGATGCCCGGCACAGGAGCGAGGGCCCAAAGTCAGCGAGCAGCTGGCCAGGAAGCCATCTGGGCCCCCCAAGATGGGACTGGGAGCTGTCTGCTGAGGGGCTGCACCAAAAAGGGGCCTCCATCGACCCAGGGTGACATCTGGGTTGGAGAGGCACAGCCCTTCTGAGCCTGGCCCCCAAAAATACCCTCCCCAGGTCTCCACCTGGGCTCCCGCGCCCTCGCACCTCAGTCAGCACCCGGGCTCCACCAGGGACCGCCCACTGGGCAGGGCAGGCGCTGCCAGGGCAGAGATCGGCCCTCCCCCAGCAGACACACCCTGCCTCGGGCAGCCGGCACCACAGAGTGGCAGGCCCGCAAACACCCTATTTCCCACACCTTCACCCCATTACCCCAATCTCCAGAGCAGGCAAGAGAGCTGACCTCCGGGGCGCCTCAGCCGCCCAGGGCAGCCAAGAGAGCGGTGGGGCAGGGAGTCGGCTGGTAGAGGGGCTGAGCCAGGCAGCCCCGCCTCCTTCCTGCCTTTGGACAGGACTGGGGCCTCTGAAGGGTGGCGGGCAGGGCTCCCGCCACAGCAGCGCGGGTGAGAGTTGGGAGAAGCCTGCTGCCAGGCACACCCCACTCCCGAGACACCGGCTGGGACAGGGATGCGGCAGGCCGTGCGGGCAGCGTCACCAGGGACCCCGGCCGCACCTTCGTCGTCCTCAGGCGCCCTCCCCTTGGGTTTGTCGCCGTCCTTTGTCTTCTGCTGCATCCTTGAGGTCTTGAAATAGTAGGTGGCACCTGCAAGGGCCAGGCAGTGCTGAGCACTCGGTTCGGCAACTGCAGGGCCAGTCAGGACAGGTGCACCTCCTGCACGACCAGACCAAGACAGAAATTGCCCAGAGAGCCCTGCCCAGCACTCGGGGTCCGAGCTGCCCACCCCAGGGCAGCACTTGCTGATGGTGGAGCCATGAACTGCTTCCACGCACGTTGGCCGCTGTGACGGGGTGAATGTGAGGGAACGCGTGCAAACTGGGAAAGATCACAAGTCTGCTGGAGAACAACCCTGTGCTCTGCAGGCTCCGTGAAGCCGAGGGCTCTGTATCAGCGGGGCCTGGCAGCGCCGTCTCTGGCCCACAGGGCATGGCACCACTGCTCAGAGCCAGCGTGTCCCCGTCCTGCACACACTTGTACGTGCGGGGGCAGGAGCCACCTTGATGGGCCTGTGGTGTGTGTGGCTTGGGTGCGGTGGGCTCTAGGGGAACACAGATGGCAGGGGTGCCCCTGGGCGTTACAGGCCTCCTGACCGCGTGTGGCATGGATCACATATGGCCGCCCAACTGCTTCAAGTCCATGAGGAGTGGGAGGGTCTACCTCTTCCTGTCCCCACTGGGCGAAGCGAGAGCAAAATGCCTGGTGGCCATGCCAAGGGCCTCTGACGCGAGGTCAAGAGAGGTGGGAGGACGGCTCAGGGTCTCACGAGACAGTGCAGGCCCGTGTCCCAGAGAATTATGTACAGGAGGTTTGGAGCTGCCCGTGGGATGTAAGACACGGAGAGCCGCTGTGTGGCCCTCGCTGAGCACTCCCGGCATCGGCCGGGTAATACCGAGACAAGACACGTTTTCAAGCAGCCTGGTTATTACTCTGCACCACAAGCTTCCAAAAAATGATGTCTCAAAATAAACATAAATGACCTACTCAGGCCTTGAACAATCACGTGTTAGGTGAACTTCATTTCAGGGCAACCAAGGAACCCCAACGAGATTAACCGAGGTCCTTGAACCGACTTCGTTTCTCAGGCCGTTGTCAAGGCAGCAACGGGACCCTAACTTTTTCACAAATGCCACAGCCTCTGCCACCTCTCTCAGCATTACACACCTAAAAGCTTCCCGAAGCGGAGGGGATGCTGGATGAGATGCGGTTTCAACAATGGCCCGCGGAGCCCTTCAAGCACAGGCGTCAGCAGCCGCATCTGCGGACTCTGAGGGAAAACAAAAAAGCAGCACAGCGGCCCAGTCACGGACACCGCGGCGCGCCGCCCTCGAGTGCGAAGCCGCCTCTGGGCACGACGGCGGTTTCCACTGAACATCCCGAGAGGGAGACAAAAGCGACAAAGCCGGGCGGGCGCGGGGAAGGCGGCGAGCGCCCCCGCGGCGTTTCCGGCCCTTCCGCGCCCGCGTCCCGCGCCCCGCCCGCGCCTTCCCCCCGCGCCAGCGGCGTCATTTGTTTTTACTTCTAATGTCCCCTTGGCCCTCCCGGCGGCCGCCGAGGGCAGGCGCGGTCTCCTCCCGCAAGGGGCGCGCGCGCCCGGGCTCCGCGCCGCCCTGCGCGCTCACCGCCAGCCCCGGCGCGCGGCCGGCGTCGTCCCCGCGGCGGGGCCCGGGCAGCGGGGGGCGGCGCCCGCTCAGCGCGCGGAGTCGGCGAGGGGCCCGGCTCGGCCGCTCCTCGGCACGCGCCGGCCCCGCGGAAGGCGCCGGAGGCGGCGGCCGGAGCCGGGCGCAGGGTCCGGCCCGAGCTGGGGCCCGGCCGCGGCCGACCGCGGGGGAAGCCGGGGCGCGGGGGGCTCCGCGCCCCCGGGGTGGACCGGGCGGCGCCCGCGGCGGCGTTACCTGTGGGGCTCGGCCTGCACCCCCGGCGAGGCCCAGCGGAGGCCCGTGGGCTAAGCGCCACCGCCTCCTCCCGGCCCCGGCGGAGAGGCCCGGGCTCCCGCCCCAGCAGGGGGCCCGCAGGCGCCCCGGCCCGGGGCCCCGACCGAGGGCGCGCAGCAGCAACATGGCGGCGGCCATGGCGGCCGGGAACTGCGCCTGCGCGGTCGGGCCGCGGCCGCGCGCCTGCGCCGTGGGTGGGTGGGGCGTCTCCCGCGCCTGCGCCGTGGGGGCCTCCGCGGCCCGGCCGTCCGCGCCGGCGGGTCCCGGGCCGCGGCGCCCTGCGGGGAGCGGCCGCGGGGCTTGCCGCCGCGGGGGCCGGCGGGCGGGAGCAGGTCCCTGGGCACAGCCCGCGGGGCTGGCCGGCGGGGGCGGGAGTTCGGCCGACGCCGGCCCCTCGCCCCGGGCGTCCCTCCTGCGGCGGGCCGGACCCTCCCGGGGCTCCGGAGACCAGCGCGGCCCCCGCCCCTGCGCCCCGAGTGCCGGGCTCGGGCCCCGCGCGCGCGAGCACCCCCAGGCGCCCACCCGGGCGGGGGTCGGGCCACAGCTCCGGCCCCGGGGCGCCCCGAGCTCCTGGCGACGCGTGGCTCGGACCCGCCTGGGGACGCGCCCCGTAGCCGGACTCGTGCCGTGCGCCGTCGGGGGGGCGCGACAGGGCGAGTGGGGGCCCGTCGGCCGAGGTGCTGGCCGCAGCGGCGGCGCAGATGCCCCCTCCCGCCTTCCGCGGGGCCTGTGCCCGCTCGACTTGTGCGGCCCGGCCCCCGGCTGGAAAGCGTCCTGAGACCGGTGCCCGGCTCCCGGCCCGCGGCCCGGGTGCACCCCTCTCCCTGCTGTGCTCAGTCAGGCCCCGGGCCTGTCCTTCCCGGTTTCCCCGCCTCTGCCTGCGCTGCTGCTTAAAATAAAGCTGGGGTGGGGTGGGGGGCAGCTGGCGCAGGGGCTAAAGACACAGCGCTATCAAGCTGCCAGCCTCTGCAGCGTGAGTGGGATCCCCGGCCTGCCAGGGCGCTACCCACGTGGCGCAGCAGACCCCCCCTGTCTCCCCGCTGCTCCCCTCAGCAGTGGATTTCACTCAGTCTGCCTGTTCTGTTCCCTGCTCCATCTCTGGGGAGTCCTCTCACGCCCCCCCCACACCTCTGGCCTGCACCCGGGTTCTTATATGTATAAATTTAAAAAAATACAATAAATAAATGTTTTGCAGTCCTTTCCCAGCTGAGACATCAGGAACTCTGCAGACAGCTTGGGGGTTGGTTCTAACCCTTACTGGGCTCTGCATTGACCAGCCTGTTGTTCACCCAGAACCGGGGCTGCACTCAGTGTTCCTAGGAGCTAATTTCCAGAGAGGGTCTCATGGCCAAGCCTCCTGGTCTCCACTTGGAGCTGCAGAAGGGGGCAGTGCCACTGAGATGGCCGCCAGCAATATTCCCGGCCAGCCACTCTCCAGAAGGGGGCTGGGCAGTGCGTGTCCTGGTGTCTGCTCAGCCGTGAGCACCGAGGTGTGCATATGGGAGCACCGGGTTCAGCTCCCCATTAGCAGGCTCCCTGCTTGCTGCAGGCCAGTCCAGGCCATATGCACAGACTTCAGGCAAAGGCTTTGGGAAGACTTAGGAGCCCTTTTTCTGTTCTTCACTTGCAGTGTTTCTGGCTGGATCTGTGATACACTGGCTGAACAGAACGCATCTGGTGCTTAGACTTTAAGGACACATCAAAATGGGATGGGGATTGGGCCTCCCCGGTGGCGCAGTGGTTGAGCGCTGGGTTGCGAAGCTGCCCGCAGCCTCTGCTCCCCGGCCACCGGGGGAGGGTCCCGCACGGCGCGCAGACCTCTCCTGCCGCCCGCTGCTCCCCTCAGCAGTGTCCTTCGGTCCTTCTGCCTGCTCTGCTCCCCGCTCTGGCTCTGGGGGATCCTCTCACCCTCCCGCGCTTCTGACTGTGCCCAGTGCTTGTATAAATAAATACATAAATCTTTAGGGAAAAAAAAAAGGGGGCTGGGGAACAAAAAATGTAGTGGGGCATTTTAAAAATCAGGGGGGTTTGGTGGTTCAGGTAAGGCGCCCCAAGAACACCTGAACCTTGGTCACGCTGCACTTCCCTGTGCCCCGCCCCGTGCAGCTACTGCAGCCCGTGGGAAGGATTGGCTGTGAAACCAGTCGGGCTTCACCTCCTGTGGCCAAGGACGCTGTGAGCTGGGGTTCACCCGGGGCAGGGGCTAGGCCTGCCGGGCCAAGTCCAGATGGTAGTTCTTTGACCCTTCCTGGGGGCAGACAGGAAGGTGCGGGATGACGCTGGCCTGCCCTGGCTCCGGTGGCCACAGTGCCTAAGACAAGTGGGTGGGGCGGGGAGGGGGGCAGGGTAGCCTCACTTAGCAGGGGACCCCCATCCCCAGCAGACTCGTGGCAGTCCCTCTGTGGGGGGAGGGGCAGCAGGCTTCACCAGGATTTCTCTGGCTTGTGTTCCTTCAGCAGCTGGCTGCTTGGGGCTGCGGGTAACACAGGCCTACGGGCCTCTGGCCGGACTTGGTTTTGTCCACAGCTCTAGATCCGTGCCTGGCCATTGGCAGGCCTGGACTCGAAGTCTGCAGGGTGACCCTGGAGCTCTGGGGGGGCCGAGAGCCACGGGGCCTCCCAGCGCGGGACCTGGAGCATCGGGCCTCCTGGGAACGCTCTGCGGATGGCGCGGCTCTGGACAGCCGGTGCAGGCGGCCGGGCCTCACCGCCTCGGGGCGTTGGGCCGCCCAGCAGGACGGCCTTTAGGGACGGCCGCCAGGAGCCTGCGACTGTGATACCTCGTCTGCCCCACGGCGTGGGGAAAGTGAGCGTCCTTTCCAGTCGGAACAGGGAGCTGGGAGCTGCGCCGGCTCTGGCTGCCCCTCGGAGCCCTGGCGGAGCAGGCGCTGTCCGCGCGACCGCCCACTGCCCACGTCCCGCGCCCCCCGCGTGACAGCTCCCCGCCCGCCCGCCCCCCGGCCCTGGCCCTCGGGCCGCTCCTGGGCGCTCTGCTAGAGGCACTGGCGCCCCCGCCCGCGAGGCCCAGCCTGCCCCTGGGTCCCCCCCCGCCCCCCAATCCACCGTCACCCACGCGGAGTCGCGAAGACTTAACTCCGCGAGACTCGGCCTCAGGCTCTGCAGCCCGAAGCCGCCCCTGCTGCGGGCCCTCGCGGCCGGCGCTGACCTCGTCGGCCACTGGCCCCGGGAACCCCGGGCCGCGTCTCCAGCCCCCCGGGGTCCCTCAGACTTCGCGCCGGGCGTCTTCCCGCCCCGCCGGGGGCCCGGGGCGCAGCCCGGCCTCCTCGCCGCCCACCGCTCAAAGGTCGTGGCGCCCGCGCACCAGGCGGCCCCGCGCCCCTCCTCAGCGCCGGGCGCCCCGACCCTCCCGCGGGGCGCGGCGCCGCCCGGCCCCCGAAGCCGCGATGGCAGGCGCGGGAAAGCCCATTCCGCCCTTTTATTCCCGCGACCGCCCGGACGCCCCCGCCGCCGGCCAGCGCGCCCCGCCGCGGCCCCCAGGAGGCCGCTCCGCGCCCCTCGTCGGCCTCCGGGGCGAGCGCAGCACCGCGTCTTCCAGCGCGGCCGGGCGGGGCCCGCTCCCCGTGCGGTCTGGCCGCGGGCGCGAGGGGCCCGGGGGCGGGGCAGGCCCGGGGGCGGGGCAGGCCCGAGGCGCGGCCGCCCGCACTGGCCGGGGCGGCCCCGAGACCACCAGGGGCGCCCGCGCCCGCCCGCGCCCGCGCCCGCGCCCGCGCCCGCGCCCCCGCCCGCGCTGCCAGCGCCCGTCGCGGCCGGCATGACAACCCCAGCGTCACGTCCGAGAGGAGCCCCGCCCCTCCGCGACGCAGGGAGCCAATCCGGAGACGCGCTGCCCAGCGCCCGGGCGCCTGACGCAAGACCCGACCAATCCGCGCGGTCGTCCCCTCCGCCCCGCCTCCCGCCGTCGCGGAAGCGCCCGCCCCGAGGGCGCCCCTTCACCTCGCGGCGCACTTCCTCTCCGACGCCGTGACGTGCACGGCGCCGCCGGAGCGGCGGGCCAATGGCGGCGGCTGATACGGCGGGCCAATGGGCGGCGGCGTCTCATGCGGCGGGCCCGTCGCCGCCGCCGCCGGGTCCTGGAGCCAGAGGCCGCCCGAGCCGGAGCGCGATGGAGCGAGGGCCCCAGGCGGGGAGGCGCCGCCGCCGAGCCCGCGGCCCGACGCCCGCCCAGTGAGCCCGCGCCCGCCGCCGCGGCGCCGCCGCGCCCCAGCGGCCCGCCTCGCGCCGGCCGCGCCGCCCTCGGAGCCGCGCCGCCGCCGCCGCCTTCCCGCCCGGGCCGCGCGGCCGGGAGCCGCGGCCGGGGTGCATGGCCGCGCCCGCGCCCCGCCGCTGAGCCGCCGCCGCCGGTGAGCGTCCCGGGCGGGCGGGCGGGCGGCGGGCGGCGGCGGCGGGGCCTGTGGCCTGCGGCCTGCCCGGGGCCGGGCCTCCGCGCGGGCCTCGTCGGGGCCGGGCTGCGGCGCGGGGCCCGCCGGGCCCGGGGTCCTGGGGGCGAGGGGCCGGGGGCGGGGGCCGGGCGGGCCTGAGGGGCGGGGGGGCCGGGGCCTGCGCGGGGTCCCGGCGGCCGTGGGGGCGCCGCGGCCGGCTCCGGGGCCCGGCGGGGCGCGGGCGGCGGGGCCGGGGCGGGGGTTGCGGTGGTTGCTCCGGCGCCTGCTGCGCCCGCCCCGGCGGGAGCGCGCGGCCGGGCCGGGCCGGGCCGGGCCGGGGGGGGCGGGCGGAGCGGGCGGAGCGGCGGCCGCCGCGGCCTCCGGGAACCATCGCGGCCCGATTTCCGTTCCCCATTTCATCATCCGCGGCCGCCGCCGCACATGGGCCGCCGGCGCCCACCTCCGCGGCGCGCGGGCCCCGGGCCGTTTTCTCCAGGCGGGCGCGGGCCCTGGCGGCCGTCGGCCCGGGGCGCCCCGTTCTCGGCGGAGAGAGCGGATTTCGGGCGGCGAGGGGCGTCCGGCGGGCTCCAGCGCGGGCCGCGGCCGCGGAGCCGGTGTCGCGGCGCCCGCGGGGGCGAACAGACATCACCGGCCAGAGCCGCCTGCGCGAACCGGGCCGCTGGAAGTCGCTATTCCTGGCGTCTGGAGCCCCGTGGACGGCACCGTTCGGACGTTTCTCCGTCAGAGCCCCTGGAGGGTCTGTTCGGGGCCTTCGGGATCTTGCCCTCCCCGGCGCTGGGCATGGCCGGCGGCCCGGCGGCCCGTGTGTGTTTTGGGGAAGGATTGCACAAGGCCCGCAGGTTGCTTTGAAGCTCGCTTAGGAGAGAGAGACGGGCTTGCCCAACTCGGGTTGTGACCCTTGACTCGGGTCATCCGGGCGCCGGCCCTCCCCCGCCGCATTCAGCTGTTCTCCGCGTTGCAGCTCGGGGTCCGCGTGTCCTCTGATAGGCCGGCGGCCTCAATGGAGGGCAGGGGAGGAACAAAGGCCTGTGGCTGTGACATTTTTCTGTGTTCTTTGTGCTTGTCTCAATCATTAAAACGCTACCCCCAAATATGGCTGAATTGCACCCAAATTTGAAACTTGCGGAAGCGTTTTTCTTCTAAATTAAAACGTGCAGAACAAAATTTACCAGAAGTTCACTTTCGCAAAGGCGTGGCCCGGTCCCCACGCCTGCAGCTCCTACCCCGAGTCCGTGCTCTGGGTGTTGTCTGACAGCCTCTGCGGGCCAGCCGCGGTCACCCCTCGGCCACCCGCCTTTCGCATCTGACCAGACGGGCTGCCCGGCACCGGTGGCGGACGCGTCCACTGTGATTACAGTCTTGATTCAGTGATGAGTAGAACTTTCTACCAATCGAGCTAAGAAACGCTGCCGTGGGAGCCTCTCGCAGAGCACTATGTGCTGCGGGGCTGCGCGCGAGTCTGACGAGGTGAGGCTGTCACCAGCCTTCCGAGGAGGGTACTTTGCATATGGGCAGTGAGCCCGTCGTCAATTAAATGACATAATTAGAGCGTGTCAGCAACTGCTGGTGTGGAGCGTAATCTGCACTTGTTGCCAAAATAAGTGTTTTGATCTGTCTGTTCTCCCTGCCGAAGTCCCTTCATCCCTCAGATGGTGAGCGGAGCCGTTCGCTGGTTAGCAGGTGGGACGCTGTTGCTGGGCTGGCGCATCGGTGTCCGCTGTCACTGCTGGGCGGTCAGGTCCCCGTGGGGGCTGAGTTGGTCCATTTGCTAAACTTCATGCAAGAACTGAAGGGACTCTGGCAACAGAAGTTACTGCCTCGGAGTACTGTCCGCGCGCGTCCTCGTCATGTGAATTTCAGACGGAATTTCTGTGCCATTCAACTTTTCCACCTTATGCCACACGAGAGCGCGTGTTGCGCCCCAGCTCTGGAGCGCAGGTGCGGGGTGGGCATAGGGCCTTCCAGGCCAGGCAAAGAGCCTCCGCACCTCTCGGGGTGTGCTTCACGGGCAGTGTTTGGGGCGTGCTTTAAGCGCAGAGTCGCTTTGTGTCCAAATGTCTTCTTTGTTTTCCAATTTAACAGGGCAGGTTTAATAGGGAAGGGAGGGCAGGCGGGCACAGCACCTGCATGCACGCCGGTGGGCAGGGCGGTGAAGAGGACGCCCGTGGGGACACGGCGGTCTCGGGACCAGAGCTGCCTGTTGTCATTTCTGTGCTTCCCCTAACTCCTGCTCTCCCCAGGCCGCCTTTAAAATTTCAAGTTCATTTTGGAGGAAACGGTGTTTTACCTGTGGCGGAATTATGAGTTGACGGCAGGGCCCCTGTGATCGCTGACCTGACTCTGAGGCCTAAGCCTTCTCCTCGGGCCCCATTCAGGCCCTGGGCCACTGTCCCTCTCGCCTGGGCGCTGTGGCCACACTCCCTGCTCTCCTCAGCCTGGTCACGAGGCAGGCGCTCCGCCCGGTCCTCCGCCTCCAGCGTCTCCAGCCTGCGCCTCTGCAGGCGGCGCCTGGGCCTTGGCCTGCTCCTGTCCTCTGGGGTCTGTGCAGCCTCGCTCCCAGGGAAGGGGCCCGGGCTGTGTTGCAGCCGCATGGAGCTTCGCACAGCTGATCCCGTGTGTGTGGCGGCTGACGGATGTCTCTGTCCTCGAGGCTGACGGTTGATGGCGACAGGGATTGTGTCTCTAAGCGTCCAGGACCCAGCCTGGGCATGACGGTGCCTGAAAGTTGGCTCGGGCAACCTCTGTTGAGTGAGTGGGTGGAAGCCTGAGTGTGGCTGTGTGACAGGAGAGACTTGGGGTCCCGGTGCGTCTGCTTTGGCTGGGCTGGCTGCGTCGCGCCTGTCGTCAGCACCAGCGCGGCGGCGCAGGTGAGCCCCGGCCCCCGACGCGCCTGAGTCAGTGACGAGGAAGGCCGTCTCGGGAAAGAGGTCTTCGGTGGCAGTGGGTTTGGGAGGGCTGCTGCTTCCGGGCCGGCGTCTCCGGGGACTGCTTTGTCCCGACCGTGCGGCCTGGAAGGTGCGGGCCGGGCTGCTGGGTGTGGCGGCGCCCGGTCGGCCCTGCTGCGGCCGCCCGCGGGGCCCCTTCTGGCCAAAGGTCACAGGAGGGTTGGGCAGCGCTGCCTTGGCTCCTCTCAGAGTCTCAGCAGTTTAGTTTTTATATTCCCACTTTCTAGCAACTATAGGAAAAGAATGCCTAGGCGCTGAGGTCCAGGCCGCGGTTCGAATGGCACCTACGTTCCTGGGCGCGGCGCCCCCTTCTCCCAGCCTTAGCATTTCACTGGAGAAAACGGAGACCTCGCTGCGGGGAGGTGGTTCCCGCCTGTGTTTAGTTTCCGGCGATTATTTAGTGAACCTGTTACGTGACTGGCGAGACGCAGCCCCGGGAAGACTGCGGGAGTGATGCGGGCGAGAGAGACCCGAGTTCTTGGTTTTGGCGACGGCTGGGCTTGTGCGGCTTCGGCGTCTCAGGGCGCGAGGGGCGCGGAGATGGTGGGCTTGAAAGCTTTGAGAGAGACCCCTGGGGAGCTGGAAAAATCCCAGAGTGCCGAAGCTGCTTTGATGACTAGGGCTCCGCGAGCCTTCAGCATGGAAACGAGGGGTGCCGCCTGGACGCGCGCGGCCGGGCCTGGGAGGGCGGGGGGGGGGGGAGCCCTGCCCCGGTGGAGTCCCGGACGGTGCGGCCGGGCCGGCACTTGCTTGGGGCCGCCCAGGTGGGGCCGCGTCTGACCTGCAGGGTGCTGGCCGCTGGGGCGAGGCCTGACTTTCCAGGCCTGCCCTTGGCATCTGTGCAGTGAATTATTTATTACCCCGAGAGTCCGTAGGCGCTCTTTTTCCACTTGTAAAGCAGCCACGCACGCCGGCTCGCCCCGTGACACGGCGGGCCTTTCTCCGCACAGGACGCGCGGTCCCTTAGAGCAAGGCTGTCAAGTTTTAGCTGAAATCCGTGAGATCCCACCCCCTTCGGTTTGCGTCAGCCTAGAGAGAGGCGATCTGTGAGAGTAGGTTGGAATGGCAGTTTAACTTGTGTGTAGTAATACCACGACGCCAGAGGCTGCTTTCCTCTCTCGGCGCCGGGCAGCCGTCCCTCCCATGCCGCCCGCTGCCCAGGCCCGCGCATCCTGCGGGGGTGCAGCCGGTGGACCAGCGCGCAAGCCATGGGGGGTTCCTAAGGCCTTCGCTGGAGCTGGGGTGACCTTCCCCCTCCGTTGTAGTCATCTTCAGCGAAATAAACGGAGAGAAACATTAGATTTTTCGGGTGATGCTGTGAGCCCGCCCACAGCGCGGGGGAGCGGGCCTGGCTTCTGCCCGGGCCTCCGAGTGTGGTTTCACATCCTGTAACACAGGAAGGAGAAATAAAACCAAACCCCCAAAGCAACACCCTTGAAGGAATTCACTTTTTTAATTACCGGAATCCTCCCCGGTGGCGCAGCGGATTGAGCACCCTGCGGTGGAGCTGTCTGCAGCCTCTGCCGCGCGGGTTCGATTCCCGGCCGGTCGGCGAGAAGCCCACTTGGCGCGGCAGACCCCTCCTGTCTCCCCGCTGCTCCCCTCAGCAGTGCATTTCAGTCAGTCTGCCTGTTCTGCTCCCTGCTCTGTCTCTGGTTAGTCGTCTCACCTGCACATCTGGCCTGTACCCCACTTCTTGCATAAATAAATCTTTAAAAAAAAAACACCAGAAATCCCTTCTCTCGGAGGGACACGCAAAGCACTTGGAGGAAACCTGGCCTCTTCGGGTGCAGACCCAGCCAGCAGCACTGGGGGCTCCGTGTGGCCATGGCGCCTCGGGTGGTGCTGATGTCGGGGCTCCTGGACGCCCACTTTTCTCTGCTTTGATGGCTCTGGAGCGCCGGCCACGCGGACCCCTCCCGGCTCTGGGAAGCGGGTCTGGGCGCTTTCCCCGGGCTGGAGACCTGTGCTGGCTCGCAGGTCAGGTCGTTTTCCGTGGGTGGCCGCGCGCTGCGG